GTGAAATCCTATTACTATGGGGTTGCTGAGACAGGAGGACAGCAAGTTTGAACCCAGCCTGGGAAACTTAGCAAGACTCTGTCTCAAAAATAAAAAGGGGTGGAAATGTTCAGTGCAAAGGCCTTGGGCTCAGTCTCCAGCACTGAGAAGAAAAAAAATTATCCAGATGTATGTTCTGAACTTGTAAAAGTAGGTGAGGCTGTAGGAGAAAAGCTGATGACAGCTAGACACTAACGTGGCAACAGCTTTTGGATCTCACATTGAAAGGCTGTAGAAGTGAACATAAGTAAGTGGCACTAATACATCCCTTCTGCACAGCAAAGAAAACATCAAAATGAAAAGGCAGCCTAAAGATTGGGAAAAAATATTTGTGCGCCATATAGCTAATAGGGATTAGTATCCAGAATTAATAAGGACCTCTTACAAGTCTGTGTCGGAAATACAAAACAAGTTCTTTAAAAAAAATGCATGAAAGACGTGAATTACTTACGAGACTTCAAAGGCCGTAAAGTTAGCCCCAGATAGATGAAAAGGTACACAGTGTCACTGATGTGAGGGAAACGTGAACTAATAGCACCATGAGATGAGACGTCATCTCCTGGCTTTCAGCACGGCTGCTGTAAACACAGGAGGTGTGTGACGACTGGGGACGGAGGATGGGGACCTCGGCACCCTGCCCTGGAAGCGAGGCTCAGGAGAGCCGTTGCCGCAGTGTGGGATCCTCAGAGAATGAGAGGAGCATTTCTTCTTCCAAGTGTCTTCCCAAGGGGATGGAGTCCCTGGCACAGCCACCTTGTGCCGAGATGTGCAGACAGCCTCAGTGTCTGTTGATGGATGAATAAAGTGAGTGTGACACATGGAATGTTACTTAGCAGGCGGTCATGCTGTCCACCACCTCGTGATGGACCTGTGCTGAGGGAGATAAGGAAACTGTTACGTGATCTCACTTGTGTGTGGAATCTTTCTTAAAAAATTGAAAGTTAAAACTATAGAGAAAGGTCAGGCATGGTGGCATACACATCTGTCATCCCTGCGCTCCGGAGGCCGAATCAGAAGGGTAGCTGTGGGTTCGATGCCCGTCGGGGCTACGAAGTGAGTTTAGGGTCAGCCTAAACTGCCTAGTGAGGTCCAGGCTCAAACACACTAGAAACAAAAAGTACGGTGAGTGAAACTGGTTACTGGAGATGGGAGAAGAAATTGGTAGACAGAGCCAGAGCAGCATGTATCCTCGTGTAGGGTCAGCATGTCTAAAATAAGACACACAGGAGAGGACTGGCGTTAGTATCCTTGTTTTGGCACTGTGTTTCATGCAGAAGTAACTGTGTGATGCTAGATGCCATTGTGCCACATGTGTGCGTGTGTGCACCCATCATCAGAACGTTTCGTGTGTGGTTTTGTGTACTAGGGCTGAAGCCCACATTGTAGGCAGCCGTGCTACCACTGAGCTACCTCCCCAGCTCTAAGATCTCCTTTGGAGGCAGGGTCTCACGAAGTTACCCTGCCTGGGTTGGAACTTGCCAGGTCATGCTTGCCTTCCCTGGGAAGGTGGGGTGTAGGTGTCACCATCTGTCCGGCCCCCACCTCCCATGTGAGCCTCACACCCGGAAATGCATATATTTTGTGCACTGCCTGCCTGTGCTCCCCACTCTCTCAGAAGGTTGGAAGAGGGAGTGCTGGTTGTTGTGAAGGAGTAACCGAGGTGGAGAACCCGAGGTAATCACAGGCAGGTGCTGTGAAGTGCGCAGGTCCGCATGCCTGTGCAGGGCCTTCACGGAAGGGGTGCTTCATTCCCCTGGCAGGCGGCTTGGTCTGGCGCTGGCTCTATATCGCAGCAGTGCGTGGAGTAGCCCCCAGTGGGGAAGGACATCGTCTCTGCTGGCCCTCCTCCTACTGTGCCTGGCTTGTGGTTTCCATGCTGACAGAGCAGACGGAGGGCTTGGGTGACCTTGGGAGGGACCTTTGGGAGCCCCCAGTCAGCCAGGTGTGTCACAGGTACAGCTGCTTCGTTAGAATGTGATCTCTGTAAGGTGGAAGGAGAGGTGCGGTGTGAGCAGACCCCTGCCGACCCCACCAGCCCTCGCATGAATGTGCAGGGTTGCGCTGAGCCACAAGCGCTTGCAGATAGGAAATGAAGCTTTCATGAAAAAGGACAAGGTTTTACTAGAGAAAGTTTTGGAAAAGAAAGATGGGCATTTTCAAAATACGGATCTCTCGATGGTGGTGTGCTCTGGTACCACTTGCACCTCACCACAGGGCGATTCCTGGCCTTTCAGCCTCTCTGCCCCAAATGCAGTGTTTTCCAGTTTCCAACTGGGCAACTCGCATGTTTTACAGACAGCTCCAAACTTACAGATTAGATTCAGCTTCTCAGGGATTTTGCTTAAAAAAATGGAGCTGCAAAGTATGCATCAGTGCTCACTCCCTTCTTTGTGGTTCCAGTGGGCCCCAGTTTGCTCAGCAGCGCCGGTTCTGTGTCCCGACGGTGAGCAGGCACTGAGCCTCCTGCCGCTGGGGGCCCCACCGCCCATCCTGTCACCTTTGGCTGCCTTTGGCTCCCTTGGGTTTGCCCTTGCTGCAGGATGCTGTTAGCCAGTGCGGGGCTGTACTTGTGCCCCACTCCTGCGCCGCACTATGCCTGGTGTTGGAGTTGAGATCCATGTGTTCCCGTTCCTCGCCATGTGCCAGCAGGACTGGAGGCAGCGTGTCCCACGTCACCAGTGCTCAGCTGAAGTTATGGGAGGCAGCATGCAAAGGTCACAGAGGGAAAGGCTGATCCCGCCTGGCACACTTGGCAGGGGCTTCGTAGCCAGACCCTGAGCTGCTCGGAGGTGATGGTGGTGTTGCCTACGCAGTCGAGGCATCCAGGCAGCAGGTGGTGGATATACTGCGAGTGAGCCGCTTCAGTGTGTCTGGAGGGGGCTCTAGACACCTCGCTGAGGAGGCCGCACCACGCTGCTCAGCAAGAGAGACAGGAACTGCAGAGCTCGGCGCAGCTTTGCCCTGTCAGTCTGACTCCACTGAAGTGAGCAGCTGGCGTTGCCAGGAACAGATGTGAGGCTGTTTCCTCTTGTCCTGTGTACTGTTTCCCCTTTGGAACACCATGTGCTAAATTAACAGTGTGGTGTAAGGAAGCCGAGAGGAGCTAGATCGAGGCCACTGTCCCTGTCTTCCTCCCGACAAGTGGAGTTGAAGGGTAGCCGTGCTGTTGGAGAAGGGCATTACGTGGATCTGAGCCTAGTGGGTCAGTGGAGACAGAAGGCAAGCCTCCCATGGGAGTCCTAGTTAGTGGGTGGTGAGAGGGGAGGAGGGCCTGGGCCTCCTGGGTGTCCAGAATGTCGCCTGTCACACAGTGTGTGGTGGTGTCATGTGGGGTGTGACTGTAGGAGGCAGTGAGCTTACTTTGGAGAAGGTACGTGCTTCCTGAGGCGTCCAGGTGGAGCACTGTGGAGGCCCCATGGGGGACACAGGCTGCATGCTTAGTAGCATAGCACTGCAGAGGGCACATCTCTGAGGCTGAGTGCAGGGTACGAGGGTGGGTGTCGTGAGGGAGGTGGAGAAAGTACTCATGAGGGCAGGAGGAAAACAGGGCGAGGTGACCCGAGGCCAGGCGGTGGGGGACAGAAGATGAGTTGTGAAGCACCCAGCAGTGCGACTGTCCTGGCTGGAGAGGCTGGTGTAGTGCTTCCTGGCACAGTCCTGGGAGAAGGCTGAAGCAGGGCTTGCTCGGGTGGCTGATGGGCCCGAGATGGTACATGCGTGCAGCGGCACTGTCTTTAAATGAGGGAGGTGGCAGGCCATAATGAGGTAGAAGGTGAAAATCTCCTTTGATTGACGGAGGCTTCCTGGGCACTGGGCTCTGTGCTGTGTGCTGGATCTGTTAATTCACTTCTCGTATATTATGGTTCTCCTTCCTGATGGGGTCAGTGGGTGCAGAGAAATTATGTGATTTGCAGTACTTCTGCATATGTGTTGGGCCCAGGTTTTGGGGTCCCATTATCTGATCTCATTACCTTTCATTTGAGCCAAGAAATGGAGAAGAGAGAATAAAGTAGAAAGGGGAATTGGATGCAGAATTCCAGATGTGATCCCACACCCAAATGACTTGAAAATAAGGCTGAATGGCACTGGTAAAGTGAACATCAAATCAAGTATTTTTTTCTGGAAAAGTCCAAGGGATAGTCTGTTGTTGCCATATTACAGATCTTGGTAGGCTTTACAAAGGCTTTACTTGAGCATCGGGCTCTATCTGACCAAATATTAATAGAATTGCATGAAGGGCAGAAAAACGCCATTATTTCCGTGTGTGGCATTCCAGAAGGGAGAGAAGTAGTGCACAGGCCTGAAGGAAACTGGGCAGCCTCAGGTCTGTTACTGGCAGGTTATACTGTGAGATTTTTGAGGTACTTTATGACTCTCATGATTGGGCTTATTTTTTAAAAAGTTACGATTTGTAATAAATCCTTACATTTTTGGCCTAAGATTTTGTAACTTAATTGCACCCTAACTGTTGTATGCATTTCACCGTAAAAGTTAATGAGCTTTTAGCTGTAGATAGCTATTTCATTGGCTTGGAATCAAATCTGATACTTTGAAGGGGTCTTCTTTCCTGCCTGCGCTGCCCTGCTTTGACTGCCACTCCTCATCCCTCCTGGCCCGCCGTCCGCTGGGTACAGAGTTGTGAGGATATGTTACCAGGGAGCCGGTGTGCTGCATGGGGTGCTTTCGTGAACAGTGCGGCTAGAGCAGGTCCCCTTTGGTGTTAGAGGGAATGAGTGAGCAAAGGAAAAATGACACTCGTGGAGAGCACTGCAAGGACAGTGCTGTAGGGCAAGGTCCTGGGGAAGAAGGCTGTGGGAGGGGAGATGGCCTGGGAGGAGGAGCCAGGCTGGAGACTAGGGGCAGCTGTGGCTCCTGTGTCCACCCACTGAACCTGATGTGATGCAGAAAGCCCGTGGGTGGGTCATTCTGCATTCCCAGTATTGTGTTGCTCTGACTTTCAGGACGGAACAAAATTCGTTTGCATTGGGGCCCTGTATTCCGAGCTGCTGGCTGTGAGCAGCAAAGGGGAGCTTTACCAGTGGAAGTGGAGCGAGCTGGAGCCCTACAGGAATGCCCAGGTATGGCCATGTGTGGGGTTTGCCTTGACTGGCGCTGCACACCAGCATACAAATAGTAATCAGTTTTCTTATGCTTTCAAAGAACCCTTCATTACATCATCCAAGAGCAACATTTTTGGGGTTAACCAATGAAAAGATAGTCCTCCTGTCTGCAAATAGCATAAGAGCAACTGTAGCTACAGAAAATAACAAGGTAGGAGTCACTTTACATTATAAACATTTTCATGCTTAAATTCTTGGTCTCCTTTCTCCTCTTGCCCTTTTCATCTTTCCATTTTCTGTCCTTCTGTATAATTAGATCCATAAGTATTAAGCTTGAGGAGAATAATCCAATGTTTTATTTTTATGTTGGCTAGTTTATCACTATTCTAATAACCAGCTTTAAAAGTAGAGTTTTCTTGTAAGGAAAGCGGAAGATATTTACAAAATTGAAAGGGGAAAGGAGGGAATTTTAAGAAAAGGTGGATTGTAACCATATGATGTTCTGCCTCAGGTGGTCAGTTTGGCTTTAAAGTCACTAAATTCTATTACACATTGTTGGAACAGGTGTTTAAGATTAATCCCTTAAAGGATGGCCTTAGACAATGATTTCAGTAGCTGTGTTGATTTACATGCAAAGGACGTATTTGATTTTTTTAGTCTTACTAAGAAGACATTTTAGAATTCCAGTGTGCACACTTGACCTAGGTTTTGTTTGCTTTTTTTGAGGGCGTGGTGATAAAGGAGGTACTGGGTGGGGTTTGAACCTTGGGCAGATCTATCACTGAGTTCAGACCCCTCAGCCCTCTAGATTTGAGACAGGCATCCCTGCTTTCCCTGAGTGGCCTCGAACTGTGATCTTCCTGCCTCAGCCTCCAAGGTGTTTGAGGTTAGAGGGGTATCACACTAGTGGCCCTGGCTTTAATAATTTCCACTGCATCCCTTTTGAAAAAGCTGCTTGCTTTTGTTTAAAACCTCTTAATATGTTATTCTTTAGGTTGCTACATGGGTGGATGAAACTTTAAGTTCTGTGGCTTCTAAACTAGAGCATACTGCACAGACTTACTCTGAACTCCAAGGAGAGCGGATAGTTTCTTTGCATTGCTGTGCCCTTTACACTTGCGCCCAGCTGGAGAACAGTTTATACTGGTGGTAAGTCTACAGCGAGGAGGGAATCTGGGGGAAAGGGCATCAGGAGATTGCGCTGTGAGTGGCGGGGTGGTGGTGGTGGTGGTGCTGGTGGTGCTGTGTGTTGTTTCCGGGGCAGCCAGGTTACACTTACCAGAGGAAAACCTTATGGAGATGAGTTTATAAAAGTAATGTGTCATATTAAATTTTACCAAAGTAGAAAATCACCTACAACCCAAAGAAACCGACTGTTAACATTCAGGATGGTTGTAGACTTTTCTTCCTTCCTATAAACACATACATACATACATATGTACGTACATTAATATGTATCTTGCTTTGCATAATTAGAAGTACAGAGCATGGCCTATAAGTTGTCTCTTTCTTTTTGTGGGGCAGAGATGATACTGGGGCTTGAACCTAGGGCCTCAAGTATGCTAGCCATGTGCTCTGCCACTGAGGTATGTCTCCAGCCTTTTTAGAATGTTTTGTTTGTTTGTTTTTATTTAATTGTGTATTTTCTTATTTAAATACAGCTTTAATGTTAGAAGTAGTAGTTATTGTTTATAGTATTTTAAGGAAGTACAGTAAATTTATATTGGCAAAAATATATATGGGGCATCTCCAATAATATGTAATTATCTGGAAAAAAGTATCAATTGATAAATTTTTTACAAAACTTAATCCTAAAAGTTTAATAAATGCAAATCTAGCTATTAAATGGGTGAACAAATTGTAGTTACAAGTTTATAGACACGTTAATAGTATTCTGAACAAAAGTATCAGAAGGACTGCTTAGCTCTAATATGGAAGTTTCACATTTATATAATGGTTGGTTTTTTTCCCCCCTCTTATTTGGCCAATTTATGATTTTCTTTTTCAGGGGTGTAGTCCCTTTTAGTCAAAGGAAAAAAATGTTAGAGAAAGCGAGAGCTAAAAATAAAAAGCCCAAGTCCAGTGCTGGTATTTCCTCCATGCCAAACATCACGGTTGGTACCCAGGTGAGTGGACAAGCACACTGTCCCCAGGCCCCGGCTTCCTCCCGAGCCCCGCCTCCCGGCACGCGGCCTGTGTCTCTCGTCATTTCTGCCTTACGCAGTGGCCAAGTAACATGTCATGCACTGTGTTTCAGTGTCATTAGTCTCCTGTGGCTGCTTCTGTATTTAGCTGTATTTAAAAACTCCTGTATTTATGTACGCCCTGTAAAATTTCCTGTATTTAAAAACTCACTTGGCACTTTCAAACTGTAAAGCCTGGAGCCACTCCTGTGGGAAAAGGGTTCAGTTCTGGTGGCGGGGTCAGCGTCATTGTGCCAGACAGACAGGTGGCTGCCTGTCCGTGCCCCTCTGTGGGGATGCCATTACTGGGGGCAGTGTTGTTTCCACAAGTGTGGCCTGGAAGGTGATTTTCTCAGCCCAGGGGTTCTTGAGGTGTTGCTCCATCCCTTGCTGGGTCTGTGGACCTCAGGAGAAGCACAGGGCTGTCTGCTTTCTGCCCGACCCAAGGCTGGGTGTGCCACATTACAGCAAGTGGGTGGAGAAACCCACTGGTTTAAGTCTGACGAGAGTGTATAAAAGTGTAATAAATTCCTTTTTTTAAAAATTGGTACCAGGGATTGAACTCAAGACCATGCACTTGCAAAGTGGGCGCTTATGCTGCTGAGCTAAATCCCCAGCCCCTATAAGTGTAATAAATAACACCACTTTCTCACTAACATTTTTGAAAATCTCTTTTTCTTAAGAATTGTTTATATTACTATGGGGTTTCATTACTATAATAATTTTTAAATTCTCAGTTTTAGTTAGTATACATTTAATTTACTACTTAAACTAGATGTAACCCACATAAACAAAAGATATTTTTAATACTCTAATATTTAATAGTGAAAAAGGTCCTGGGAATCAGAAGAATTTCATAACTGTTATACTTTTAATTTTTAGAGTCTGAAGAAGGTTTATCAAGGTAAAAACCTAATGTTTATATTCATTATTGCAAATGCTCTGATGAGTGTTTAGAAACTTTTATAATTCATAAAATTAAGACAAATGGTGTTGTTTTTAAACTACCAAAACATAATAACCTCTATATTCTTTATCTTGTGTTTTAAAAAGCACATAGTTTCAGCTGGATGTTGTGGTAAATATCTGTAATTCCAGCACTTGAGAGGCTGAGGCAGGAGGATTGCTGTGAGTTTGAGGACAGCCTGGCCTATATAGTGTAGGTCAAGGCCAGCCTGAGCTACACTGAGATCCTGTTTCCAAAAAAATAAAGAACAAAAATAAACCCAGAAGTGTCTGGGATGTACCTGAGTGTGAAGGCCGTGGGTTCAGCCCGCGGCACACATCCGGCCGTAAGTGACGTCTGTTATAACATGCCAAGTTTTTCCTTCATTAAACCTTTCTTACTGAGCCTCTTTTAGGCTTTCATCCGTCACCAATCTGCTCTAACACTTTGCTGGTGAGACTTGCTGCCAAATCGTAGCTGAGCAGAGGTGAGATCTTCCCCTCGAAGCTGGGAACTAAATGTTTGTTCATTCCCTGGAATTTCAGTGGCACACAACCGTTCCTTGGTAGAACTGCGACCCTAAACCATTTGCTCCACAGTCCTCTAACTAAAGCCCCCCAGAACAGTGTCTTCATATGTGTCAGTGGTGAAGTAGAGCATGGTGTTTGTTACTGGGTGACTGAACGGAATGTCATTCAGGCTGGCCTGCTGGAGACAGCAGATGAGATCTGCAGAGATGCAGCGTGTGCTGCGGATGGAGCTATCAGGGTATATTTTATGGTCACTGGCTTTCAGAGTATAACCTGACAGGAAGAATCATATAGATTATCGTCTTCTGACACTGGGGTGTAACTAGTATTTTTTAATTTAAAGGAAAAATGACAGTCTACTGAAACTTGTAGCTAGTATTACAAACTCCAGTCTTAGGGGCCAGGGATTTAGCTTAGCGGCATAAGCATCTGCTTGGCAAATGCAAGGTTGTGAGTTCCATCCTCAGTACCAAAAAAAAAAAAAAAAAGAAAAAAAAACTCCAGTCTTCTAGGGCGAATGAACAACCACAGAGATAAAGTGTATGTAGCATTGTGAATTAATGAAGAAAGTAATTTCAAATTAAAGGAAACAGACAAGTACAATTTTTTTCCTCTTCACATCTTTTTTAATAAAAGCCTTTTAAGTTTCTGTTTATTCTTTTTGACAGGATAATTATTTTCTGCATGAATTTTAAAAATCAGTGCTAAGTACTTAGCAGACATGCTGAAATTACTCTTGCTCTGTAGTCTTAGGAATAAATTTTCTTGATGAAGACCTTTAGGTTGACACATTACTGGTGTTACTAATTGTGTAAGGTTGTAATAACAAACCAGGGAAGTGGACCTTCATGTATTGCATTTTCACATATTTGAAATAATTGTTCTACTTTGTTTTAAAATTAGATCTCCTGATAGTGGTTTCTTTTGTTTGCTAGGTGTGCTTAAGAAATAACCCGCTTTACCATGCGGGCGCAGTGGCGTTTTCGGTCAATGCTGGCATCCCAAAAGTGGGCGTCCTGATGGAGTCCGTGTGGAATATGAATGACAGCTGCAGGTTCCAGCTCAGATCTCCTGAGAGCCTGAAGAGCATGGAGAAAGCTGGCAAGACGGCCGAAGCCAAGTGAGTGCTGCCACGCTTGCTGTGTGTGCGTGCGTGCGTGCGTGCGAGGGCGTGTCTGTGGTGCCCTGGACACGCGTGGACACGGAAAGCAAGAAGCGCTTTTCCTGCTGCTTTATCACGTGGTTCACGTTTGCATGGTTCAGGCCGCTGATTGTTCTCGTGGGTTTTTGGCTATAGTGGGCATTGACTCCAGGACCTTGCCCATGCTGGGCTAGTGCTCTACTCCTAAGCTTCACTACCACTTCCCATTCCTGTTCCTCTCCTGTCTCGTCTCGTCTCGTCTCGTCTCGTCTCGTCTCGTCTCCCCTCGTCTCGTCTCCCCTCCCCTCCCCTTCCCTCCTTCCCCTCCCCTCCCCTCCCCTCCCCTCCCCTCCCCTCCCCTCCCCTCTCCTCTTCTTCTTCTCTCTTCTTCTCTAGTTATTTTGAGGCAGGGTCTCACTGAGTTGTGTAGACTGGCCTTGAATTATTGATCCTCTTGCTGCCTCCTGTCAGGCAGCGTGTAGCTGCTCTTGACGGCTGCCAGTTTGGCAGCGTAGTGTTGGCATCTCCAGTGTCCTTGCTTTGGTCCTCACAGTGTGTTCTTTGCCGATGTTGATTACAGCATCAATGTGTTCCACCCTCTTGTTGCTCTAACTTTGTCCTCCTCTCATTTTTTATAATTAATTTTTTTCTTTATTTCTCTTTTTTCTTTCATCTTTTTGGAGACAGGGTTTCACTATGCAGTTCAGGCTGGCCTTGAACTCACTGTACCCCAGACTGGCCTTGAACTCAGGGTGATCCTGCTGCCTCAGCCTCCCAATGTAATGTAATTTCTTTTTATTTATTTATTTATTTTTTATCAGTACTGGGGATCGAACTCATGACTGCATGCGTGCAAGGCAGGCACTTATGCCGCTGAGCTAAATCCCCAGGCCCCTGTAATGTAATTTCTGTCAAACATTTTGCTGCATTTTTATTGTAGGAAGGGTCTTACAGGTTCATGTGTTGGAAGCGAAGTGTTTTTTTTTTTTTTTTTAATGAAAAATAAAAGACAGCGAAATAAAAAATGAATAGAAGAAAATAATAAAGATAAAAAACCACAATGCCTTATCAAACTGTCAGCATCATTTTTCATAGGGATTAATATTTTGATTCTTATATTTCTGTAAAAACAAAGAGACTGAGAATAGTCTAAACAACTTTGATAAAGGAACAAAATTAGAGCTCCAGTCCCACAACTTATCACAAAGTTACACCAATCATGACAAAACGGCACTGATGTCAAGATAGACAAACCACCAAACTACCAATATAAAATCCCAACATAAGATAACCACACAACAGATAATTGATTTCTGGCAAATATGAAAAGCAACTAGGTTTAGAAAGGATTGTACCCTCAATAAATATACTGGAACAACTGGATTTTCACATGCAAAAACCCAAACCTTATAATTGCATCAAAAAGTTCTTAAAAGTCACTTCAAAATGGCTCACAGTGGGTTAAAGTGAAGGCAGGTGTGCCCTGAGTCATTGCTTGGCTGGTCACTCTGTCTGGGACAAAAAACATGTTTTTTCCTTATCATACTAATGAAACAGAGAGTTGATTATGCATGTGTGATATGTTTATTTCACTAATAAGTATGTTCTCTACACATGTCCATTTACGTATGTGTCCAGTTTATCATTCTTTATGGCTGAATAGTATTCCATTTTGTAGAAATACTATATCTTTTTTATCCATTCCTCAGTTGATGGGCATTTAGGTTGTTTCCAAGATCCAGCTATTATAAACTGTACTGCTATAAACACGGGTGCACATATATCACTGTGGTGTGATGTTTTTAGTTCTTGGGATTTGGGAAGATATCCAGAAAAGGAATAGCTGGATCAAATGGGAACTGCAATCCTAGTTTTTTGAGGAATCTCCACACTGATTTCCACAGTAGTTGCACCATTCAGCAGTCCCACCACCAATGGAGAAGGGTTTCTTTTGCCCCACCTTCCCTCCAGCATTTGTTATTGGCTGATTTCTTAGTACTAGCCATTCTTTCTGGGATGAGGTGAAATCTCGGTGTTACTTTAATTTGCATTTTTTGAATGGCCAGTGATGTTTGAATATTTTTTTCACATAATAATTTGCTGTTTGTACTTATTCATCTGATAAGTATGTGTTCATCTCAGATGCTTATTTTTGGATTGAGTCTTTGAATCTGGGAGGAGTGATTTTTTTGAGTTCTTTCTATGTTCTCAATAGTAATGCTTCATTTGGAAAACAACTGGCAAGCATGTCCTCCCACAGAATGGGTTGTCTCTTCACTTGGTGGTTTCTCTTGCTGTGCGACAAAGTTTTACAATTAATTAATTTTTATGATACTGGCAGTTGAACTGAGGGTCCTCACACTGAGCTACCTTCCTGACCTCCCTTCTCTTTAGTTTTAAATTAAAGACAGGCTCTCGCCAAGTTGCTTAGTTTGGGCACAAACTCAGCCTCACAGAGAGTCGTGATTATAGATATTCGCTACCACATCAACTTAGAAAAAGTCTACAGAGGATTTGTAAACATTTTTGGAGTTGGAGAGATATGTGAACAGGAACACCCTAAATTTTATATTGTCCCACACTTTGGGGCTGGCCTAATGTTTGGAGTTAGGTACGAAGATCATAACTCTATATGCATGTTTAAAAAATTACTAATCTCTTAAAACATGTGTATTGTAATTTGATGGTTTTGTACATGAACTAAATACTTAAATTTTAAAATAGTAAGTATATATGACCAGTGTAACTTAGAAGTGTAGTTATATTACATTCTAAAAATAGCACTTTAAACGTTTTGGTTTGGGATCATGCCAACTCAGAAATACAGAAAAGGGCTGGAATGTTAAAGACACAGTCGTTTCATGCTAGTTCTGAAAGCACCTGGGAGGTGCTGTCATTGCGTGGCCGTCTTGCCGGTGCCAGGCTTGTGGAGTGGCCAGCAGCGTGCTGTGAGAGTTGGCCTGCTTTCAGGTTGCTCCCTTCAGGCAGGGGATTTTGGTGAAAAGAGCAGGCGAGAGTGTCAAGGGGACCACAGTATCTCTGTGATGAACAGTGGTGTTATCTGTAGAGACTGGCTCATTGCTGTAGCTAAGTCAAGCACTGATGAACTAGCGTGCTGAGGGGGAGCAGCTTATTAACACTGCCCCCGGTGTTAGGACTGCATTGGTGCAAGCCCCCTGGAGAGGCTGTCCTCCACACTGGGAGATCGGCGGTGGGGCAGGGGCGTATTGGGCCCACTGGCTGCTGTGCGCTGTGGCATCCAAGGGGTGGCGTGGAACCACTTGCTTGAGAGGCTTAGGGTGAGTTACATGCAGCCCTTGTTCTTTCTCCAGCAGGTGTGTTTGAGTCATTCTCCCCAGTTACTTGCCCCTGTGCAGCGGTTCCAAGTCCACTCGCAGAGTTGTTGGAAGTCCTGCCCCGGGTGCAGTCTGTGGCCCCTCGGGGCAAGTGCACAGTGCCCCTGTGTCTTTCCCTGCATGTGGCCTCAGGTCACATTGGTTCCTGGAAGTTGTTTGTGTTTGATTGCTTTGTAAGAATAAATTGAATGCGTTACTCGACAAGTTCCTGCTACTGAGTTTTCCCAGTTCTGAGGAAAATCTTGTTTCTTCCCATAGGCCTGAGAGCAAGCAGGAGCCTGTGAAGACGGAGATGGGCCCCCCTCCGTCCCCGGCATCTACCTGCAGCGACGCGTCGTCGATTGCCAGCAGCGCATCCGTGCCCTACAGTGAGTTTCCTGTGGGCTGGTGTTTGGGCTGGCTCAGTGCCTATCATTATGTAAATGTGATTTTTCATAAAAGTTGTGTGTTCACTATTTTATTTTAGGAAAGCTTTAAGTGAAAGATAGTGTTGACCATTTGTTTTGTTTTGAGCATGACAGTTTTCAAAGATACATGAAGTTTCCTGTAGTACTAGAAGCAGGTAGCTACTACTTAGTAGCAGAAATACATGCCCTCCTCTGTTGAAACACTTACTGTTGTATGAATTTTTTATGGAGTGGTCATACTATTTTCTAGAATTTGTAGAATTCAAATATTTTCACTTAATACTGCATGGTGAATTTGAAGAATTTTTAAGAGCCTTTTGACTGTCATAGATACTTGATGACTTTGAAGATAGCGCAGTGGACCTTGTTTTTTCAATCTTGATAAGGAACTCTCATTTTGAAAGTCCAAAGTACAGTTTTTGGATTCTTACACTGTTTGTAGTAGTGCCAGTACAGTTAGACGTTGATAGGTACAGTTCTTCACTGTGTATTTGTTTTTAAATAGAAGTTGGTTGTTAAGCTCCCACTTGGGAAGGAGTGCCCTTAGAAGTCTTCGTTTGGAAACCTCCACTGGTACCCTGTGAGAAGTGCTCACTCTTCATAGGGTTAGATGCGGTCTGCAAAGCCTCTTCTACATTTGCTTTTGGTGCTTACTGTTTTGTGGTTGTCTCAGAACGCCGTCGGTCCACCCCTGCCCCCAAGGAAGAGGAGAAGGTGAATGAGGAGCAGTGGTCCCTCCGCGAAGTGGTGTTCGTGGAAGATGTTAAGAACGTGCCTGTGGGCAAGGTGCGTGGCAACCAGGCGCGGTTCCCGGGGGCGCTGGGTGGGTGTCTGGGAGCTCTCCTGGTGGGCAGCTCCTCCCGCAGCATCCTGTCTGTGGCCCAGCACTCAGACAGGTGCCACTTTCCTCTATTTTGGGGCCGATTTTAGATTACAGAGAAGTTGCACAGATACATGACTTGTTTGATGCAGTTCATTCTTTCAAGCCACTAGACAGTGAGAATGGAAATGGTTGGTGACACCAAAAAATTCTTCCTCAACGGAAGAATCCTTCTCTCCCTGAAGTGCCTTCTACTTTCTCTTCTCCTACCAAGAGGGTTTGCTTTTGAAGAAATTAGGATGGTGCCCTCTCCCAACAGCTGCAGCACGGTGTGAGTGTCTGGCTGCTGTCTGTGCGGTCGCCTTCCTGAGAGCCACACTCTGTGCCCGCATTCCCCGGGCCTCTGTGTGGCCCCTTGTCCAGATGCCGGCAATTTCTTCAGAGGCACTTGTTCACTCTGGCTTGACCACAGAAGCTTTGAGAGTGCTGGGCACCATGTGGGCCTAAGTCCTAGGGCCATCTTGTCTTCACTGTCTACTCGGTCCCTGGGCTCATCACCCCAGAAACTAATTGTGGGCATCTGTTCACACTTATTTTAAGTTAAATAACATTACAGGTGAGCTCGATCACATTAATTCTACTTCAGGTACACAGTAGCTGTATAGGCTTGCTGATGGTGCCAAGGAGAAGACTGCCATCTTCAAGAAAGTTCTGCCAGGCCGTACTACTTTATAGTAAAGAGAATGGCCAGGTGTGGTAGTGCATGCCTGTCATCCCAGCCATCTGTCGAGAGGCAGAGGCAGGAGGATCACCTTGAGTTTGAGACTAGCCTTAGCTGCGTAGACTCTGTTTCAAAGCACCAAACCAAAAAGCACAGACTGAGAATATGAGACCGTTTCAAGGATCGTACTTCCTTCAGTTAATTGCCATACAGCCACAGGTTGCCTTCACTGTCCGTGTGGGTCCGTTTCTTGAGTCTTGGGTATAGGTATTAACAGCACAGCTTCACACTTCTGTTCAAGTTAGTGTTACCAGCTGGTGAGCATTGAAGAAATGTATTTAGGAGGAGTCCATACTGTACTGGCTATGAATGCCTCTCCCTGAACTCTGTAGACACTCGGTGTTCCTGCTTGTGCTTCAGGTGCTCAAAGTGGACGGGGCCTATGTCGCGGTCAAGTTCCCAGGGACATCCAGCAACAGCAGCTGTCAGAGCAGCTCCGGCCCTGACGCAGACCCGTCCTCCCTGCTGCAGGACTGCAGGCTGCTGAGGATCGATGAGCTACAGGTGAGCAGAGGTGCCCGCGGCAAGACACTGGGCAGCTCCTTGGGTGTTGGCAGGGTTTGAGCACAGAATTCTCCTTGTGTTGTACAGGTTGTCAAAACTGGTGGAACTCCGAAAGTTCCAGACTGTTTTCAGAGGACACCTAAAAAGCTTTGTATCCCTGAGAAAACAGAAATATTAGCAGTGAACGTAGATTCTAAAGGTAAAGATCGGCTGAGTGTTCAAGTCAGCATACCTTGTGTTGTATGGTTACATGTGTGGTTTGGGGCTTGGAGAGTTTGTGTCAGCTGCATGGACTGAGTCTCAGGTGTGGCCAGAAAGGTCCCACGTGGCCGTGCTGTTTATAGATCCTCTAACAGCATCTCTTTTCATTTGTCTGCTCTGAAGGTGTGCACGCTGTCTTGAAGACCGGAAATTGGGTGCGCTACTGTATTTTTGATCTTGCGACAGGGAAAGCTGAACAGGAAAACAATTTTCCCACCAGCAGCATTGCTTTCCTTGGTCAGGATGAAAGGAACGTGGCCATTTTCACTGCTGGGCAGGTGAGCGGCCCCGTCTTGGCTTCAGGCTTGGCCTGGCAGTACCAGTAATGTGGCAAAGCTTAGGGTTTTTGTCTCTGGTTTGCTTACTACTAGTGAAGCATTGAAGAATTTAGAACTTTCAGCATATCGTGCTGTGGGGTTTTTAATTTGACCATTATTACTAACATCTAGTTACATTTGTGGTTTGTTTCTTTGGTACTGGAAATTGAACTCAGGATTTTGCACTTCCCAGGCAGGTGCTTGTGCTGCTGAGCGATGTCCCTGGCCCGAACATCTAGTTTGAAAATAAATACACCTAGTAAAATCACTTTTGACTGGGAGCCAGAGTTTCTTACTTCCTTTCTCTTCCAGGAATCTCCCATCATTCTCCGAGATGGAAATGGTACCATCTATCCCATGGCCAAGGACTGCATGGGAGGAATAAGGGATCCTGACTGGCTGGATCTCCCACCGATCAGTAGTCTTGGGATGGGTGTGCATTCTTTAGTGAATCTTCCTGCTAACTCAACAATCAAAAAGAAAGCTGCTATTATCATCATGGCGGTGGAGGTAATTTGACTTTGGAAATTGTCTGGCACTTTGATTCAGAAGGCCCTGCCACAGTGAGCACGGCAGAGATGAGGGAGTTGGCGATGGCACCGACCAGTCGGGTTGGGTATGAGAGAGGCACAGTCCTGGGGAGACGTGCCTTCTCAGAAAGGTTAAGTCAGATGAGACTTCTGCAAGGTCTCTTTGAGGCGTGCTTCCTAGGCTCACTTTGGGATTATCAGGTAAGGCTGAGGGCAGGAAGTGTCCCCGAGGCTCCAGTTGAGGTCTTTGGGACCTTCCCTGAGATGTCCCCAGAAGGTAGGGATCATGAAGTCAGCCAGTGGCAACCAGGGAGGCTGGGGAGAGGCACAGAGAGGTTTGCGTACCGGGCTGAGGGGCCGAGGTTCCCTGACTGCTAGGAGGAGGAGGATTTAAAGTAGGTAACTAGTAGCTTGAGTTTTGAAGGAAGATTAGTAGTGAAGGATGGACTCTTGGGAAGGAGTCAGAGTTTAGAGATCACATAAAAGGCTAATTCTAGTAGTTTAGGTTAAAAACTCTTGGACATGGAGGGTGGGTAGTTTGAGAAACCCTAGGGCAGTGGGAACTGAAGCTTTGTGAATGGATCAGCAGTAAGTGAAGACGGTGTTGTACAACCTCAGGTGTGGGTGAGAAGAGAACTGGGTGGGATAAAGGAAGAGGAGGAGCTTGGCTTTGAATGGGGGTGGTTGATCTTAGGTGCATTTGTGGGGGCCGCGGCACTGGAAACTGTTGGTGCCGTCCTTGCCGAGGCTGACCTAGAACAGTGATGGCAGATACGTGGCATGCATTGCCCAGCTGGCTGCTTATCACTGAGAGCTCTGCAAGGCTCCCCACCGCTCAGACTCAGACTTCGAAAGGACCCCATATGTGCTGAGTACTGGGGGACAGGGTCAGATGGGAGGCAGGTTACGAAGCCACTATAGCAAGCCCTGGGGCCGTGGCTCTGGCCCAGAGCATGAGTACACAGTGATGTGATTATAGATACAGTAGGTGTCTGTGTAAGTAAATTGGCGACATTTGCTGATGGCCACACGTAGGGCTTACCGTGGAGGAAGAGAGGGCCAAAGGTTTTGGAAGAGGGAGGCTGCCGGGCCAGAGATTCTGCTCAGCTGCACGGCATCTGCTTGGGAAGTATGAGGTCATGAGTTCAATTCCCAGTACCAAAAACAGAGCCAAACAACAGAAGATGAGGCTGCCACTTACAGAGATGAGCCAGGACATTGCAGAGGGCTCCGGAGCAGGGCAGTGGGGCTGTTGGTTTAGAGGAGAGTTGCTAGCTGGGAAGAGCTGTGAGCAGAGGGCTGCATGGAGGGGAGACGGCCAGAGGAGCCCAGAGGAGCGGTGTGTGCTGCAATTAGTGGGGGCTCTGCAGAGCGAGACTGCCAGGGTTATGGGGATGAGATAGTGTCCCAGGCCATGGTGGTAATCCCTGCATTCAGCGCTGGGGTAGTGAAGGGCATGGAAGCCGGGAGGTGGACGGTGGCCCCATGGGCAGCAGACACCACTGGGGTGCGGCGGGCACTGGCAGAGGCGGGCAGTGAGGGGTGCACAACCTGCCCGGCGCAGGTTGGGGTGGGGAGGAGACGGGCACTGCCCTCTCGGCACCGGCGTGTGGTGGTCGCCACTGCCGTCGCTGGGCTCCGTGTGCAGCTGGCCACCGAGCCTGTGCATCCCCGAAGCCTGTGCCGCCCGGCTCACCGCACTCCCTGCTCATCCTCACGCAGAAGCAGACGCTGATGCAGCACATCCTGCGCTGCGACTACGAGGCCTGCCGCCAGTACCTCGTGAACCTCGAGCAGGCGGTGGTGCTGGAGCAGAACCTGCAGGTGCTGCAGACGTTCCTCAGCCACCGCTGCGACGGGAACCGGAACATCCTGCACGCCTGCGTGTCTGTCTGCTTCCCCACCAGCAACAAGGAGACCAAAGAGGAGGAGGGTGAGGGCAGGAGCCTGCGCAGGCTCTGAGGGCACGTGGCGGGCAGAGGAGGGCGGTCTCGGGGCGGGGAGTAGGAGTGTGTGCGTGTGTGTGTCTGTCTGTGTGTCTGTGTGTGTGTACTTTGGTGTTTGTAAGATTTGGGAAGTTTTGACTTTCTCAGAGATGGTGTGCCTGTGCTCTTGTTGGGGTGGGTGTGTTAATGTGTGTGCGGAAATGTGTTCCTCGGTGTGTCTTTATTGTCTTTAATTCTTTCTCGTGGCAGTAACATAAGCTGGCTGTGCAGTAGTAAACAAACTTCACTGATTTTACAGTGACATAGATAACCTGTATTACCATGGGAATTATTTTACACATTAAGGCAAATTGTACTGAGGTAAATTTTATTCCAGATTAATTTATGGTGTTGTTCGGTATTTTCAGAAAGTTTTTTTTTTTTTTTTTTTTTTGTCATTAAGTTTTTAATTGGAAAAATAAAGAGAAAAATTGGAAACCTGAAGTGTAAATATAAATCACCATGTTTTTCTTTATTTTGAATTGTGCTGATTATATTCTGGTTGCTACATTTTTATTATTATTATTTTTTTTTTTTGTCTTTTTCCTTTTTGTCAGTACCAGGGATCGAACTCATTACTGCCTGCTTGCAAGGCCGGTGCTTATGCCGCTGAGCTAAATCCTCAGCCCTGGTTGCTACATTTTTAAGTAATTGTTGGCAAGTTTCTGACCTTTATATCATTGTCTTGGATTACACTAGAGAATTATATATAGCAGTGCAGTGTAAGCTGAGTGGTAGCTCTTTTTTTCTTTAGTTGTGAAACCTAGACTTCAGTATGTTTACAAATGATCTTTTAGGGGTAGAGAAATAGGCAAAAGAAATATGTTGCATGTTAAAGGTCATTCTTCAGTCCATGGTGTGCTGTTTGTGCTAAAGAAGAAAAAATTAAGCCATCTGTTATCTAATATGTAGATAAACACTGAGATGCATAGTAATTTGTGGTAAGTGACCTGTGTATACTTAATATTAATGGTTAATAACAGTTTTTTCCTTCATGTTTCAGAAGCAGAGCGCTCTGAAAGAAATACATTTGCAGAAAGGCTTTCTGCTGTTGAGGCCATTGCAAATGCAATATCAGTTGTCTCAAGCAACGGCCCGGGTAATCGGGCTGGATCGTCAAGTAGTCGAAGGTAATGTGATTTTTATAAGGAAAGTTTAATTGAATGAAAAAAACTCACAAGGCAGTGTATCTTGTACCTGTCATATGCATGAACTGGTGGGCCCTTTTTGTTGTGGTTTTGATTCCTCCCAGTAACTTCTGGGAAAAATACCTGATAAGTAGATTTTAAGTGTAGAACAGTAGTCTCTGACTGTATTTAAGATGATTTAAACAAATAGTTTGAACTTGATTCTTTTGTTTTCTGAAGTTGCATTCTTCCTAGGAAGTTATTTTCTTTATGTGAACAGGTAATACAATGCAGGAATTGAAAGAGCTTCAATCTTTAATTTTCATACTGCCTGTCTAGGTATGTCTTTCATATGTCTTACCATCAGGAAAGAAGTGAAAATTGATGTGTGTTACAGATGTTCAGATTTTAAGGTTTTCTGAGTTATGGGATGGACAAGTCTATTAAAATGTTAAAGTATGTTAAAATTTGCAATGTGTTGAGGTGATACGGCATGTAAAGGTTTCAGAGTATAGTTTTCTTTTTTAAGAAGGAACACATTTCCTCTAGATTGAGCCAGAATTCTTGGTTATTTATATGTCACTAATGGAAGCACTGCTCAGCCTGCACTAATGTGTAGGTTATAGACAGAGGCTACTTCAAACTGCCTGTTTGTGGTTCCATACTCATTTTCCTCTGGAAAAAAGTGGTGATTAAGTTGGCACCAACAGGGCTACCAAGTTGATAGCTTCCCAGTTCAAAAATGTTCAGAAGTGAAAGTAATCAAAAACTATCTGTGGGTGATCAAATGATAATTTAAAACAGTAGAAAAGCATGGCATAGACTACGTAAAGTGGGAATTACCACCGGGTTATTTATCTAGGACTGCTCTAGGCAGACAGAGTGTTTGGTCTAAAATGGAAAGTAACTTAAATTCTTCATGACGAAATTAGTGTCTGAATTATTTCAGGTATTTCATTTCCTCAGGGAAATTACAGGTGCAAATCCAGTTGGACTCTGATATGCTTGGTCCAATACCATTGCTGCCAGCTTTTTTCATGTAAGGATTATTTTGAAGGCAAAGACTAAAAGGAGCTTCAAGAGTGGGCGATGCGTTGCTCACAGAAATAATTTGCAGAGTAAGCTCCTTTGAGGCATTTGCCGAAGATCTCACTGCAGTGCTCTTAACAGTTCGAGCTCAGGGCTGCCGCTGAGCAGCTGGAAGCGCAGGAAGCGTCTGTCCGCGCCGGGCAGTAGGAAGTCCACAGACTGCTTCGCTGGAGGGAAGCCTGCTCCAGCCCACAATGGATCTCTAGGCGATGCCCCTGGTGGGTGCAGGCTGGGATTCCTGAGCGTACGCTCAGCACTATTGAACGGAGTACTGTTAAATGCCGCGCACGGTGCTTTGACTCACACGTGGTTTGTGACTCACTAGCTCCCGAGTCCAGGGCAGAGGTAGTGGCAAGCATGGTTGGTACATCTGATTGCAGGTGTTTGTGCTCTAGAGATTGTTAATCTGGAAGACACATGACCTTCGCTTTTTTGTCACAGTGTTATGTTTGAACATGACTGGATTCTAAGGCTTCTGTAGCATGGATATAACGTGCTTACAAAGAGGAAATTACATCATCCTTGACTTCTTCCATATTGTCAGCAAACACGATGACTGCAGGCAAGCCATTACGAAGAGAGTCAAAACTCTGAATCTTAGCAGCCAAGGTGGTATCTCCTCAGTATTGCCCTCAGCCACTGGGGACCCAGGTGAATCTTCATGAATTGTGTACAACATCTTGAAGAATAATTTTCTTTTTTTGTTTTTTGTTTTTTATTTTTTAAGACTATATGAGGAGCTGGGCATTGTATTTTAAAATGTTTCCAAGACCTAATGAAGAAAAAGGTTAAGGACGATTTTAAAAATGACAAGGAATAACCCCTCATTTAATATTGAATTGACTACATGACAACAACAGAGTTGGGAGTTTTCGAGTTCAAGAGGAGACTGTGATCTCAGTTATCTGCAGTTACTCTTAAGTTAGGGGCTAGAGACCAGCCCTCTTGTTGTGCTTGGCTTGTGCCGTGTTTCCTCTCTCCTGTAACGCAGATGCCACTCCCTGAGCATTGACCGGAGAAGCTGGTGGCTCTAGTTGGGCCTCCTCCCGTTTCTTAGCTCCGACTGCCCTTGTCTGTCTCTGTTCTGACCCGTGGGCTTCGGGTGTGCCATGGGGAAGCGCTCTTCTCAGGACGCCCGCCGGGCCTTTAGCTATAGTTTCCGCCTGCGCTTGAGTGCAGCTGTGAGGGCCCCATGCTTCCGCGTGGAGCAGTATAGCACAGATGCTCACCAGCTGTGTGCCAACCAACACGGGGCAGGAGCCCACCTTCTCCTCTTGGTGACAGCTTTGGGCAGGGAAGTGACCTTGACCGAATCAGTCACTGGATCCTGCTCCCTCCTGTATTAGAAAAGCTCTCACACTCAGATTTCTAAATTGGGAAGAAGGTAATATGAACACAATAAAAGAATGTTCTATATGGGTTTAGTAGCAAATTTTTAATAGCTAATATATTAAGACATTAAGATTTATTTTACAGGATCTACCAAAGAGTACTTCTTTCAAAAAAGTACATCATAGGCTGGTCCAATGGCAGTGGGTTATCAGAACTTATTAACATTAGTTTCACTAAAGTTGGTATACCACCCCCCCCACTGCTAAATTTGACTGGCTTAAAAAAAAAAAGTACATCATAAATAAGACTTATAAAGTAGATTTGTTTGCTGGGCATAGTGATGCACTCCTATAATCCCAGCATGTGGGAGGCTGAGGCAGGAGGATCACTGCTGGTTTGAGGCCAGCCTGGACTACATAGTGAGTCCAGCCTGAGCTATAGAGCAACCTCTCCACCCCTAAAACTCTAATAAGAGCAACGAAACAAAATAGATGTGTTTTGGAAAGAAACTTCTAAAAGACATTTTTGCAAATGTTTATTTTCAAAAATTTTGTTTCTAAAATTGAAAATGTGTTCATATAGAAAAACACATTTAACTTCAGATCAGCTAATTATTAGGATGAAAGGTTCAAGCATGAGCAAAAAAATTTCAGAATTACTTATTTTAGGCACATTGTGCTTATATAGTGGGGTGCCAAGTCTTTCGCATCAGAAATGTCATGCGCTTGGTTTAAGTCTGCGCAGGGAATTGGGGCATGTTTCTGTTACCTCACCCTTAAAGTTGGGGTTTTGACTCTTTCATCTATTTAGAATAAAATTGTGGCCAAGTGTGGGGATTTGTGCTCTTGATTGCTGTTAGTCTTCTTTGTGTTAATTTTGTAGCCTTTCCACGCTTTTTTTTTTTTTTTTAAACCAGAGGTAAATTCTAGGCTTTACATGGGGAGTCACTAATTCCCTGATGAGGTCTGCGTGTGTCATTGTTTCCTTTTCTTTTTAGTGATGTGCATACTTGTACAGGATTTTTTTGTAACAGGAAAAAAAAATCTAGCCCAGACATTAATCCTACAACATACTCTACAGGCTCTAATTTCATCCCATTAATTTATTTTGGATACAAGTTGTACTATTAAAATTTTTTTGTATTAAAAAAATCTAATTGGTTTTTGTTTTTAAAATACTCATTGTGTGGATATTAGTTTAGGTGCTTTTGAAATAACAGAAAGGGATTTAGTGGGCTGACAGTATTGGTTTTATGATAACCAGTATGTTTGCTGATGCTGATTACTAAACTTAGTTCTTACTGGTCATAAACAGGGGACAGGGCATTTTGGTTTAATGTTTAGCTGCTCGTTTTACCTTATTGTTGAGAGATTATTGCTGATCTCTCAGTGCATCTTGGTTCCCTGCACTTCAGTTTGTTGGGGAGCTTAGGGACAAGTTAGTGTTGGCCTGGGGTGGAGGGCCCCTAGTTTCTGTCCCTCACCAACTGCTCTGTGGTTTCCAGACCTGGCAACTCTCTGCCAGGTGTGTGTACCGTAGAGTGTACTTTAACCTCCGAGGAGGAGGCAGAGGAGGAAGAGGAAGAGGAGGAGGGAGGAGGAAGAGGGCTGTGCGCTGTCTTGCTGTGTGACCCTGTGCGGTGAGTGCTGGTTCTGCCATGTTCTTCAGCTTGCGGTTGCGGGAGATGATGAGGCGTTCGTTGAGAGCGGCTGGCTTGGGAAGACACGAGGCTGGTGCTTCATCCAGTGACCACCAGGACCCGGTCTCACCCCCCATCGCGCCCCCTAGCTGGGTTCCCGACCCTCCTGCAATGGACCCTGGTAAGATCTCAGATTCTGCTTAGTGCCTAACCAAAAGACAAGATCTCGATAGGAAAGAAGTGCAACATTTTGGTGGGACAGTTAGAAATTAGAAATATTTGAAAATACCATGATGGGGCTGGAGATTTAGCTCAGTGTCATAAGCGCCTGCCTTGCAAGCAGGCAGTCGTGAGTTCTATCCCTGGTACCAATAAAAAGGAAAAAGACAAAAAAAAAAAAAAAAGAAAGAAAAAAAATACCATGATGAATATTACTTTAGTTATTTAAAACTTGATTTAGGAGGTCTGTAATTTAAAAATTGAAATCGTAAGAACACTTGTCAGGGACCCCTCTTATAAAGTATTGTTTTCTATACTGGAAGAAGCCAGGTAGTCCTCTCGTTGGTATTTCAAGGTAAATGCATCATTTGCCTGGTGGGTTCCTTCTTTATCACTGGGGGAGTAAGTGTCCACTGGCACCCGTGTCCTGCGGCTCACAGAGGAAGCCCTCAGGCCTGTGAAGGGACCGCGGTAGAGCGTGTGCCTATAATGATGTGCATCCTGCTGTTCTGTTTGCTGAAAGATGGTGACATTGATTTTATCCTGGCCCCTGCTGTGGGATCTCTCACCACAGCAGCAACTGGCAGCGGCCAAGGCCCGAGCACCTCCACGGTTCCAGGTAAGACTGTCTCTTCTCCATCTCGTGGGCGGTGGGAAGGACGCGGACAGACTTTAGATGCAGGGTCCCCAGACTTGCACCTTCATTTCAAGGAACCTTTCCTTGCTTGCAAACCATCTGGTTTCGTCTTCTCCTTGTCACGTGTGTCAGTGAAAACACATGGTACGTTAAAGTAGTTGAGATTTATAAAGTGTACATTAATGAAGTTCCTTTATTTCTATTCCTAGAATGTACTCGGTTGTGTTGGAGCATACTTTTACCCTGGCGTGTTTATTCGTGGTTTGGTGTCAGATGAATCTGCTTCATTACAGGTCCTTCCACAGAGCCTTCGGTAGTAGAGTCCAAGGATCGGAAGGCGAATGCCCATTTTATATTAAAATTGCTATGCGATAGTGTGGTTCTGCAGCCCTATCTACGAGAACTGCTGTCCGCAAAGTAAGAAGCCCTGGTTCACTTTGTCTGTGAAGTTCAGCTTAGCAACTCTGTTTAAGTGGCTCTTCTTACAAAATACGGGTGATTGTCTTATGTGACAGTGAAGTGCCTTTCCGTGACCAGCACTGCATTCCTCTGCTACTGTGCTTTTTCTCTGCCATGTCACATTCCCAAAGGAAGACAAACCAATGGCTATTTTTTGTTTGTTTTTGAGGTGCTGGGTACTGAACTAGGGCCTGCACACTTGGCTCTGTCTCTAGCCCGCTGCCCTTCATTTGTTTGCTTGGAAATAGGGGGGTGTCTCTCTGAATTGCCCAGGCCAGGTTTGAACGTGCAGTCCTGCGTCAGCCTCCCAAAGTGTAGGGTTTACAGGCTTGTGCCAGCATTCAAAACTTAGAAGCTGACCTTAATGTTAGCTTAGTCACAGTGTGTATTCTAGTGTCAAGAAGGTCACAGAAGAGTTTCCAGTACCAAAACGCAATGCTGTTTTTACCAGTTTTTACATTTATCTTAGCAGTCACGAAGGAAAATGGTATTTTTCTGTACACTTTATCTCATTTTAGGGATGCTAGAGGGATGACCCCATTCATGTCAGCTGTGAGTGGCCGAGCTTATCCTGCTGCAATCACCATCTTAGAAACAGCCCAGAAAATTGCAAAAGGTAATTGTTGTTTCTCAGGTCCTGAGTAAGGTGCTTAGCTTTCTGTTTGAATGATTTCCTTCTATTTACGTATTTTAGTTCGAGTTCTGCAAGTCCTATTTTTGTATTTATATATGAAACAATTGAGTGGAAATCATCCAGAAAATGCTTACATGTTTGAAAAGTTTATTATGTGTCTATGCTTTTCTGCAGTACATTATTTTCCCACTTTCCATCAGATAGCAGCTGGTATGAAGTTCTTGACTTTGGAAAACATACTCCATAATGGATAGTTTAGACTCTTTGGAAAAATAAAGATGCATTCCTGATAGAAGGCACCATGCTTAGCTGATCATAGTAGTAAAGATTTATAGAAGTAACAGGCAGATCTCTTATTATGGTTACTTCTGATATGGAATTCTTGCTTAATAGTGTTCCTGCTATATAATATTTAAAAAGAATTTGTTTTTGCTTTCCTTTTTTTTTTTTTAAGTGTTTTGAGATAGGGTCTCACTTTGCAGATTGGCCTTGAAGTCACTTATGTAGCCCAGGCTGGCCTGGACCTCCAAGTGATTCTCTTGCCTCAGCCTTCTAAATGCTAGGATTATAGCCACACCCAGCCTTTGGTTTAGTTATCTCCTTTTTTTTTTTTTTAAATTTTATTTAAGGAGAACAGGGGAAAAAAAGCAGAAAAAGGGTACAAGTTATACAGAATTTCAGAAAAAAATAAACAGGAAATCACTAGTTAATAGATTACATATTAGAAATATTTGTTCAAGTTACAAAATTAAAGCATATAAAGTGGACATTCAAATAGTGAGACTGTAACAGTTCTGTTCAGTGATCAACAACACTCAGTGATATGGTTATCTATCTTATACACTTAAATATACATGCAGTTATACTGTTTAGAGCACTTTCTTTTCCTCTTTCTGTACAAGGACAATTATAAATTTTGGGTTTTATTATTCCCACAGTTCTTACTACTTTTTTTTTTGAAGAGAGTAAAACCAAATGTGACATAACAGAATAGAGTCAGTCAAATCAAAAGAATAGACATAATATATAATGTAAAAACATAATACAAGATGATCAACAATGGTTACCATGATGCCTCTTGCTATCTTTTTTTTTTTTTTTTTTGTCTTTTTCATTTTTATCGGTACCAGGGATCGAACTCATGACTGCCTGCTTGCAAGGCAGGCGCTTATGCCGCTGAGCTAAATCCCCAGCCCCCACTATCTTAAAAAGAATTGCCTATATCATCAGTTATAATAAAATTATACAAAACAATAAAGAACAAAACCCATAAAACCAAAACATTGGAGACATTACAGGTCTTCAAAAGAAGATAATAGTCAACCAGAATGGGCATCATAATGAATCTTATTGTCTTCACAGTTGTTGCCTATACTTTCGAACGTGGTACTATCAAGCAAAACAGAATAGAGGAAAATCAGTCAAAACAAGACGGTGAGAGCAATACAGGGTTTCAAATCAAGTTAATAGGAAACCAAAGTGGGTTACTATAATATATCCTATTTTTTATTTATTTTTCCCTTAGTTAAGAGGATAAAAATAAAAAGTAATAAAATGGAGATTGAGATAAAAGGGCATAACATCAAAACAGCGCAGGTCAAAACATAACCATTTAAGCAAAATAGTGTTTCACTACAAGATAATCCCGACATAAAAGTAGTTACCATTGTATCTTTCTTCCTTGAAATCTCTGTATAACTTCGTATACTGTAGCATCAAACATATCAAAACAATGTAAAACCGTTCAAGGGAATGACAGTATTACAGAGTATTTAGAATCAACTAACAGAAAATGAACAATGGCTTCTGTATAATCTCCTTGTCTATAAAAGTTTTTGTTTATATTATCACATATAATAAAATCCAGTAAGATACAACATGTTAAGACCTATGGAGACAGAAGAACAAAAGCTTGATGGGACTTTAAAACAAGATGATATTAAATCAGCACTAGCATTCTGTTCTGGCTAGTCTGCCCAGTCCCAGAATGTCCCCCGTTGGAGCCTCCTAGTCCATGTCCCTGCTCTTGCCACTCACCGCAGGTCGATGCAGGGTCCCCCGCCAGTCCCGCTCTCAACTCCGTCTGTGGATTCCCGCTCTTAGGGCTTTTGCGCTTCTCTCCCTGCTGTGCTGATTGAGACACAGCAGTGGCAGCAGGAAATTCAAATTGCGGCTTCCAGAGGCATGGATTCCAGCTTCCGCGCTGAGATTTTATCTGTTCCAGTTGTAGCACCGGGATTGCATTTCCCGTTGGTTTCTTTCAGTGTAGTTCGTTCTTGGGTCAGCGGGGTATATTTCCCCTTGCTTAGGACTCCCCACTCCACACCATTCCTGGATCCCAAGCTGATAATCTCAGAGAGCCTCCGTAGCTGCTGCTATCTGTCTGTTATGTTCTCCCGAAGTCTTAGTTATCTTCTTAAAAGACGGGTGTTAATAATTTATTTGATGTTCTCTAACTGTTAACTAGAGCTGAGACTGGAGTCTTCACTGTCTGATAGCACTGAGGACTCCAGTGGCTAAGCCTGTCCTGTCGTCACAGATAGTTGTAATGATCTGGGTTTCCGCGCACGTTGACTGTATATATATTCTTGTACCACTGTCTAGTAGTCTACTGTTTGTACTCTATATATGTTAGAGCTTTTTCCATTTAAAGAAAATAGTTCTGGTTTAAGTCCTGTCCTGGTAGATAAACTCCTACATTCTTAATCTTGTTAGCTGAAGTGTCTTCGAGTGAAAAAGAGGAGGATGTGTTCATGGGAATGGTTTGCCCATCGGGTACCAACCCCGATGACTCGCCTTTGTACGTCTTGTGCTGTAATGACACCTGCAGCTTTACCTGGACTGGGGCAGAGCACATTAACCAGGTGAGTTCTGGCCTGTTTCCTATCTATGTGCTATCTTTAGAGTTCTCTTTTTTCCTCTTGGACCAACACTAGAGTTATAGATTTTATTTTACATTTTACATCTGAGCAGTGCTGGGATTACACCCTTGGAGGCTGAGTTAGAAGGATCACTTGAGAGTTCAAGGCCAGCCTGGGCTACATAGTAAGTTCAAGGCCAGCCTGCACAACATAGTGAGACCCTGCCTCAAAAAACTAACACAAAAAACAGCATTTTGAGTCTGACACTTGATTTTACTCTGAGTTATAAAACTCTCTAAAGAAAACTAATGTTGGCTTAATTCCTAAATAAATGAGTCAAAAGTTGAATACTAAATGAAATGTGACAGTATGAGAAATAGAAGTCTTTGTTAGGTTGTATAACATGATCATATTTTGTTATATAGTTCTATAATTCTGCCTTTTTTGGAAGGATTTTTTTTGTCCTATCGGCAGTATTTGAGCTTCCTTTGCACAGTCCTGCAGGTTGTATATTCACTGGATGCTTTTATAACTCCTTATTTTCCGGAGTGCATTAGTGTCACTTTGCTGCTGTTGTGGTTGAACTGTGATGGGAAGCACCACAGTAATTAGTAAGATGAGGTATGTGTACAACTGTTCCTTTAAGAGCACACTCCTGTCATTCTAGGACATTTTTGAGTGTCGGACTTGTGGTTTGCTGGAGTCACTGTGTTGCTGTACAGAATGTGCAAGGGTTTGCCATAAAGGTCATGACTGCAAGTAAGTATAGCTCTAGTAATGCTTTGTCCTGTAAACTCTGTAGACTGACTACTGCTCATGCCGCAGGACCTGCACTGCCCGCTGGTGGTGGTTGCGTGATCAGAAAGTGTGGCTCTTTTTTAAAGCTCATGTGCGGTTCTTGTTGCTCATCCAGCCTAGGCCACTCGTCACACTGGGTGACGTGTGGTGAGTAGTCCGTTCACCTCAGGAGGAACAGGTCCTTATCAGGGCTCTGGAGCCCAGCCGCAGGCACCTCTGAGGTTGCGCTGGGTTTCCTAGCGGAAACTGCTGTGTGTGTGAAGGTTGGGGGGTATTTGGCCTATGCTTTGCCTTTTAAACTCAATGTAGAAACCTTCTATCCTAGCCGTGGAATCACCCAGCTGGTTTGGTTAGTTTCACAGACTGAAGCAACAAAACGTCTTAGCTCTAACATTTGCAGTATCTCAGCCCTCTCACCCACATACCAGCGACCATGTGTGAGCATACATCAGGGAATCGCAGGTGGTAGAGGATCACGGTATGGAAACCGTCCATTATGCCTTAGTATCAGGGACTATCTTTATACTTAACATACTGATGCTTAGTTACAGTTTTTGTCAAAATGCACACGTGCGCGTGCATGCGTGCGCGCGCGCACACACACACACACTCCCTCTACGTCTTGTTGGGAATTGCACCCATGGGGTTGTTAACCACATCCCTAGCCTTCAATTTTTTTTTTTTTTTTTTTAACTTTTTTCTGGTACCAGGGATTGAACTCACGACCGCCTGCTTGCAAGGCAGATGCTTATGCCGCTGAGCTAAATCCCCAGCCCCTAGCCTTCAATTTTTGATTTTTTTTTTTAAATATTTGAGACAGTGTCTTTTCAGATTGCCCAGGGTGACCTCAAAAGTGGGGTTCTTTTGCCATAACCACCCAGGTACCTGAGATAACAGGGGTGTGATACTGCACCCAACTGTTTGTTGTTGTTTCTGCCTTTTTTTTGTTTTGTTTTGTCTTCCCCTCTCCCCAACACACGGTCTTGCTGTGTAGTTCAGGCTGGCTTTGAACTCACTGTATAGCCCAGGCTGACCTCATCCTTCAGTGGTCCTCCTCTCTCAACCTCCCAAGTGTAGGATTATAGGTGTGCACCACTGTGCCCAGCTACACCCAGCTGTTAAAAGAATTTTTCTCATAATTTTGTCTTCAAGCATCTAAAAGTGATAATGTTCTTATCACTGCTCGTTAAGAGCGCCACTGTCCGGGTGCTAAGGTAGGCTGCCCTGGGTTGTCCCTGTGCTGCCAGTGTTTGCAGTCCCCTTGGGCTAGCACACACGAGAGAGAGGCTCATCTGCCCAGGAGGCTTCAGAGGTCATTAGGGACCCAGGCACTGGGGAGGACATGTTGGGAGCGACTGGCCTGCGCCTGTGTGTTCATGAGGTACCCTTTTCAAGGGCGTCCTGTTGCTTCTCAGACTTCCTGCCCCTGAAGAGTCCTTGTCACGCATGATTTTGCAGTTGACTTTGCATTTAAAAGTTAGCAAGGGCTCTGTGTGGTCTAGTGAGTTTTGCCTTCATATACATGTACTGTGGTGTAGATTATTGTGTATTTAAGAATTTCTGTAATTGTACTTTTGTGTGAATTTTTTTGCAGACTCAAACGGACATCACCAACAGCTTATTGTGATTGTTGGGAGAAATGCAAATGTAAAACTCTGATTGCGGGACAGAAGTCTGCTCGTCTTGACTTACTTTATCGCCTGCTCACTGCTACAAATCTGGTCACTCTGCCAAACAGCAGGCAAGTGGGGTTTCGGGGTGATTGAAAGCAGGAGATGTCTGGGGGACTTCCTGACCCGCGTCCTGCTATTGCTGTCACACAGGGGCGAGCATCTGCTGCTGTTCCTGGTGCAGACCGTGGCTCGGCAGACAGTGGAGCACTGCCAGTACCGCCCGCCGCGCATCCGTGAGGACCGCAACCGAAAGACGGCTGGCCCTGAGGGTGAGCAAGCTGGGGGCCGGAGCACACCCCAGGCCACGGACAGGAACGCGGCCTGCCCCCACTCACCTCCCGTCCTCTCTCCTCCTTCTCCTAAAGACTCGGACATGCCTGACCATGACTTAGAGCCTCCCAGGTTTGCCCAGCTTGCCCTGGAGCGTGTGCTGCAGGACTGGAACGCCCTGAAGTCCATGATCATGTTCGGCTCCCAGGAGAACAAGGATCCGTATGTATTTGCTGAAATGGTTTCAGGTTTCTGTGTTTCACACGAGGGTGTGTATGTTCACAGTGCATCCTGTCTGTCTGTCTGTCTGTCTGCCCGCTTTGCAGGCTGAGCGCCAGCAGCAGGATAGGCCATCTCTTGCCGGAAGAGCAAGTGTACCTCAACCAGCAGAGTGGCACCATCCGGCTGGACTGCTTCACCCACTGCCTTATCGTCAAGTGCACGGCGGATATTTTGGTAAGGTCTCTGAGTGGGCGTCATGCTTGTGGCTGTGATCTGTGGTTTTAAAATTCACAGTCCTCAGTCATGAGCTCTGACTGAGCAGTACATGCCAGGGAATGAAGCCTGGGGGCGGACAGGCTTCCATGTACACCACAAGTACTGTTCTAAGTGAAGATCCCACCGTGTGTAAACGTGTGGAGTAGTGCGCAGGATGATTAGTAACTTAGTGCTGGCTATTTTTCCTTCAAAGATGCCTATCCTGAAATGTAAAGCATAGGACCCAGTGCTGGTGACACCCTGGTGATGCGTGCTCGGGCCTCCCGTGGAGCTGGCGGCTGAGGAGCCCCCTCACCACCAGAGCCTGCCTGCCAGCACCGCCTCACTGCTTGAGAGCACCACAGTCAGGCCTCGGAGCCTGTCCAGTGCTTAATGGGTCCGTCACAGTGGGCACTGATCAGAGTGCAGCCCAGGCGTTTACTGAATGTGAGGGAAGTAGTGATTTAAAAACAAGGGTCATCGTAAGTGGCACTGAAGAATCAGATTTTCTCCGACATGAATGTCTTTGTGATGCACGGTGCCTGGAGGAGAAACCACAGCCTAGCGGCTCACTTGTAATGGAAACCTTTGAATTGGCATTGCTGCTTTAGGAGTGCCTTAGAGGATGACGCACCAGTTTCTGATGTGATGCATTCAGTGTTGCTGTTCTAAATACCCATTGATATAATTAGAACACTGAGACAAAATAAGAAATCCTACATTTGGAGCCCACTGTAAGCTAAGTGCAGTAGTAGGTATGTTGTATAAATTAAGTCATTGGCCTTAAATTTATTTTCAGATTTTTGTCATGAAATGTTAATACTGGAAACCTGTGAGTGCTTTTTATGTCAAGTGTATGTAACATCTTAGAAAGTATCTCAACAGTAATAGAACGATTACAATTTTTTAAAGCTTTTAGATACTCTGCTGGGTACCTTAGTGAAAGAACTCCAAAACAAGTACACACCTGGACGTCGAGAGGAAGCTATCGCTGTGACCATGAGGTTTCTACGCTCAGTGGCAAGAGTCTTTGTCATTCTTAGTGTGGAAATGGCCTCATCCAAAAAGAAGAAGTAAGGCATCCTTTTTTATGTTGGCTTCATATCAAATGTCTGTCACACGTTTCTGTGACAGCGAAAACATGGTGTCTGTGCAGAGGCTCACGAAAGATCTTGGCTTTCCTCTCTGCTCCAGCAACTTCATCCCACAGCCCATCGGCAAGTGTAAGCGTGTGTTCCAGGCGCTGCTGCCCTATGCCGTGGAAGAGCTGTGCAACGTAGCCGAGTCGCTCATTGTCCCTGTCAGGATGGGAATTGCGCGGCCCACGGCGCCCTTCACCCTGGCCAGCACTAGCATCGACGCCATGCAGGGCAGCGAGGAGCTGTTCTCGGTGGAGCCGCTGCCACCACGCCCATCCCCTGACCAGTCCAGCAGGTAACACTCCGCAGCCACAGAGGCTGTGCCTGCTTTGTCTGGGAAGGCAGTGCTTGGCTCACCAGGCCTTTGTGTACACACTTCGGTAGTGTGCCTGATGGGAGAGATTTAATTTGAAACATGAAGATATTTTTAAAATTATAAGTGTGTTTACATCTAAAGTTAGTTAGGTGGGTTGCTGGGGTGGTGTTGGAAAGGCAGTTTTTATTATGCAGGTAAAGCAGTTTGGTAAGAAAGTTTACTTTAGACTTTTTCCCTTTAATGTTTTATTGATTCATTTTTGAGACAAAGTTGTGCTGTGTAGTCCAGGCTGACCCTGAACTCGCCATGTATCGCACGCTGGCCTTGAACGCACAGTGAGTTCTCTTGCCTCAGCCTCCGGATTGCTGGAGTTCTAGCTTGTACCCTCCCCAGGTTTTCCTTCCTTTTAGATACAGTGTGCTATAAAACCATATTGAGAAGTGCTGTAACTTTCTCTGTGTCCCCGCTTAGGGCAGGTGCTACTTGTTGTACAGTATGAGAAATGATCAGAGCGATCCGTTTTTGTTGTTTGGTTTTGTGTTTGGCTGTGGCGGTTGTCCTGTTTCAGTGCAGGGCCTTTTGCATGCTGAGCTACACCCCAGCCTTGGGCCGGCTCCGACATCATCCCAGGAGAGCCATCTGTTTAACCACAGGGTGCAGTGCTTCGCACCACTGTCGCTGCGTGGAGTCCTGTCACACTGAAGCCCTGTTAGCTGAAGGGTCTGGAGGTTAGGTCAGTGGTCACACTTTGGGAGGCTGACACATGAGGATTGCAAGTTCAAACTCAGCCAGACTTTTCTAAAACAAAAGAATTTTTAAAAGTTGGGGAATGTAGTTCAGCATGAAGTCCTGGGGTCAGTCCCCAGTGCCGCCAAGAGTAAAAAAGAGGAAAGAAAGCAGTGTCATCTGCTTGGTGCTAGGCAGTGTCCTTTCCAGTCGGGGCTGCTGCTCAGCCTCTCAGCATCCTTTGCCCCCCACATTGCTTCTCCTGGTTAGAAGCCACAGCCCTAAAGCACATGGAAACCACCTATCCGCTCATGGGAATGGCTCCTGTGGGCAGCTGCTTGCCCCTCGGAAATGAGGTAGGGAGGGGATGCCGAGGGTGACCGCCTCTTTACAACCTTACACTTGGCCTTGTAGCCCTTCTCATCATTTCTGAGTGAAGCGTGCTTTAGATCTCTGGCCTGCGATTAAAGTATGTTCTCTGGTTTTCCTTTCCTTTTTGAGAAAAGCGTCTGTCTTTGGCCATTTCCAAATCAGGTTTTGAGGGAAGTAAAACTTTTGTAGTCCTCCCAACCCCACTTTGGTTATTATCCCATTTTAAAATCATACTTTTGAACTGATAGTTTTTTCCCTGCACTTAACAGCAAGTGATTAGTTCCTAAGTTGATGCAAAGTAGAAATGGTGTTGGGTTTCTTAAAGAATAGATCCATCATAAACACTCTGTGAAGGGACGTGCGTTTCCATCAGAGCCTTCGGAAGCCCAGGGTTTCTGTAGGAGAGGAGGAATCCTCCCCCTGGAATTTTCCCATAGGAGACCCGTGCAAATGTCTGTCAACATACACAGTTGTGGATTTACTGACTTACCGAAAGTAATACGATATAAAAGTTAAGTCTCTGATAGAATCGTGTCTTTTAGTTTGTGTTTTCTGGTGAGCCCTGGATCAGTGCTGGTTTCCCCAAAGTTTGGACGGCCCCCAGCCTGTGCCCCGTGTGATCAGGGGCTGACTGCTGCCTTGGAAGGCACGGGGAGGCGGCCGCGTTCTCAGAGCACCACTTCCTCGCAGCTCCAGCCAGTCCCAGTCATCCTACATCATCCGGAACCCACAGCAGCGGCGCATCAGCCAGTCGCAGCCGGTCCGGGGCAGGGACGAGGAGCAGGATGACATTGTCTCAGCAGACGTGGAAGAGGTGACTGCCACAGCTCCTGATGAGCTGGATGTGAGGGTTCTCCCGGGCCGTGGGGTGGGGGCAGCCCACATCTGGCCGCTGAAGCTCAGTGCCCCATTCTCCGTATGGAATGGGTCCTCCTGCTTGAGGTGCTGGGTTAGGAAAGTGGACCTGTTCACGTGGGAGGGGTAGGACCTCAGGTGTTCTCAGCGTTGAGAAAAGCGGTTGGGTCACTCAGCGTATTCGTGATGCTGACGCATAAGGGGCTGGCCTCTGCTCCGCAGCCAGTGTCCACGCTGCCATCGGGGCTCCGAGGCCCATGCTGCTACTGTGAGGGGCGGGTGCTGTGCACTGTTCCTGGCCGTGGGCACAGCACCTGGGAGATGTGGGCCTGCTGTGCCCATTGCCGGCTGGCCGCAGACCCGACTCGCTGCAGGTGGAGGTGGTGGAGGGCGTGGCCGGAGAGGAGGATCACCACGAGGAGCAGGAGGAGCACGGGGAGGAGAACGCCGAGGCGGAGGGCCAGCACGACGAGCACGACGAGGACGGTAGGTCGCCCAGCAGAGCCCTGGCCTGTGGCCTGGCTCCCCTCCTGCCGGTCTCATGGACTGCAGCGGCTCTGTGCCGACTGTGAAACACCAGGCCTTAGAGGGCCCTGACCCGTGTAGCCCACCCCGACGCCGCGGTGTTCTGCTCTGGTCCTTCCCTGCACACTGCAGGGAGGCGTAAGACGTGTCATTGGTGACTTCGCATGTTTCGACACTAATACAGTCCCATGAAACACAGTGGGCATTTTTGACTTCTGTTCCAGAAGCCTCCCATGCAACCGGGCAGCTGGAGCAGGCAGTGGTGACCTGTGCTTCGCCCATTGGTGGTGTCCTCAGCAGACGCCAGGGCTGTGCAGGAGAAGAAAGCTGCACCTGGCCTCGGCTGCTGAGCCCTTCGGACCTTGGGGCACCTCTCCTCCCTGGGGAGCAGCCCCTGCCTGGAGCCGGTGCACGGTGCCTTTGTGCTCACTGTTCATGTCTGCTCTCTAGGGAGTGACATGGAGCTCGATCTTCTAGCAGCTGCAGAAACGGAGAGCGACAGCGAGAGCAACCATAGCAACCAGGACAACGCGAGTGGGCGCAGGAGTGTGGTCACAGCGGCCACCGCGGGCTCCGAGGCAGGTGTGTGGCTTCACTTGGCTGCTACCAGCTTAGTGTGCCACAGACCGGGCATGGGGGCCTTATGTGCCACATGTCTTTCTGTGTACGGAGAGCGTGTTAGAGCCCAAAGTGCGTCTCCAGGGAAAGTATTGTAGTGGTGCTTTCTTGGACTGCTGTGTACCAACTTAGTGTTGTATTTAAAACGTTTTCCTGAGTGAAGGGGGTGTGTTGTAATTTTGTCAACAGACTCACAAGGTTTTTGATTTTAAAAATGAAAAACAGGAGCCAGCAGTGTTCCTGCGTTCTTTTCGGAAGATGACTCACAGTCCAATGATTCAAGCGATTCGGACAGCAGCAGCAGCCAGAGTGACGACATGGAGCAGGAGACCTTCATGCTGGACGAGCCACTGGAGCGCACCACCAGCAGCTCCCACGCCAGCGGGGCTGCGCAGGCACCGCGCTCCATGCAGTGGGCTGTGCGCCACACACAGCACCAACGGGCAGCCAGCACGGCGCCAGCCAGCACCTCCACGCCCGCAGGCAAGGCTGCGCCCACCACTTGGTCTGCTCCACTCACCCTGGGGGAGGATACCTGCCTCCTGCCTTCCTGGGGCAGAGCCCGAGCAGTGCGCCTCTCCCAGCCAGCGACACGAGACGCGCCCGTCCCCTGCCCGGGCGTTCTGTCCGTTTTCGTCTCCCTTAATGCTTCCCTTTCCAAGTGGGCAGAGTTAAGGAGACGGGCAGCTGCCTACCTAGATTTCACACACAGTTGCAGCGGTGCCCCAAGTAGTAACTTCCATTGGCTCACTGTGGTTTCCCTTCTCCTTACAGCGAGTTCAGCAGGGCTAATCTATATTGACCCTTCCAACTTGCGCCGCAGTGGGACCATCAGTACGAGTGCTGCCGCAGCGGCAGCTGCTTTGGAAGCCAGCAATGCCAGCAGCTACCTGACATCTGCGAGCAGCTTGGCCAGAGCCTACAGCATTGTCATCCGACAGATCTCGGACCTCATGGGCCTTATCCCCAAGTACAATCACCTTGTGTACTCCCAGATTCCAGCCGCCGTAAAGCTGACCTACCAGGATGCAGTCAACCTGCAGGTATGGAGCCATGGAACAGTTACATGTTCACGTCTGGGTTTGGCTGTGAATTGACAATTCCAGTGTAATGGGACGGAGTATCACAAATGTTTAAATGTTGACATGCTACTACTATATCACATCTAGCTCTCCCTGGATAGTTTTAACTATTTTAGTTTGGTCTTCATAGAACTATGTAGAAGAAAAGCTTATTCCCACTTGGAACTGGATGGTCAGTATTATGGATTCTACTGAAGCTCAATTACGTTATGGTTCTGCATTAGCATCTGCTGGTGATCCGGGACACCCAAATCACCCTCTTCACGCTTCTCAGAACTCAGCGCGAAGAGAGAGGATGACCGCACGGGAGGAGGCTAGTTTGCGAACCCTTGAAGGCAGACGGTACGAAAGACTTCCGTGTCCTTCTATGTGTAGACAGAGTCCTGTCTGGCAGAGTCAGAGCTCTTTGATTGCCTGTTGAGGTTGGAAGAAATAAAGGAAGTAAATGCCTTGCATGTGTTTTAAAAAGGCTTGTGCAGCTGAAGCAGTATTTCAGGGATATTTCAGTGCTCAGCTGATTTGAAACACTGAGTTACATCTCCAGCCCTTTTTAAGAAATTTGAGACAGGGTCTCTTGGTTGCCTGAGTGGGGCTCAAAGTGGCATTGTCCCGACTTAGCCTCCCAGCGAGCCGGTGTGACAGGTACCCATCACCACTCCTGGCAGTGTGATGATCATACGGCTCGTCATGATGTCTGGGAAGCACTGGTCTCACTCCTTTGTATTTCTTAATGTCTCAGAGCGTGCTGCATTTGATTTACCAGCATCCACAGTGGGTGTTTGGATCACGCCACCTTCCTGCTGCTGTGTGTGGTGTGTGCTGCACCCAGGTGTGTGGCTTTCCATGTGGGCCTGTGGTTTCAGCACTCCCGGCGTAGAACTGTGATGGTGACAGAGTTGGACGTAGTGAGACTGCTGCCAGACTGTTTCTGGGAAATACTCAGAATAACATGCAGGAGAGCTTTGGTCTCTACGTGCTCACTAGCACCTGCGGCCAAGCTTTCGGCAACTGAGGGAGACTCACTGGTTTCTCCTTGTGGTTTTAGTGTGCATTTCTTCAGTGACCGATGATATAGATCATTGTCTCCTATGCTAATTGACTATTTGAAGAAATGCCTATATTTTTCCCTATTTTATTTTTCGGGTTTGGCTTGGTTTTGTCTTTGCTGCTCTGCAGTCCAGGTTGGCCTTGAACTCACCGAGAAGCCCTGGCTGGACTCAAACACTCAGTGATCCTTCAGCCTCAGCCTCCCACATTCTGGACCATTGCTCCTGTTTTTTTTTCCTCGTTCTTAGTTGACTTGTTGGATAATAAGTTACAAATATTTTAATATTCTGGATACTAGTGTTGTAGCAAATGTATGATTTGTAGAAGTTTTTTCATGTTTTGACTTTATAAATATTCTCTTAAGTACAATAGTTAATTAGGTAAAGTTCAATTTATCTGTTTTCCTTTGCATGTGCTTTTGGTTCATTTTAGGCAGTGGGCCTCAAAGCTTGGTCCCTAAATAGTCACATCAGCTTTCCTAGGAATTTGTTAAAAGTGTAAATTCTAGCCAGGCCTGGCAGTACATATCCATAATTCCAGCTGCTCGAGGGACTGAGTCAGGGGATCACTACTTTGAGGCCAATTTGGGTGATTTAGCAAGATCTGTCTCAAAAAGGGCTCATGTGGCTCTGTGGTAGGCTGTGCATTTCTAGCGTTGTCAAGGCTGGGCTCAGTCCCCAAGTATATGGAGTATATATAAGTATGGGAGGGAAGGAAGAAAGGAAGAAAAGGAAGGAAGGAAGCAATGTTGGTGCTTGTGCCTTATCCCAGATCTGCTCAAACCACGGTGGTAGGGCCAGCTATGGTGGTTTCGATGGACAGAATCGGTGTTTTCAGGCAAAGAGTCCCTCTGCCATTCCAGAGCTTCCTAGACTTCCTTCCCGTCCAGCGCTATGGGGCTGGAAGTCACACGCAGTGATTCTGCTTCTAAGCAGAGCCATAGGCTTGCTGAGTGTGAGTGAGGGTTCTGGGCTCCTCATTTTGCCTGTTTGTGCTATATATCATTTCACATTTGCGCTGTTTGGTAACTGTTTTCCCGTTCCTTTTGCTCTTGCAGACGTGCCACATTGCTAAGTGCCCGTCAGGGAATGATGTCTGCTCGGGGTGATTTCCTAAATTATGCTCTTTCTTTAATGCGGTCTCATAATGATGAGCATTCGGACGTCCTCCCGGTTCTGGATGTCTGCTCACTGAAGCACGTAGCCTATGTTTTCCAAGCCCTTATATACTGGATTAAAGCAATGAACCAGCAGACGACCCTGGACACTCCTCAGCTGGAGCGCAAGAGGTACCCACTCTGGCCATGCGGGGCTTTGAGGAGGGCTCCCCTGGTGTGAACTGCATTAGTAAATTGTCAGCTTGCAGAGTGGAACAGTCTAGGGACATGGACCAGGGCGTCACTGGCTCTGCCTGGCCTTTATCTGTCCCGGCTCCTCCCTTCCCACAGAAACCCAGGGATTCCCTCATGGCTCAGACTTATCAGAGCCCAGCCTAAGCGCTTCGTTTCAGGCACCCACTGCTTTTGTGGTGGTGTTTCTTGCTTCTGCTGAGCCCACTTGTTACTGTAATATCCAAGGTGGATCAGCCCACCGTTCCCCAGAGTCGGAAAGCAGATCGCAGTGTAAGAAACGGCTTGGATCCCTTCTCAGCGTGTCTGCTTTAGCTGCCCCTCCTCCTGCCTTCCCCTGCACAGATGTTTCATTTTAAGATGACTCACTTGTCTTTTTTAAGGACTCGAGAACTTTTGGAACTGGGTATTGATAATGAAGATTCAGAACACGAAAATGATGACGACACCAATCAAAGTTAGTGCCCGGAAAATCTGCTAATCTAGTGCATGAAAAGGCTGCTTCAGTAGTTCCCCTGCATGTTTTTTAGCTTATTTTCTATGTGGGAATTTCTTTTTTCTGTGTCAAAGCTTTTCTGTCCATTTCTTCTTGCACATCCTTAGGGATACATGTACACTTGTCAGTCAATAGTTCTTTCCCAGTTTATATTATCTTTTTTGTGTTTCTTAGTTTTGTGTTTCTCTTTATATAGGTGCCAATAAATAGTGTCTTAGGAAAGCTTTTGTTAATATCAATGCAAATCATGTAGTCAAGAAATTGTAAACAACTCCTGATGGTTGGTCATGATGGTATATGCTTAGAATCCCAGCATGTTGGAGGCTGAGGCAGAAAGATTGCTGCAAGTTTGAGGCCAGACTGGGCTACATAGTGAGTTTAAGATTGTCCTTAAACACACAGTGAGACCCTGTCTCAAAAATTAAACAACAGCAAAATCAAAAATAACTCCTCTCAATATCAAAACTCGTAACAGCAAACTAAAGAATGTTGGTGAGGCTGTAGCTCAGTTACTGCTTGTCTAGTATTTAGCTCAGGGCCCGGAGTTCAGATTCTAGTAATGTAACATCAAAATAAAATGATTCTTTTTCCTTCAAAACTTTTAGCATCATGAAGTTGGTATCTTCTTCTGTTATTTCAGTTGGGAGTTAGAAGACTGAAAGTGTGGTTAAACAGCCCAGTATCTCACTTTTAGTCCTCAACCAGTACTTAATTTAGCCTTGGGAGCGGACATGGTGGCTCACACCTGTATCCCCAGTACTTGAGAAGCGGAGGCAGGCGGATCATTGCATGTTCAAGGCCAATCTGGATTAAATGAGTTTGAAGTCAGCCTGGACTGCATAGTGAGACTCTGTCTCCAAAAACACAAGTGAGCCTAGTGAAAGACTGCTGACTGTTGTTTAGAAAACTCTGCCCCAGTTCAGTGCCGTGCTCACAGCACACTTGGTACCAGGGATGTTTTCTTCGCTGAGGCTGGTGCTTGGTGCTGACTCACTGTGGGTACACATGAGGTGCCCCAGGAGTAAGGCATTCCAGCAGGCTCCCTGCAGTAAGCGCTCATTTACCAACTGGGTGAATGATTCTGAGACAGCAGTACATTGGCCCTTAACTAGACAAGGAAGCTGGATCAGTGGCGGTGAACCTGTGGCCTGGGGGCTGCAGCTGACTGCTTGTATCATTGAAAGCTCTGAAAGGTTGACCTCCGCTGCTTATAAATAGATAAAGATTGGAGAAACTGTCCAGTGCACAATGGAGCAGTGTTTGTTACTGGGGCTTGTAAAGTTTTGGATTGTTTTAAGAGGTGTACACTTTACCATTGTACTCATAGTAAGTTGCCGTCTTGACATTCTTTCATCCTTCCCTTACAGCTATTAAACCCAACGCTTTCTCTTTTTGTGTTTAGGTGCTGCTTTGAATGATAAGGATGATGACTCTCTTCCTGCAGAAACTGGACAAAACCACCCATTTTTCCGGCGTTCAGACTCCATGACATTCCTGGGATGCATCCCCCCAAACCCCTTTGAAGTGCCTCTGGCTGAAGCCATCCCCTTGGCCGATCAGCCCCACCTCCTGCAGGTGAACTAGCATGGCCCTGAGCTTTGGGTGTATTTGTGACTGACTTCTCTTCAGGATCCAGGGTAACTGGGGCTGTTTCTCTTCCACTTCCAGCCAAACGCCAGAAAGGAGGATCTCTTCGGCCGCCCAAGTCAGGGTCTTTACTCTTCATCCAGCAGTAGTGGGAAGTGCTTACTGGATGTAACAATGGACAGAAACTGCCTCGAGGTAAGAGAGTAGGCTATACAGTGTGACCCGTGATGAGAGCTCGTCCAGCGTGGAGATTTTTAGATATGCATTAGTTCATAATATTTTGTTTCCCCAAGTACTAGAAGTATCAGAAACTCCTCTCCTATAATCAGATGAGTTCATCCACCATTTGTCTTTGACATACTGTCAGATCACTTCATTTATAAAATAGCTTCAGTATATGCTTGGTCTGCTTCAGAGTTGGTTGTTGTGTACTGAAATTTTAAATTGTATGTATATAAATACTGGTATAGGTATGAGCATATTTAATTTTAACTTAAAATTATGTTAGACTTGCTGAATTAATTTATATCAAAAAATGGGGCCTGGGGATTTAGCTCAGCAGCATAAGCGCTTGCCTTGCAGGCATGCGGTCGTGAGTTCAATCCCCAGTGCTGAGTAAAAAAAAATTTATGTCAAATTATAGAGAATATGTCATTACAAATCTCACTCTGTGCCAGTTTCAAAAAGTATAGACAAATGAGGTGCTGTTGGTAGTGATGTAAGAAGTGCAGGTGATAAACTAACAGTATGTGGCAGGTCTGTGGGCGCACACCACTGGCTCGCCTTCAGGTACTATCTGATGAGTGCCTGAGTTGTACTGTGCTTCTACTGGAGTAGTAGTAACGTGTTCAGAAAATCAGCTGTAGAAAAAATGTAGCTGAACGATATTTTTAAATTACCTACGTAATAGGGGCTGGGGATTTAGCTCAGTGGCATAAGCGCCTGCCTTGCAAGCAGGCAGTCGTGGATTTGATCCCTGGTACCGATAAAAAGGAAAAAGACAAAAAAAAAAAAAAATTACCTATGTGATAAGGAGAATGCAGTACCAGAAATACTGCAAATACATGGGAGTCCTAGGCATACCGGTGCTACAGAGATTGCCTTTGCCTTCCCATGGTCACTGTGGCACAGGTGCTGGACTTAGTGGCCAGTCAAGAGAGATAAGAACGGACAGCATCTTCCCCAGGGGAAGCTCTTGGGAGGATGAGATAATTAACTGTGTGTGATTTCAGGAATTACTAAACTGCAAACAAAATATAACTGATTTTTTTTTTCTTATGTGTAACTTTTAAACATAAATTCATAGGTTCTTCCAACTAAAATGTCGTATGCTGCCAACCTGAAAAACGTGATGAACATGCAAAATTGGCAGAAAAAAGAAGGGGAAGGAGAACACGTGCTGGCTGAGGAGGTCGAGAGCTCGAAACCTGGGCCATCGGCCCATGACCTGGCCGCGCAGCTGAAGAGCAGCCTCCTGGCGGAGATTGGGCTCACAGAGAGTGAGGGGCCCCCGCTCACGGCCTTCAGGTAGCTAGGGGTGCAGGGGCCTCTCCGATTCTGCAAAGACCTTTATTTAGAAATTTTACGTTTGGCAAATACATATGTACATAAACAATTAGATGTCACTGCTGTCATTTCCTCATCAGACACATAAAGCTGAACTTGTTGGATGGGGACATTTGTGACTGTTTTTGTTGTTGCTCGGCAGTTTTTCATTATTGGAGGAACTCTGAGGCTTTATGTTTCAGAGTTAGAGACTGAGTTAGGATGCGCACCCTTGTCAACCTACCAGTTACAGAGCTGTTACCGCAGGGCAGAGGGCAGCCGTGAGTGGGAAGCGAGGTCTCTGGATCCATCTTCTGGCTGATGTGGACCCTCTCCCTCAGCTCTGACTTTGCACAGACTCTGCTGCGCCCTGGTGTGGCTCCTGGCCGGGGCTGTTGATGGCCCTCTGAAGCCTCTGCACCTCTGTGGCACTCACAGGCGCTAGCAAGCTGGGCAGCGGACCGAGGGCCCACGCACAGCTGGGCAGCCCAGTCGTCCAGAGGCATGGTTGTGGCCGAGGTGGTCAGAGCCACAGAGGTGGCTGGAGGAGAGAGTTCAAGGTGGGCAGCGAGTTTTTAAAAGCAGTGCTGTGTGCCTGCCAGCCAGCTGAGAGGAGGGTCTCATGTACGGCATCAGCTGTGGGGGTGGACAGGGGGTCCTGTGCAGGAGAGACTCTCAGGCCGGGCCTTGTCACTCTGGAGCAGCCAGGAGGAGAAGTGGGCTTCCATTCTGCGCGGCAGGCAAGTGGGTGCTTCCGATGTGAGCAACAGCGGGTGTTGGCCGCGTTGGTCTGTTTGACACCGGGATTCTGGGTCAGTGTGGCAATTGTACTGCAGATGGATCCAACCCTCAGTGCAGGTTAAGGACTTCAAGGAGAGACAGTAAAATGAAAAGGGAAACTAGGAGGCTTGTGGGATATGTGTGTGTGTGTGTGTGTGTGTGTGTGTGTGTGTGTGTGTGTGTAAAGTATTCATACCTAGCAAACGGAAGGAAAAAGTAGCTGTGGAAATACCCGCTAACTAGAGAGAGTAGTTTGAGTACTTAAGATGTCAGGATGGAGAAAGAGGGCCAGTGCTTTTGAGGACTGGCTGAGTTCTCCCCGACTTCCATGTTCCCCAGGCCACAGTGCAGCTTCATGGGCATGGTGATCTCCCATGACATGCTGCTGGGACGCTGGCGCCTCTCGCTGGAACTCTTTGGCAGAGTGTTCATGGAAGACGTCGGGGCAGAGCCTGGATCAGTATGTATTTTGTGCCCTTTGAATTCTGTTTTACCTGATAAGAACAGATTTCACAGAATAATTCTGTCATGCATTTTTTTAAAGATCCTAACCGAATTGGGTGGTTTTGAGGTAAAAGAATCAAAATTCCGTAGAGAAATGGAAAAACTGAGAAACCAGCAGTCAAGAGATTTATCACTAGAGGTAAAGGTATTTAGATTTTCTTATATTATACCTATAATATACGATATATGTAAATTTTAAAACTTGCAGAATAACAGTAGATCTTGCAGGATTAGGTGCTTATAATTAAAATTTTAGAGAAACGATAATCACCAAATTCAAAATAGTAATTTTCTTGGCAGTTGACTCCCACTATAATCTTTTTGTACATTTTTTTTGTCTTTTTGCTTTTTATCGGTACTGGGGATCGAACTCACGACTGCCTGCTTGCAAGGCAGGCGCTTATGCCGCTGAGCTAAATCCCTAGCCCCGACTCCCACTATAATCTAGAGATGACGCAAGCATTTTGAGTGTTAGGGTTTAAAAAGTTTCATCATTCTCCCCTAGGTTTAAACAGTTTCAATGTCTTTGTCTCTCGGATCAAGATGACTCTCAGTGATACTCAGACGGCCCCTTCTTTTGGCTGCTTTGAATCATTTTCGCCACATCCCGGTAGTTGTTTTCCTCACCATCCCGGCTGTCCCCAATGCATTTCCTGTCACAGGTCTCTGATCAACCATTGTCTGAAGAGACTCTATGTGCTTTTTGTAGGAAGTTAGATTTTGAGCTTGCAATCTAGGTTCTAGGGTTTCACATTGCTACTGGGCGATTGTGGTCCCTTTAGTGAATAGTAAGCAGGTGTGCCCAACTTACCCCATGCTCCCTCCTTTTTAAAAGAAAAAAGAAAAAGGAAGGGAAATGATCCCAGTTCTATAGAACTCCAGGTTGATTGGATTGTGATTTTCACCTCTGAGATCTTCAAAGGTGTATCTCTTCCAAACTGAATATCTAATTTCTCAACCACACTGATAAAATTACTTACTTACTTGCTGTTATTCCACAGCATACACCCAGCAGTCTTAAAATTATAGCATCAACAAATGGTTATAAAAGTAGATTAACATTAATTTGCATTTTTAATCTCCAGCTAGAGTTGCTAGCAAATTGATTTTAAGGTCACTTGAGATAATGTCTCCTTGTGTTGTGGCTACCGCTCCCAGCTCTGCCTCCAGCATTGAGCGCAGGGCCTTTGCGCTGAGCTGCATCCCCAACCTTTTCCATTCTTTGAGAGAGGTTGTGACGTTGCCTACATGGGACGTGAGCTTGCTGTCCTATTGCCTCAGCCTCCCACAGTGCCAGGACTACAGGTGTGCGCCACCACGCCTGGCTCCTAGCTTTATATGCAGAGATATTCCCTGTTTACTGCTACCTAGTGTACTGTATTTTAGGGTTGTTATCCACTGGTATTTATTTATGTATTTATTTTAGCAAATCCCTTATAGGTTTGTATCATTCTTTTGGTATTAGGAGTGTGATAAATAGCTCTGTTTCTCTTTTTGCTAATGTGACTTGAAGGTACAGTCAGACATGAAATTATATGTAATTTCCCTAGATTCTGGCAAATACTTCTCCATTTGGCTGTATATTTGTGTGTTTTTACCATCAGTAAGAGAATGCCGGGTCACTGTAGCCTGGCCAGCAGTTTGTTGTCAGATTTTACATTTGGCTGGTCTGATCAGTAAGAAATGCCAGCTTAGAATACTTTTCATTTAAATTTCTCTTGTTTGAACAAAGTTCCGTATATTTAGGATCAGTTACATTTTTCTGTGAATTCTTGGTCTTAAGTGTGACATGTTGTTTTAGTTTTTCTCCCTACGATTTTAGTTCTTTCTGTGTCTGTAGGGTATTCACACTCTTTCAGGAATATGCATCACTGGGATGGAAGGTGCAGCTAGTTCCCTGCCCTTGCTTGTGTTTCCTGGCATCATGGAATTCATCTGTGTTATATAAAGTGTGGATCTGTGCTCCATTTGGAATTCATTCTGGTGTATCCCAAAATAGAATGGTCATTGTTTTCCAGTAGAGCTTTGAAAGAAGATGTTTTAACTGAATTTTATTCCATTGTCCTGATTTTAAGCAGGCACATTCTTATTTATTTTAGAATGTTGTGAATTTAGGATGTATTCATTTCTAAGAATCCAAATTTCTGTGTGGTTTTTACAACTACCAAGGAGAAAGTAAAATTTGGTTTTTAGAGGTTACTTACAAAAAAATGGCTTTCACCTTTGAACTCACTGCTTTCTGATGTGTCGTCATAGGTGGACCGGGACCGGGACCTACTCATTCAGCAGACCATGAGGCAGCTGAACAACCACTTTGGCCGGCGGTGTGCCACCACGCCAATGGCTGTCCATAGAGTGAAGGTCACGTTTAAGGATGAGCCGGGCGAGGGCAGCGGCGTCGCACGCAGTTTCTATACTGCCATTGCGCAAGCATTTCTGTCAAATGAGAAATTGCCAAATCTGGATTGTATCCAGAACGCCAACAAAGGCACCCACACCAGTAAGTGGCTCACAGAGAGCAGCCCTCATGAAAAACGATTATGTGTTTATCAAAACGCAAATCACAATCATTGTATGTTTGCAGTTGAACAATTGTACTACGTGTTTACATTTTGATTTACTTTATTCTAGATGAATGACCTAATCTTAATTAAATTAGTTCCCAGTTTTAAGTTTGCTCTTTTACTGCCTGTTTATTTTGATGAATGCTTATGACCGTCCCGGTTCCTCCTTGTAGTAGTTACTTGTCTGGAGAGCAGGGACTGTAAAATACTTGTGATGCTAAACTCAGTGAGCAAGCTGCAGTGTTTGCTCCTCTCCTGTGTTAACACAGATTTGAGTAGAAAATGCCTTTTCTCCAAAGGTTACACAGAATGTGATTCACAAACTGGGTGCTGGTCTCCCTTGAGAGGAGATCACAACCAAATGTGAACCCAGCTGCATCAGTAAATAAGCTCACTCTGTTAACTTAGCAAGTAGTTTTTGTTTTACTTTTTTAAAAGCAGAATTTTGTATATATTAGCATCCCAGAGAGTATAGCCTTACTACCTCACTGAGAATCAGCACTTCGGGATTAGGGCTCTTACCTAATGTTCAGGATTATAGTCGGCAAACTTAAAAATTGTGAAAATTACAGAGCTTTAGATGCTAATTGTGAGTTATGTCTAGTAGGGACAGAATACTAACTGTGGACCATCAGAGTGGACAGGTGCAGGTACAGGGGAAGAAAGCCCTCAGGTCCACATGGGCTGAGTCCTGTCTCCTGCGCACACTGCAGGAAGGAGAGGGCATGAGGTGCGAGGTGCCCCTGCCCTTCCCTCACTGTTACCTGTGGCTCCCTGTAAACGTCCAGTAATCGAAGGGGTAGCAGATTTTACTGGGAAAACCTCGGCACTCGTAGTGTTTCAGAAGCATCTTGTTTGCCTGGCTGGAGAGGCTGTGCTCTGGGCTGCAGAGCTAACAATAAGAGGGCCACTGTGCTGGTGGCCTGTGCAGCTTAATACCCCTAAGCCACGAGCAGAGCATGGGTGGAGTGGTGAAATCATCCGAGAAACGGCGGCTTTATTTATGTGCAGTGAAATTCACGTAGCCATGCTTACATGCACAGGGCTTCCCAAAATATGGTAATGGTTAAACAAAAATTTTGACAGTGAAGAACATGTTGCCACTCATCTCCCTCTGTGTACCTCCTGGCTGTGCACATGGTCAGTCCATCATTCTTGGCAATGTGTCCTACTGTAAGAAGTTGTTTTTTAACTTAGACATTCACTGTATTTTTAGATCGCCCCTTGTGTCTCACAGCCTTGCTGGCAAGGGGAAAAAACATTCTGCGAGCCCCGTGGGGTGACGGGCATGCCTGCGCGCAGTCTTGATGTTATAGACAGGCTTGCTGGTATTCATCTAAACTCTGTCTCATCTTCTCTTTAGGTTTGATGCAGAGATTAAGGAACAGAGGAGAGAGAGATCGGGAAAGGGAGAGAGAAAGGGAGATGAGAAGGAGCAGTGGCTTGCGAGCAGGTTCTCGGAGAGACCGCGATAGGTGTGTAATAATTTTGTCTTACTGAATACCAACTACTGTTCTAAAAAAATTGGACATAGGTTTGTAGAGAAAAAAATCTTAATTACAGACCATGTTTTAGAAAATGAACATTTCAGCCGGGCGTGTGGCTCACACCTGTAATCCCAGCACTTGGGAGGCTGAGGTGGGAGGATCATTGCGAGTTCGAGACCAGCCTGGGCTACAAAGTGAGCTCAAGGCCAGCCTGAACTGCATAGTGAGACCCTGTCTCAAAAAAGAAAAAGACAAAAAAAATGAACACTTCATCCTGGTGAGGGCGTGTAGGCTATGACACCTGCACTCAGGAGGCCGACTCAGGCTGCATAGGGAGATCTTGTGTCTCTCCCCGCATTCCCCCCAAAGTTCTGAGATTTGGGCTAAGTAACAAATTCTGTTCTGAAGTCCCAGAGGGGCAGTTAAAATTATATTGCCTGTCCCTGTTATAAAAAATGAAAAATATATTGCCTTTTTATTTATCTACTCAAATCCCTAATTGACCTCTTTATTACCTTTTATCATTGTTCCCTTAGTTTGTCTTAAATTCTAAATCATGGCAAGCTATGTTATTTACATCTTTTGATTTTTCTCTTACTGTAATGGGTTGCATTTTACTTGCACTTAAAATTTCCAGGAACTAAAAAAAAAAAAAAAAAATATTCCAGGAACTGTGAGTGGACTCTAGTGTCTGATACTTTTAAGGTCCTGTTCCCTCAGAATCAGATTACGGGGGCTGGAGATTTAGCTCAGCAGCATAAGTGCCTGCCTTGCAAGCAGGCAGTCGTGAGTTCAATCCCTGGTACCGAAAAAAAGGAAAAAGACAAAAAAAAAAAAAAAAAAAAAAAAAATTCCACAGAGTCAGATTACGTAGCATCAGTGTAGTTATCCGGGTAACAGAATCTAGCAGGTCATGATGTGCTCCCTTGCGCCACCTGGGCCGCCCCTGCTGTCTCCCTGTGCCACCTGTGCGCCTCGCAGGTAAAGGGAGCGAAGCCATCAGCACTTTCTCTCTCTTGCAGAGACTTCCGAAGACAACTTTCCATTGACACTAGGCCCTTCAGACCCGCCTCCGAGGGGAACCCCAGCGACGACCCCGACCCGCTCCCGGCGCATCGGCAGGCGCTTGGAGAGAGGCTGTACCCGCGCGTGCAAGCTATGCAGCCCGTATGTGCAGTGCACAGAGCCACTTACCAGCTAGCTCTGGCTTTTTTTCCTCCACTTTTGAATGAAAATAACCATTTCAGAATCATCAGGGACTGATCAGCCCCAGCTTGGGAGTCTGTTTTGCTGGGTAACAAGCGCGTAGGAAGGGGTGAAGCTGTATTTCTTGGCGCTTCCCTGAGCACTGCCCACCATCTCCGTTCTGCGTAGCAGGCTCCTTGGGTGCTGAGGGGTAGCTGGGTAAGGTAGTTTTCTGCGTCACTGTTGGCACATGCCACCGTTCCTTTCTGAAGCCTGCCTTGTCCTTAGCAAGTGTTAGCTGAGACACCGCCGGAGTTTACTGCTGCTACAGGCTCGGGAGTTTTTATTTTGAACCACCAGTTCCATTTTTTTTATATAGAAGACCTATAAACTAGATTTTTAAATTTATGCATAGCAGAAAGAATAAAACAGAAAGCCAACTATGTTTTGTGCAGTAAATTCTTAGTTTTAAGCATTTTTCACCCTTTTTGTCAATTCTTTTCTCCCTTTTTCCCACTTCTTTTCTCCCTTTTTCCTACACTAAACGAGAAGTTTATAATTCTCCATTGCAGGGAAAGAAAATGGGAGTACATGTGTTTACATAGGGACTCAGAAACCTTGAGAAGGCTTGTCAGAGCAAAGGGCAGGCCCACATTCCCTGCTGGGCACTGGAAGCCACACTCACTGCTAAACTTACTAGTTTACAAGGTTTTGCACTTGGTTTTTTGCTTTGCTCTGCCCGCGCGCCCCCCCCCCCCCATTGTGGATTTTGACAGTTTCAGAGAGAGGGGGCAAGCAAGTAACATTTGTTCATCATTTTCAGGCATTTGCAAGTAAAATCACGGGCATGCTGTTGGAATTGTCCCCTGCCCAGCTGCTGCTCCTGCTTGCCAGTGAAGATTCTCTGAGAGCAAGAGTGGACGAGGCGATGGAGCTCATCATTGCACATGGACGGTAACGTGCACACTCTTGGGGGCATTTCCTGTACATCAGCTGCTTTACATTCAGCAGTGTGCCACCATCCGCTAAAAATTCTACCATGGCATACAGTACTTCAAGTGTTACTTTAATGTAGGAGCTTGAGCCAGGTGTGATGGTGCACACCTGTAATCCCAGCACCAAGAATTCGAGGTCACCCTGAACTAGATGGTGAGACCCTGTCTCAAAAAAAAAAAGATGGCTTGAAGTTAACGAGTGAAACAACTGAATTTCTCATGTTACTAGGGTAGTAGTTTTCCTGTCTCTTAGGTTCTCAAAGATCTTCTGTGTGTATGCTTGATGTTTAGAAATGGTTTCAAAGGCCCCAGTGTGGTGGACAGACCTGTAATCCTAATACTCGTCACCAGTTCAAACCTAGCCTGGGTAACTTAGTACGACCCTATCTAAAATAAAAAGTAGTTCAGTGTGACGGCCTTAGATTCAGCCGTGGCAGGTGCTGGGGACAGGTGCTGGGGCTGGGGCTTCAAAGAAGAGCGTCTCAGATTCTCTGCTAGAATTCCCTTAGTGGCCAAAGACCTGACTATTATACTCAAAACCCATGAGATGTAGCCCTAACTTCTTGCCCTGAATATCAGGTTTTTAAAGGCATCTTAATGCACCTTAAAGATGCCTGCAAGCTTTGGTTTTCTACTCTGGAATGAATTTGTTTAATATAAATTTAAATATCTATCAGTTAAATGATTTATGCCCCTTTTCCCAAGGTGCCAAGTAAAAGTGACATTAAGAAGATGGTCCTTGCTTATTCTGTGGCTTTTATCCTAGTCAAAGCTGTGATGCACCAGTGATTGTAGATGAAAATTTCTGCAGTTCTAGAGGGTAAACCCCGGGCTTTCCCTCTGCCTTAGCTCTGCCACTGAGCTGCGTCCTTAGCCTTTAGATGAGACCATCTGTTCTTTTCTTCTTAACCATGGTGTTTGATGGAGGAAGTAGGTTTGATACAGTCTGCAAGGTGGGGAGAAGCAGGCAAGCTGAGCCACAGAACAGCACTGCCAGAGCATTTGCACAAGCTAGGTCAAAGATGATGGAAGTTGGTGTTTCACTGTTACTACTGCTTTTTCTCTGGCCTTGTATGAATCGTTTCTTTATTCATCTCTCTTGTGACTGGAGCTATCCAGTGTAGCACATGGTTGTAGCTTAGCCCATTATAGACAAAGTTAAGAGGGTGCATGAAGATTTTTGTGAATATGTGGGGTGATCCAAGTATATGATGATTGTTAATGTCTTTATAAAGTATTACAGCAGGCGCTGGGGATTTAGCTCAGCGGCATAAGCGCCAGCCTTGCAAGCAGGCAGTCGTGAGTTTGATCCCTGGTACCAATAAAAAGGAAAAAGACAAAAAAAAAAAAAAAAAAAAAAAGTATTACAGCAGCACAGGTGCCTGCCTGGCGAGTGCAAAGTCCTGAATTTGATTCCCAGTGTGCGCCCCCTCCCCATTATTACAGTAAAAGACACATTGCCATTAATCGCTCGCCAAATGCTCCCTTCACTTCGAGCCCTTCTCCCATCGCTCTTGCTGCTCTCCGCCACAGCTCTGGGTTCTCTTTCCTGAGCGTCTTCAGCTGTGCGCCTCTGCCCACCTTGGTGTCCTAAAATCACTCAAAGTGTGAGTTTTTGTGGTCTTCTTGACTTTGAGAAGAGCTAGAAGCTGGGCATGCTGGGTGTGGCGAAAGAGGAGGGTGAGGACCCACTGTGATGTTTTTACAAGCCTGTACTCTGCAGCAGCATCACTTTCCATCAAAACATAGTGGACTTCAGAACCATTTCTGAATGTGGCCACAGAGGTGGGATAAGTGTGTCTGGAGAGGGGCAGGGGCTTGAATCACAAGTTTTAAAATGGAGGAATTCGCCCTGTGTTTTGATCATACCACAGTAAGTGTTGCAATTCAGTAGTTTTCCAGTTGAAGGCAAATAATGTACACTGTTGACTGTGCACTTGACTTTGGAGAGTGAACTTAGTATTCTAGAATTATTAAACATGCTACAGAATTTGATTCCTGTTATGATCGCTTCCTGAACATCTTTGTGCTTTTTGCACAGTACCAGCTCTGAGCCTAACTTCCATCACCCCAGTGAAGGCTGCACTTGTTTTGTCTTAGATTTTGACTCATAGGCAGCAGCTAGTGGGTTTTAGAATGTATACTATTGACCCCCCTGTTCCCCAGAACTCTAGTAAGACCAGTAAGTGCCCTGAAATTTGTTGACTTCAAAATGCTCGTGCATTTATAAATTCTTATAAATGTAAACTAATAAACGTTCTGGTTACTAAGTTGTAAATGTTACATTTACCTGAAATGCGAACACTTTTTCATTTGTTTTTAGGGAAAATGGAGCAGATAGTATCCTGGATCTTGGATTATTAGACTCTTCAGAAAAGGTGCAGGTAAGGAACGTTTTGTTTTTGTGCTAATAAACACTTAGATTTAAATTTAAACAAATTCAAATAAGTGGGAGGAAAATAGGACTCAGGAAGGAGCTATGTTTCACAAGTAAAATAGAAAATTACATAGAAGCAAAGGCGAGATACGGAATCAGGTCATAAGATTGGTAGAGCTTGGGCTCCATGTGACCCTACTGACTGCTCCTGCCTTTTGAGCACAGACTGAATCAAGCTGGTTTGGAGATGCAAGGCCAGGGATATAGCAGCACAGCGCGTGCCTGGCAAGCATGAGGTCATGAGTTTGATCCCTGGTACCCCCCCCCCCAAAAAAAAAAAAAAAAAAAAAATCTTACCATCCAGTTCGGAGACGTACTGAACTTAGGACACACAAAGCAATTGATGGTAATAGTACCCAAAACAAACAGCGAAGCACTGTAGTCTAACGGTAAGAGAAACCTTAGGACATCATGTATTACTTCATGATACGCATGTCACCCTTCAGCTGCTGGAGAGCTTCCGCTGCAAAGCCACTTTCACCTTAGCTTTTTTTGGCTATGCTCGGGATTGAACTCAGGGACTTGTTCATTCTAGGCAAGCACCCCGCCACTCACCTACATCACTACTCTTGCAAACCTTACCTCTTTAACTGATAGAAGCTCTATAAAAAAGAAACTCCCTGAAAAGTTTGAAAAGTAAGCAGTCCCATACCTGTTGGAGGGAAAGTTTGGAACTTGAAAACTGCCTGATATGGTGTCTTTTCAGGCAGGCAGTAAAGCAGATCCTTGTTACTCTGTCTTCCCTGGAAGACAGTTAAAGCTGTGGGAAGTGAACTGCAGTGTAAACTGTTACCCAGGTCTCACACTGTCCCCCGTGGTTCATCCCAACAGAATAGCAAAGGCCTTGCAAAGTTTTTTTTTAACAGTACCAGGGATTGAACTCACGACTGCCTGCTTGCAAGGCAGGCGCTTATGCCGCTGAGCTAAATCCCCAGCCCCAGGCCTTGCCAACTTACATAGCATTGAAAGTCCTGTGCTGCTACCATCTCCCCCACCCCAACACAATAAAAGTTTTCATATCATTTGAGTGCCATCCAGATTCACAAAGTGGTACTCAAGTGCCTGAGGTACAGCTATTCAAAGCCCCCAGAATTAGTCATCAGAGAAAAAGCTGGGAAAGCCTGGCCAGTTCTGAAAAGAAAAACAAAAGATGGTAACACTGACATGACCCAGTTATGGAACTTCTAAAGAGTGACTCATGCTACATGGGAGAGTGAATGGAAGGACCAGGATTCTCAAGAGAAATGGGAAGTTTAAAAGGCAGAATCAAACTGGAATTTCAGATTTCACAGTACAGTGTATGGAAGAGTAAAGTTCACTGGATAGATCAGGAGCAGAACCAAGATACCAGGAGAGTGGAAATTATCTCTTTGGAACAACATGAAAGATTTTTTTTAAAAATGCAAACAATTTCAGGGCTTGTTTCAGGACAAAGTAAAAAAGCTAATTTATGTCTTTGGCATGCTCAGAGGAAGAGGAGAAAGCGCTGCTATAGGAAAAATATTTTAAGTAGTAAAGACTGAAAAATAAACTTGGTGAAAGACAGTACAGATTCAAGATCAAGGAGCTCCAAACTAAGTAAAACTAAGTAAAAACTAAGTAAACTAATTAAAAGAAAACTAAGTAAAAACTAATTGGTTTTGTCACAACTAAAGGAGCCAAATACCATTTTCTTATGATGGAAATAATAGTTTTAAAATTAAGTTTATTAGCACATGTGTACAGTATATAATGGTTACATGGACACAGTATTTTAAAAGACAGAAAATTTCTTACTAAAAACTGGAGGTGAAGCTGGGGATTTATCTCAGCAGCATAAGCCGTCTGCCTTGCAAGCACGCAATTGTGAGTTCAATCCCCGGTACTGATAAAAAAAAAAAAAAAAAACTGCAGAGGCCAGAAGACTGAAGAGAAGACTCATCAGGGTAGTGAAAGAGTTGTCTGAAGAATTTTATATGCAATAAAAATTTTTTCAGGCATTAAGGTGACAGAAGCTGACTTAATTTCGTTGTTTGTGCACATGTTTTATGTGCAAAAGTTCTTGTATTTTCCACACCAGCTAAGCTCTTTGATGTAGTCTTTTTTTTTTTTTTTAATTGGTACCAGGGATCGAACTCACCACGACCATGTGCTTGAAAGGCAGGCACTTATGCCGCTGAGCTAAATCCCCAGCCCTGTGCAAAAGTTCTAAAGAAATGCATTAGAAGTTTGTCTTTAAGCAGGGTGTGGTGGCAAACCAGTGATCTCAGCACCCAGGAGGGTGAGGCAGGGAGAATCATCACTGTGAGCTCCAGGCCAGCCTGGCCTCTACCTTGTAACTCGGCCAGTCTGGACTGTGACAGGGACCCTCCCTGCCTCGGGCACTGGTGTCTAATGTTACACAATGCAGATGCAAATGTTGCTCTGTCTCCCAGCTTTGAATGATCTCAGAGAGTAAGTTCATACATTTCATGCTTTAAAAAAATGCTCCGGGGCCTCCTGTCTGATAATCTGTTACTAGGAGAACCGAAAGCGGCACGGCTCCAGTCGGAGTGTAGTGGATATGGACTTAGATGACACAGATGACGGTGATGACAATGCACCCTTGTTTTACCAACCTGGAAAAAGGGGATTTTATACTCCAAGGCCTGGCAAAAACACAGAAGCGAGGCTGAACTGTTTCAGGAATATCGGCAGGTAAATCCCCAGCGCCTTCCGGGAGGGGCGCCTGGACCTTAGCTCTGGCCGCCCTGGCTGCCACCATATCGGGCCCGTGGGGACGCGGGGGTGTGTGTGTTGCTTCGGTTTAAATCCATTTGTCTATTTTGTGTCTAGGATTCTGGGACTGTGTCTGTTGCAGAATGAACTTTGTCCTATCACACTGAATAGACATGTCATTAAAGTGTTGCTTGGTAGAAAAGTAAGTATTTGTGGGGCTGGGGATTTAGCTCAGCGGCGTAAGTGCCTGCCTTGCAAGCAGGCAGTCGTGAGTTCGATCCCCGGTACCGATAAAAAGGAAAAAGACAAAAAAAAAGAAAAGTAAGTATTTGTGATGAACCTGACAGATGTTACGGTTCCAAAAATTTTCTTTCATGCAGTACAGCAATGCTAAGCACACAGTATTCACAGGGCTCACTGACAGTTACACTGGGAAGCATTACAGTCATTATCATTTTCAGACACTTAGGTGGGCCTTCAGCCAGCAGCCCGGACCCCACAGCGCCTGAGGCTTCCCACCCCCAGGCTGCTGCTTTATAAGTCCACGCAGTTGGTTGCAGCAGGGGCGCGGGAGTGCGAGTAGTCCTGAAAAGAACCTTCCCACTCCAAAGCACGCCTCCAGGTCCCCGGAGATGGCACCTAAGGGGGCGTGAAAAACGTGGCACACAGTGCTTGGTGTTTATTGTTTGGTGGTGGAATTCACCGAATTTTGTTGTGTTTTGGTAGCCTGGCAGCTTGCACATTCCTTTATGATGAGAGAGGGGAGAAATTAAATTAAATTATAGTTATACATAATATAATAATCACATAACATATATAAAATATATAATTATATATAATAAATTTAATTTATAGAAATTAATATATAATGCTAATTATGCAGTTTTTGATTTTAAGAACTTCCTAAAGAAGTTACTTGACACAAAATAGTGACATATTAGTCTAAGAATGTATATCACATAGCTGATGTAAATTAGCACTGTTAAAACCATGGTCTTCTAATAATTATCTTTAATTGAACCCACTGATATGTACTGATTTGATTAATATTAGGAGATACCGGGGCTGGAGGTTTAGCTCAGCGGCATAAGCGCCTGCCTTGCAAGCGCATGGTCTTGAGTTTGATCTCTGGTACCAATTAAAAAAAAAATCAAGTGATTGCTTTAAAGCAGTTTCACATATTCAGTGGGAAATTTTCTATTGTTGTACCTTCACATTAAATGTTACATACTTTAATGTACCAATGGGTTTTGTGAAGTTTTTCTTGATTGAGTCTCATGTTCTGTTCTTAGGTCAACTGGCACGATTTTGCTTTTTTCGACCCTGTAATGTATGAGAGCTTGAGACAGCTAATCCTTGCTTCCCAGAGTTCAGATGCAGAGGCTGTGTTTTCAGCGATGGATTTAGCGTTTGCAATTGACCTGTGTAAAGAAGAAGGTGGAGGACAGGTAGAATAGTGATCCCAGCAGGAGATTTGGACCCCTCTCGTGGCTGCTCGTGGTTCTGTAGAAACAGGACGAAGAGAAGGGCAGCTGTGCATGCCCGAGGAAGAAGTGCACGTGGTGGGCGGAGGGGAGGGGGACTGCTGTACTTAGCCTTAAAATGTCTGTGACTCTGAAGACCCTTAGCAGATAGATTGTAAAATTCTAGAAGCAGTTTTATGTGCCCTTAACTTACCGGGTTGTACAGAATCACCACTATGTCCCTGGCAACTCTCTCCCAGGTGGAGCTCATTCCTAATGGCGTCAACATCCCCGTCACACCCCAGAACGTGTATGAGTACGTGCGAAAGTACGCGGAGCATCGGATGCTGGTGGTCGCAGAGCAACCGTTGCACGTGAGTGCCTCCTGCGTGGCGTCATCGTTGTCTTTGCATTTGGTAGCCTAGCTCACCCTCCCCACCTGATCTGTAGACCCAGAGTTTCCAGGCAAGCACATCATAAGCCAGGCAAATTATGCCTTGAGGCATCAGACCAGTGTCCACTTTCTTTTGGTTAGAACTGCTTGGAAGAGCCGTGTCTCCACTGGACGGTGGCTGTGAACAGTTCGGAAGGGAGGTCTGTGGAGGGCCTACACCTTGGGTGACCCGCTGGGTGTTAGTATTTCCACCCGTGTGCTGGACAGGCTGCAGGCCTGAGCCGCGCGCTGAGTCCCAGCCTGGGCCTGCCTCCCTCTACCGGCTGTGGTGACAGCAGAAGCTGGGAGCTGTCTGCCCTGGCTCCTTCCTCTACAGCATTCGGAGTGAATGACAGCTGCATGTGAGCTACTGTCACTGGCGGGCTGTCACAGGCCTGGAACTGGGCCCCAGTCTGCCCACCCGCCATCAGGAGTACAACAGAAACCTAGAAACATGGAAAAGGGAGTTTGTTTGCACTTTGGCCGTCTTGGGGAGGGGAGCCAGCCTACTACCCTTCCAGCACAAAGGAGTGCTCCAGGTCATAGCCAGGGAAGAGCTACATGGAGACAACATGGTTGGCCTAGAAGGTCAGAAGGCTCTGTCCTCCTAGGCAGCAGGCCAGGGGTTAGGGGGTTACATTTGAGAAAGCTAGAGAACCAGAATGTAGCTGTGAAGAAAAAAATCCTAATTTAAAGAACCTGTTGTTAGATGTCCATTACATCACTTGGAACAACTCTTGCAAATGGTAGCTTTTCAGTAAGCGTCTAGATTGATTTGGGTCTGGGAGGTTTGTTGGTGTGATTACTGTGCCTTTCCCGGAGGCGGGTGGGATGACACTCGGGGGGGACACTTCTCAGTGACTCGGAGCTGCTGCAGCCTTCGCCTTCTGCTTGTCAATCTGTTAAGCAATTCAAAACACAGACCTTTAGGTTTGTTAGAGGTTTTTTTGTATTGGGGATTGAACTCGGGACTGTGTGCTTGCAAGGCAGACGCCCCTTCTTTCTGTTTTTGAGGTGGGAACTAACATTCTTGGAGAAGCCTGTTAAAATTAGATGTTGAAAAAAAATTAGATGTCGAGTTTTAACAGTACAAATAAATACTGCATGGAAATAAAGTACTGGATTGTGATAAAAAGTTTTTTTTTTTTTTATTCCTTAGGCAATGAGGAAAGGTCTGCTAGATGTGCTTCCAAAAAATTCGTTGGAAGATTTAACAGCGGAAGATTTTAGGCTTTTGGTTAATGGCTGTGGTGAGGTTAATGTGCAAATGCTGATTAGCTTCACGTCCTTCAATGATGAGTCAGGTAGGACACTCACTTACATGTCTGAGGGATAAAGCACACTTTCCTCAGCACGTTCCCAGTTTCTCCTTCCTACATTTGCTCATAGGCCCAGAAAGTACTTGGGCATTCAAATGTTTTTATACTATTATTATTATTTTTAAAGGTATGAGTAAACAAAATACTTCGAAGGCCCATTAGCTTACTTTTTGTAGGTTTTAAAGAATACATGGTTTGGGGGCTGGGGATTTAGCTCAGTGGCATAAGCACCTGCCTTGCAAGCAGGCGGTCGTGAGTTCGATCCCTGGTACCGATAAAAACAAAAAAAACGAATACATGGTTTGGAAAAATACAGATAAAAATTAAAAATTATTTGTGAAAAGCCAGGCTTGGTGACATAAGCCTATAATCCCAGGACTCGGGAGGCAGAGGCAGGTGCCTCACTGAAAGTTCAAGGCCAGCCTGGGCTATATAGGAGGACCCCCCTTCTTAAAAAACAAACGAAAGACTTACTGTTGAGCAAGAGATTTGTATATACTGAGTAAGAAAAAATAATCCGTGGGACAATTCTACTGGTTCTCTCTGATTTGTGTTCATTACCCTCTAATAACGAATTTGATTGCTTGATGCTTGTTTTGTAGAGGTGCAACGGTGGCACGCTTAAAAAGATACGTATATACAGTATATACAGAATCGAGAGGGGTCAGGGAAATTCTCCCAGGACAGCTGCATCTCCAATGTTTGATTTGCTCTGCAATTCCTTTTTTAAAGTCCTTGGGAGTAGAAATGGATTTTAGCTCTGCCTCCACTGTAAAACATTGGAAGATCTAAAAGTTCACCATGAAAGAATTGTACTTATAGTCCAAGGTGATTAAATACATAAAGGTGTCAATTTTTTCCTTTTGTAATTTGTTTTAAATACAGACAGAACATTTAATCTGGGTAAAATTACAGAAAATTTAATACTGGCAAATTTTCTTTATTTTTTTCTTTGTTCTTGGGGTTAAATACATGTAATAGTTTTGTGCTACTTTTTAATGTAGTTTTCTTGTTTTTCTGATTTTTGAGACAAGGTCTTGCTATACAGTTCAGGCTGGTTTTCCAACTCAGTGTAGCCCAAGCTGGCCTTGAACTTGGGGCAGTCCTTCTGCCTCAGGCTCTGCAATGCTGGGATTACAGTTGTGCGTAGCTAGGTTTCCTCACTTAAAAGAATTTATCTCATTTTAAATTCAGAAATCTAGGAGGGAAAACAAGCCTTCTAAAGAAACTGCCTCCAGCTAGATGAGCAGCATAGGTATCATTGGGAAGGTTCTAACATCATCTCTGGGGTCCCCTCCTCACCCTCACGTTCAGTAAACAGGTGGGGTTGCATTTGAAGAGATCCCACGGGACTTGGTGCGAGGAGATTGCAGCTCCTGCTGCACGCACAGCTGCACAAACCGCTCTCCATCTGCTTCACGAGGCGCTCAGCAGCGTCCTGACCCAGATTGCTGTGTGATTTTCAGGAGAGAACGCGGAGAAGCTCTTGCAGTTCAAGCGCTGGTTCTGGTCCATTGTAGAGAAGATGAGCATGACGGAGCGGCAGGACCTGGTGAGTCCCCGGCCACTGCCTTGCAGAAGCAGGTGGAGGGCTTCTTGGTGGTGGTGGCAGTGCTTTCCGGTTTTGTTTTGTAAGGACTGAGCCAAGCTTGTGGAGCTCTGCTCCCAGCCCTCCCCGACCTTCCCGTGTAAAAAGCTGGATGCTGTTGGCGAGGGTCTGTCATCCAGGTGGGGCAGGGAGCCAGCGGGGCCTACAGACAAGCAGATGCCCAGAGTGCCCCTGACTCTGGAGCAGCCTTAGTCTCTCAGGGTGGTGGGTGCCAGCTCACCTCACAGCAGATCTGCTGCAGGATGGGACAAGACAGGGCGGGTGGGAGCCTCGGGAGGCGGGGTGCACTGCTGACACCTGTCCTAGGAAGCCGGGGCGCAGGCTCCCAGCACTGCTGAGGCTCCCTGCGTGGACCCTCCAGGGGGCCAAGTGCGCTGCTGGCCGGCTGCTGCCGAGCTCCGCTCCGGATGTAGCTGTCCTGGGGACTGGTGTGAGCTGTCTTTGTTTCCACTCGTGCCAATGCTGTTTATTCAGGGTCACTTGGATAGTTGTTTTGGATTCTGTCACTCGTCAGTCTTTCACTTTGGGACACCCTGACTGTGGAAACCCAGATCATCTTCGCATGATCGATCCTGGCTGTTCTCCCCAGGTGCATTTGTTCATAGTTTTGTTCCAGTTCCTCTTCCGTTCAATCAATTAAATCTTACTTAGTTTCTTCCTTATTCTGGAATAAAGATCTGCTAACTATTCACTGGTAGACTAAAAAGAACATTTCCTTCAATAAGTGCCTCAAGATTTCCTATCGATAGCTTTAATTTGTGAGCATCATTCTTTAAATGTCTGATGAAAATCCACTTTTAGGATTTAAGCATCATCCATCCTTCTATTTTTATTTTGACTTTTTTTTTTTTTTTTTGGAAGACTAGATCTCACTCTGTAGTTCCAGCTGGCCTGTAAAACTCACTGGATACTCCAGGGTGGCCTTGAACTCACAGCCATCCTCCTGCCTCAGCCTCCTGAGTGGCAGGATTGCAGGCGTGTGCCACATGCCGGATGCGCTCTCACCCCAGTGTGCTGGAGGCGGGGAGTATGATGCACACAGGAGGTAGCAGGGCTTTCCGAAACATCAGGTCTCCTCTGAACCAGTGCTGCTGCAGGATTACAGGGCTTCCAGGGTTAGTGGGTCAGAACTACAGTGCGCTCCCCTGAACAGCACCATTGAAGGTTAAATAAGGTACTCACCTACCTTGATCACATTCATTCTTAGAGCTTCTTTTTCGTCTGTAAAATAAGTAGACTGGACCAACTTTTTTTCTAGTTGTTTGTAGTTCTTTAAAGGTTAAAAAATAACAACAACAACAACAACAGGGTCTTGCTGTGTAGTTCAGGTTGGCTTTGAACTCACTAGTAGCCCATGGTGGCCTCAAACTCACAGCAGTCCTCCTGCCTCAGCCTCCCAAGTGCTGGAATTACAGCTGTGCACCATCATGCCCAGCTTCTTTGAAGAGTGTATAGGCACTAATTCTTAGGATAGCTTCCCCTCTTCTTCCCATTCCCTCTGTAGAATTCTGTATGAGGCTTCTTTTACAACAGTGTTTCAGGAAATAACGCAGAAAGGTTTATCCTTGGCCCTTATATTTAAGTTTTTTTAAACAACAGAATTTAATATTTATTGACCATTTACTCAGTATTACACAAAACAATAAAAATTAATGTTAATATGATGTGTGAATTTAGATACAGATATTCTCCAAGACGTTTAACTTATGAAATTGTTTTGTTTTACAGTGTAGCTTTGATATACTGGGTTTTTCCCCCCAGCAGATAAGAGGTAGGATAGCTCTCTCAGATGAGCTGTGTGGCTGCTGAGCCTGGACCCCTGCATCTTCTGTTTTGGAAATGTGTGTCATTTCCCACTGATAGTTCTCGACGGGATTTAGCCACAGAGGAGGACTCAGAAGCCAGCCGTGCTAACAGTCGCAGATATTTAGGAGGCTTAGGCAAGAGGACTACAAGTTTGAGGGTATCCCAGTCACTTCGTATATGACCCTGTACTCAAAATTATCTTTGAAAAGGGCCCAGGGTATAGCTCAGGGGTGGGGTGCTTTCCCTCAGAGAACATTTGGTTAAATAATTTTACTGAAAGAGGAGAAAACTGAACTCCTGAGACAAAGTTACTTTTTTCACTTAATGCGACATTGGCTAACCCTGTATATACTGCCCCCCACTTTGTTGAGGTAAGGCTTTTCGTTAGTACAAAAAAATAAATGTAAAACCCAGTTCAAAATAATGTATCTATGCCGGGATTTAGCTCAGGAGTGTAAACACCTGCCTGGCAAGTGCAAAATCGTGAGTTCCATCGCCTGGTACAAAAAAAAAAAATGTAGCTGTAGTTTTTGATGGAAGAGTGTAAGGGTTTGGAGTTAACCAATAAAGGCCGAACTCGTGCTTCCTGTTCCCGCTTAGGTTTACTTCTGGACCTCGAGCCCCTCGTTGCCGGCGAGTGAAGAAGGATTCCAGCCCATGCCCTCAATCACCATCAGGCCCCCGGACGACCAGCACCTGCCCACCGCCAACACCTGCATCTCCAGGCTCTATGTTCCACTCTATTCCTCTAAACAGATTCTCAAGCAGAAGTTGCTACTTGCCATTAAGACCAAGAATTTTGGTTTTGTGTAGAGTATAAAGTGTGTAATGCTGTGTAATATTACTAGCTAATTTTGTAGATTTTTTTCCATTTGTCTATAAAACTTTACAGAAGTTAATGCTGTCACCCCGGTGATACCTTACAGAGATGAGATGCGAACATTCCTTGCCAAGTTTGTAGTGCACAGGCCTGAGGAGCACTGGCGACATTTGTTACACAGTTTGCTAGCCACCAACTTCTGGGTCCAGCCCCAGCCAAAGAGGACAGCAGAGCGACATGATTTACACTGTGATTTATCTTTATGCTGAGGGGAAAATGTAAAGTGTTCTGAAATTCACTGCTGCCTTTGCAGAAAGCGTTTCAGCAGAGGCTCTTGTATAGAGGGTTAGGGGATTTCCAAATAAAAGATGACGTATGTTCTGTGTTTTCATTTTAACTTCTTTATGTGTTTAATTTGTGATTGGCCGCAGTTGTGTATCACAGATGTGGAACTCGTCACAAGCGCTTGCCTCGTTCTGAGGGATGGAATCTCTTTCCCTCTACCCCCCACTCCTCGGGGCGGTCCTCGCCGCTGCACTGCGCTGTGCTCCAGGGCGCATCTAATTAAATTAAATGGTGTCACCCTGTTTCCCGTGTGACCTGTTCGCCCGGGCAGGGGCACTCTGTTCACACAGCAGGGTGACGCCCAGCCTCTCAGCACCACCCCCGGGCTGTGTCCCTGTTGCAGGCAGGTGGGCAGGCAGGCGGCTGCCGCCCTCAGTCCAACACATTTGTACCCAGGGACCCTTGCAGTTTAATGTAAACAGCCTGGGCACTTTCTGATAACTGTAAAATGTTTTATAAGATCATGATTATTGAAAATACATTTTGGACAACTTTAAATGTTCAAGAGCAGCTTAACTACTTTTGTATCTAGCCTTTTTAAAGTATCTTGTTACATTTACTTTTTTAAATAAATTACATAAGAAATGTCAAGTAACATGGAAGAAACAATAGTTTTTATTTATATAGTTGTACATTTTTAAACTAAGGGCAATACACTGACATGTGTTATGGATCAAAATTTTGATTTTAAGAGCTGAAAGTTTATACGCATGTGGACTATAGGAAATCAGTCCACATTTTACAGTTAGCAGAGAATCCTAAATGGCAGTGGTCTGACCACCTTTTCTTGTAACAGACGGGGAAAGTCTGACTTGTACCTAAATGACAGGTTTCCTTTTGGTGACCCATGAATTGTGTCGCCTATGACCAGACTCCCTGAATTCTTGTGGCTTTCGTAGCTCTGTTCAGTGGCATAATGTGAAACACTGTTCTTCACTAAGATTAAATTACACATTAAAAACAAAGAGAGACACTCTCTGTCCTACCTATGCACATCCTGCGTAGGTCTTCTGCCCTCCACCGTTCCCATGTTCGAGGGCACCCTGGTTTTATGACGTCACTTCCTTTCCAGGACTGAACCCATGACGCACTCAGCATTCACAATGGGATGAGAAGAGCAAACCCACTGCATTCCACGCTGTTAGGTACGTGCAAACTAGCCTGAGTGAGATGTTGGTTTTCATGTCTAATGCTATTTCTGAATAAATGAAATAGAGTAATTAGGTTAAGAGCTGATTAGCATCAGTGTGTTTGAAAGGCAAAATTTATATCACCTTAACCTCTGTGCACACAATGGGATTGATGAAATACTACATGAGAAACATATTAGGACATTTGAAATCCTAATTGTGAATTTATTTTTAATAGTTACTGAAAGAATGAAAATATTTAACGCACAATGTCTTAAGTCTTCCTAACTCAAGATTTTGGTTAAAATGCTTTTAGTAGTATTAAAAGCAGTCTCTTTTTTAAAAAATAAATTTTAAAATGGTTCAACATGTAAAATAAAGTTATGTAAAAACAAAGTTCTCTTTTGGTCTTGTTTAGTGATTAAATATAGATTTGGAAAAATTTAGGACGAGAAGACCAAGAATGAGCTTTACTACTGCAGGAATTAAAAAAAAAAAAAAAGATTACCCAGTAGAGGGACTTACTGGGAAGACCTGAGTGTTTTTAATCAAAAGAATGCTGTTACTCATGAGGACCTTTCTCTAACAGCATTACTCTCATAAAGATGTCATCATTTTTATGCATTTAAAAGTATGAGAGGTTGCTGGGGATACAGCTCAGTGGCACAGTGCCTGCTTGGCAAGCACAAGGTCCTGAGCTCAATTCTCAAAGTGGGAGGCTAAAGCAGATGAATTGCAAGTTCAAGGTCATCGTAGAAATTTAGTGAGATTGTCTTAAAAAAGGAAAGGTTTAGGCCCTAGGTTAAGTCCTCAACAGTACAAAATAAAAATGATTTTAAACTTGACCTCGGTGAGGCCGAGGTCTCTGCACACTTGGTGGAGCACCTGCCTGGCAGACACCGGGCCTTGAGTGATCCTCAGTGTCCCAGAAAGTGACAGGTTCTGATCTGCTCTGGCCGATTCTTAAGCATTGTTCTCCTTGCTCCCTTTCACAAAGGTAAACTGAGTTTCACTTGGTAAGTTTTGGTGGAAGCGGGAAGTCTGCATTCTAAACACATCAGCCAGGTGGTTCCAGAGTGCAGCCCAGGGAGCATCCATGCTAGGAACACCCCGCTGGGAAATGCCTCCGAGCTGGACCCGGGGGAAAGGCCACCCGTCTTCACCGTCTTCACCCCCTGCTCACGAGGGTCTTCCTCTGCATAGGGATGACTCTACCTTGAACAGACTGCGTGGGCAGTGACTGAAAATTATCCCAGCATTGCACCAACCTAAGTAGGCATGGACACAGGAGTGAATTCTTCACACAGTGCTGGATTAACGTAGAAATGATTTAAAATGGAACCTGTTTGGCGGCAGGTATGGTGCATACCTGTAACTCTAACACTTAGGAGACTGAGGCAGAAGGTGGTGTAAGACCAGCCTGGGCTGCTTAGTTACCCTATCTCAGGAGAAAAAAGTGGTTCATGTCAAGAATACCTCTGGAGGCTGAGGCAGGAGTATCACAAGTTGAAAGCCACACAGGCAAGTTAGTGAGACTGTCTCAAAGTGAGAAGGGCTAAGACATAGCTGGGTGGGGCAGTGCTTGCTTAGCATGCCTGAAGCCCTGGAGACCCTGGACCAGTTCCACTGGCAAACTTTTATTACCAGGCGTAGGGTTCAGAGACTGCTGATCACATGCAGTTTCTCTCACGTCCTGCATGCTCGCGGTACCAGGGACTGTCACATGCTGTGCCTCTCTCTGTGACCACCCCCAGACAGGAAACGGCATGGTGCGCGTGCTAAAGCTTCAGCCATGTCTTGAGTCTGTGATGCGTACCCCAAACCTGGGGCTGAAGGGTGCTGCTTTGCAGCAGGTGCAGTGACTGCAGCCAAGAGAGTTCTCAGCGGAAACACTGATTGTTCGGAAAGGCAGTGACACACGTTTGTCCTTGAGTAATATTTGCTAAGATAATAATTATAATTGAAGATGTGGGAATGTCTTGGGGGGGGGGTACCAGGGATCAAACTCAAGACCTTGAGCTTACCAGACAAGCACTTGAGCCGCTGAGCCAAGTCCCCAGATGTGAGATTCTTCTAAAGGCAGGTGTGGTATGTAAGTCCAAATGTCTTAACATGAGAAGCTCACATGGTGGGTGACCGGCGCAGCTCCAATGAAACAGGAGACAGGAGACGCTTTTGTGGGCGACAGTTAACTGCTAGTTTATTTAGGCGGGCTCTGGTTTATATATTCGGCTGTGACCAATCACAGGCTGCCACAAGGAAGCAGGGCGGGAATGGGATGTAGGCTCCGGCTACTATATCCAGCTGTGGCCAATCAGGAGTTGCCACAGAGTATGGAGTGAGCACGAAGTGCACACAGGTTGGCTAATTTAAGGAGGGACGTAGCGCATTGCGGAAGCTGGCGTGGTCCTTAGTCCCGGGTGGGGTATGGTATGTTGAGCGCCTGCGCCCAACATCTCCCCCTTTCTTTATAACTGACGCAGGGTCTCCAGAGGTCGGTGCCCCTCGTGAGGTGTCACGCTGCAGTCATGACAGTGCCTCACTACTCGTTGGTGCTCTTTTGGAGGGGGCGGGAAATCTGTTTTATGAGCCCAACCCGCGTGCTCGCCAACATGGGGACCGGGGTGTCTCCTGGCCAAGGACGACACCCCCTGCGATGCTTTGCTCCACACCTACGTCACAGCATGGCGAGCCATGCTGCCGGGCTTTGACCAGATTCCATGATCAGCAATGCTTGTTTGATACTTTGTCCCTATTCCTTTGTCTGCGAATCCGACAGAGCAGAAGTAGACTGCCGAATGCGGCAAGTGTAGTTATGGTAGCCAGAGCCCCTGTTCCTGCCCATTCCTTTATGAAAGCCAATTGGAGAGTTGGCCCGAGCTGGATCACAGGAAACTCGTCTGAGTCCGCCATAACTGGAACCGGTGCGAACTGGAGTACCTGCATAACAACAGCTGAAAGTGTACTGTTATCCCAACATTATAACATATAACAGGTTGCGGTGGAGCAATTTAGAAAAGTCATTGGCTGCAAGGACCGTACGAGATGCAAGAAGGAGGGGAAAAGGAGGCTACTAACCAGGGGAGTTGGCCAAGGTGCCATGGTTAATGGGAGTTGTGGGTATACTTGCTTGGTCTGGCTTGTGAGGCTCCTGTTGGTTCCCCTGTTCTGTGGTTGACGTTTCCTCTGGGTCGGGGTCTGGTGGTTTGCAGGGACGTATCAGGCGTTCCAGGACCCAGACAGGTTCGCTGCCTTCTTCCTGCGGGAAGACACAGACCGCCCCTCTCGCCCAACTAAGTACTGGGCTGGGGCCTCTCCACACCCCATGCAGGAGGTCTTTCCAGCGTACCCAACCATGTTTGGGTGCGACAGGGTTGGCATGTAGCTGTGCTGGCGTGGATCCTTGTGGGTTGAAGTTTACAAAATTGTAAGTGAAGAGGGCGAGATTTAGTCTGGCCCTAGGTGTCATGCCCTGGGCAATACCCTCCTTTTGTTTAAACAGAATAGACTTGAGGGTTTGATATGGCCTAACTTTAATTGCTCTTGAATAAGTTTGGATGCGGCTTTTGTTTTGTCTCGTGGTAGGGCCATCAACAATGGCAAGCCCCAACTCCTGCCAAGTTAACGAACTACACCTGGTGCTGACCCAGAGCAGCTGTGAGCTGCTTAATGAGCGGCATGGCTGTCTCTGCGTCTCCAAAAACTCTCCCTGCTGCCTCCATCATGCGGGCCACAAAATCTGAAAAAGGCTCGCTCGGGCCCTGCAAAATTTTTGTCAAGTGGCCTGAGACTTCTCCCCTAGCTGAGACTCGTTTCCATGCTTGTATGGCTATTCTATTTATCTGTGCATACACCTCTTGTGGAAATATCAGCTGGTTATTGAGATACTGCCCTTGTCCTAATAACATATCCGCGTTCCAGGCGGCCTGATTGTTCTGGGCATTAGCTTGGGCCTGTTCTGTGGCAAGTTCAACATTCCAACCTTTCCAATCAAGATATTGGCCTGGGCTGAGCACTGCTTTGCACAAACTGGCCCAATCAGCAGGTGTCATGGCATTTCCTGCCATGGCTTCTACTAGGGACAGGGTATACGCCCCATTAACACCGTACATGGTGCTGGCCTCCTTAAGATGCTTTATCGCCTTCATATCTATAGGCAGGTGGGCTCTGTTTCCCTGAGCATCTACAGCAACCGGAAAAGCCTGGAGAAAACGGCCCAGGCCTCCTGGGTCCTCTCTTTTGACTTGATGCCAAAGGTCTTCCTGGAATGTCCCAAGGGACGTCTGGACCCGTTGCGGACAGCTACATAGCTGATGGCAGGGTCTCTGGTGGGCATGATAATCTGGCGGGTCGGGAGGTAGAGCCGTAGGTCTTATACGGGGCGGCCCTGGGATCCCGTACTCGCTTTCATTGACCCATTTACTCTGAGAAATCCTGGTTGCAGCTCATTTATGGCCTCAGAGTAAGGCCCTCTCGACTGCGTGTGTGTGACTTCCCCTCTTTTGGTGGTGTCTGCATCCACCATTTTGTATACTTCTTCCTCCCCCTCATTATCTGACGAGTCCTTTGTTTCTGAGTTGGGTGGGGTCACCTCGCCTGCAGCACTGGACTCATGAGATTGCTCGCGGGAGGATTCTGCCTGATGGTAATCAAGCGCCATGGCGCCAGCCCTTATATGGTCACGACAAGAGGTGTCTGCAAGGCAGCTTCTCACCACTGCCCAAAGGGGTCTGACTCCTGGCTCCAAGAGGCCATTTTCTGCTGCAAAGTCAAGATCTCTCCCTAATTTATCCCAGCTGGGGATGGTAATGGACCCCGTGGGACCAAACCAAGGTGCTACCTTATCGACCTGATCGAGGAAGTTTTGAATTTGTTCTTGTTTCATTTGTAATCCCTTTTCTCTCAGTAAGTCGCTTAAGGCGACTGACAGTGGCTGAGTAGCCGTGTTACCCATGTTAACCGGAATTTCAAGAGTTTCTTTTTATTTTTATTTTATTTTTTTCTTTTTCCTTTTTTTTTTTTTTTTTTTTATACAGGGACAGCTTAGTCCCCGCGCCCCTTTACGGCGCCCCCAAAACCGGCCTCTTTACGGCCCCCGGAACTCTTTACGAGTTCCTGACCCTTGCGACACGTCCGCCCAAGGTTGCCCGATAGCCCCCGCTATCCGGCCCTGCAGCCCCCGCTGCCTGTTGCGTAGCCCCCGCTACCAACGTTGAGCAGTTTAACCTGTCAGCCCCCGCCCGCCAAGTAGCCCCCGCTATTGGCGCTTGACGGTTTTACCTGTTAGTCTCTGTTCCATCGGAGAGAGGGTCTCAGCGCTCCTCGTACTGTCGGAGAGAGGGTCTCAGCGCTCCGGGCTCCCCGTACGGGCCACCAGTTGACCGGCGCAGCTCCAATGAAACAGGAGACAGGAGACGCTTTTGTGGACGACAGTTAACTGCTAGTTTATTTAGGCGGGCTCTGGTTTATATATTTGGCCGTGACCAATCACAGGCTGCTACAAGGAAGCAGGGCGGGAATGGGATGCAGGCTCTGGCTACCATATCCAGCTGTGGCCAATCAGAAGTTGCCACAGAGTATGGAGTGAGCACGAAGTGCACACGGGTTGGCCAATTTAAAGAGGGACGTAGCGCATTGCGGAAGCTGGCGTGGTCCTTAGTCCCGGGTGGGGTATGGTATGTTGAGCGCCTGCGCCCAACAGGTGGGGGGTGGGGGTGCGATGATGACAGGGATTGGAACCCAGGGCCTTCATACTTAGCTGTAGCCCCGGCCACTCACTTTTTCGTTTGAGACAACTTGGGGTCTCCCCAAAGACTCATCTCACAATTAAAAATGCATTTAGCCCACCTTGAAGAATCCCTGAAGTCTTAGCAGTTCTGGCATCTCGAAAGTCCAAGTGTGCAGTCCTCTGAGACTCAAGGAACACCAGCCCCGAGCCTCTACAAAACCAAACAAGTAGGTACAGCAGTACATGTCCAGCACCTGGGAGGCTGAGTCAGGACGGTCTCCGCGAATTCAGGGCCAGCCTGAACTACCTAAGTGTGAGAACTACATGCACTTGCCCAAACCCAAGGAATGGACCTAGAGACTGAAGGACAGGAAACACTAGACTTTAATGTTGGTCTTGCGAGACTGGGTGTCTGGTACTGCCGCTCCCCAAGTGGCCTTTGAGATTCTTGGGGTGAAGGACCTAGAGAGGAGGAGAAAAGAAACAAGCTGGGGTCCGGTGGAGCCCTTCCCTCCTGATGGGAGGAAAGGTGCAACCCCTCACTGCAGGGGCCCTTCTACCTTTCAGTAACTCAATGTCACATCACTGTTGTCCTAGCAGCCCACTGCTCCGAGGTCTAGGTGTTCCCTGGGCTGAAGCAGCTTCTTCATATGGCTTGCCCCGGGTGCTCTTTGTTCTTGCGGTGGTCAAGCCTGGCACATGTGGTCAGTTGTACTTCAGCAGCTCCCAACTGTAGTGGGGCGTAGCCGGCCCATACAGCACACACTCTGCTCTGTGGTGTGCAGACCGCCCCCCACCCTAAGCACTGTGGGGTACACTTCCCGGAAGCCACCTGGGTCCATTATTTCTCTCCACTCCTCAATAAGGATGCCCCTCCACGTTCATCTCTCCCTGGTACCCTCTCTGCCTAGGGATCTTCCAGGCGCATGCCCAGGCCGCTAGGCAAGTTTAACTGCTGGTAATTTCCCACTCAGAGTTAGCTACTCCGTCTTAAATGCAGGCCACTGTAGGTTTCTGTTTCTTACAAGGGCAAGACCTTGTCTGGAAAAATCAAAGCCAAAACGAAGTTACACATTTACAACATGAAGTGGTGAATCAGGAAACATTACCATGCCAAGAAGAGACAGAAAAATAGCAGACGAACCAGATCAGAACGAGGCCAGAAACCACGGACAGAGACAGACGTTACGCCCTGCAGGCCCGCAGTGGTCCAGGCACCCTCTGGCAGAGGCCCCGCTGGCCCTGCAGTCTGCTGGCGGCACCCCAGGGCACTGCTCCCAGCCCAATCTCCTGGGGTCTCTGCTGTACCTCTGGCCTCGCTCCCAAAAGTCACCACCCCCAACCCAGCCCCTCTGCCCCAGCTCCCTGCTTTCCTCGGCCTTCTGCACGTTCACAGGTCCACAGGGACAAGGCGAGGAGGCCACCTGCTCATACAGCAGCAGGGCCATATGGGTCACAGATGTGGCAGCCTCTGGAGGCCTGGAAGGCTGAACACACAACACAAAACCCAGAGAAACAGTTCCTTGGTGTCCCCTGGGCGCCTTGGTAGTCTCTGACATGAGTTTGTGTTTGTGCACTGCTGAGTGCACAAACTCAGGGCTGGGGCTTGGCCTTCCTGAGCCGCCCTAGGGGAGAGCGCGCTTCTGGAAGACGAAGCCCAGCTACTTAACCAGCACGGGCGCTGCTCCAGGCCGGGCTCCTGCTTTACAGCCTCGCCTTCCTGTACACTGGGAGAACTGCAGGCTGACATCTGTCACTTTGCCCATGGACACGTACTGTCCCCTCACCTTACTGCCCTTGGTGGCCGCCTTATCCTGGGATAATTAATATTCACACTGTAGAACCAGGCTAGCCATCTCCCCAGGAGGGGCTCCAACGCTGGCACTGTGCACATCTGGAATCCTAGCACCAATCTGAGGTCAGCCTGGGCTCCTAGTGAGACTGTGTGCGCATGTGTGCGTGCACACAGTCCTCCTGCTCTGCTGTCAAGCTTCCAGCTTGGCAAAACTGTTTAGACCCTGTCCCCTTTGCACATCCCCCCGGAGTGTATCTGCTTGGCTCCCCCAGTCTATAAACTCCTCACCACTGAGAACTCGCCTACCTTCACCTCTCAGCACCCGCTAGTGTGAGCGTCTATGAATGGACTTAGTGACCGTTCGGTTTAGTCCTCCCCTTCGCTCTGCTTCCTGGCACCACGAGGTGGGACGCTTCACCCCACCAACTCCGCAGTGATATTCTCCCTCACTACTGCCCCAAAAGAACGGAGTCCAAAACCCTGACCCAAAGTAAATCTTCCTTCTTTTAAATTGTTTAATCCTATGTATTTTGTTACAACACAAAGCAAACATAGAAAAGTAGGGGCGGGATAGTTTTATCGGTGAATCTCATAGGTAAGATAAGTATAAACAGTAAATGATTTATTGATTTTGGGCTTTTTTTTTTTTTTTTTTTTGGTCTTTTTGAGACAGAGTCTCTCTACGCAATTCAGTCAGGCCTTGAGCTCACTTTGTAGCCCAGGCTGGTCTTGAACTTACATCGATCCTCCTGCCTCAGCCTCCGCATGAGTCACCATGTCCAGCTGATTTCTGGCCGATTTTTATAGTTCCTCTAATGCATTTGGGACTATTATAACCCTAAATGTTGTGTGCAGTCATCCAAGTATGGTAATCCCTTTTCTACTCTTCCTCACCATGCAAAAAGTGGTATTTGTAATCCCATTGAGACGTTCGTGGAATCTTGGCAAGTTAACTCCAATGTACCACCTCCAGGGCAACCCACACCAACATATTCCAGGTTATGGGCAGACAGGGGTCCTAAATCCAATCACCCTGATGATGTGTGGGCAAAGGCCCAGATCCTAGGCCTCTCCCGGAATTTATTATCTTGTGAAGAAGGGAGCAGTTCAAGGATGAGCGACAGGATGGCAGGAATTACTTAGTAGTTTGAGTCGGCCAGGTGGGGGAGGAGAAAAGCATCTTTGCAAAAATGCAGAGATAAGGATATGCAGGAGGATCAATTTGCATAATTCATTACGGTAGCAACTGAATTGTTTTTGGAGACTGTTGCTTCAGTTTCTGATAGGTAAATTTCTGTGCCCTGCAGAGTCATAGCCTCTACCTTGAGGCTACCCAGCTGACTTTCCTGGAGCTGACTGGCTCTAACCATCCCGCTGTGCTTATATTATTTTAGAGAGGAAACAGGAGACTGCCTGACTGCTTTAGAGATTACATACCAGTGCCTCCGCTGGCCTTATTTGCAATGCTTAGAGCCAACTGAAAGAGAAGGAAATACCATAGCCAGCTCTGTACACATTATTGTAAGGAAATCAGCCTCCATATAAGCAGAGCTGCCACAATTGCCCTGCATTCAAGGGGAGGTGCTTGAGTTGTCTCCCACATGGAGACAGTGACCTGCAGCTTTCCTGACAACTCCTCGCTCCGAGCCCTTTTCTGTTTTTTAAAAAAACCTTTGGCTGCTGTATCTACCCCTGCCACCACCAGATCCGCTGCCAGAGCTTCTTGCACCACAACTGCCTCTCTTCCAGGGTCCGTAATCTGACTGCTGTTGTCCACTGTGATTTCTGAAATCATTATAGTGCCTGCCACCACCGAAGTTTCCCCCTTTGTTGTAACCATCATATCCCCCTCCACCATCACCTTGGTTTCCATCACCAAACCTTCCTCTACTACTGCAACCAGGCCCACCACCGTAGATTCCTCCACCCCAATCCATCACCTCCACCACCACCACCGTCTCCACCACCGCAAGCCTCCTCTTCCGCAGAAGTTTCCACACGGCAACATTTCCTCCACCGCCTCCAGTTTCCTCCACGAGCCATAAAGTTGCCAGATCCACCTCCACAACCGCTTTGTCCTCAACCAGACGGCATCTCTTGTTTAGAAATGGGCTTTTCCACTTCACAATTATGCCCATTCATGCTCTGGTATTTTTAAACAGTTTTATCAACTGTATCGTGATTGCCAAGTTACAAAAGCAAAGCTTGTTTTTCTCACTCTGCTTGTCTTCCATCACTTCTATGATTTCAATGTTGCTGTCCTTTTCAAAGTGGTCTCGCTAATTATATTCTTCTGTATCTTCTTTAATATCACCAACAAAACAGGGCTAGGGATTTAGTTCAGTGGCATAAGAGCCTGCCTTGCAAGTGTGCAGTTATGGTACCAATAAAAATGAAAAAGACAAAAAAAAATAGTATCACCAACGAAAAATTTTCTTCGCTGTTAGCTGGGCACCAGGCTTTCCTGAATCCTCTCAAGGGACAGCTCCATTTGGCCCCTCTCCAGCCCACGGACTTCGAGTGGCGGAGCACACAGTGCCACCTCCACCTCGTCTGCACAGGAGCAAGTCACAGAACCCACGCCCCGGCGCATTTTGTTGGGGGACTCTCTACCGCACGACCTGTGAGTGAACCCTTTTCTCACACGGCTCCCTTAACCTATCATCCGTAGTGGCAAAGCTCAGACCACCAATAAACAGCTTCCCTGGCTGCTCTGGCTCCTTCGGATCGCGCCCCCCCATTCTGGGGCCGGACTCACCTCTTGCAGCTCGAGGTCAACACGGGGCTGAGAGCTGTGAGGTACGCTGAGGACAGAACAGATGGAACACGTCTGGGTGGAGCACAGATCATACAGGCCCACCTCAGAGTGCCGTTACTCAGATGTGGTGGCACATGCCTGTATTCCCAGCACTCAGAAGCTGACGCAGGAAGATCACTGCAGATCTGAGGCCCCTCTGAGACACATGGTGAGTTCAAGACCAGCCCCAACTACATAGTGAGACCCTCTCTTGATTGAAAAAAAGAGAACGCTGCCGTTTAAAGGTAGAAAGGGAGGCTACTGCAGCTTTCCTTTTATTTTCAATTTTTCCTCTTGTTCAGCCCAAATTCCCGCTTAGGGTCAGTTTCTCCCTTACCCTCCACCCACCATTAACCAACAATCACGACATAAAGACAGAGGCGGAAAGAAGGTCCACATAAATCTGATGCATCCAGAAGGCAGGGACCAGCCATACTATCCCTAAATCAAACGCGCATTGGGAAGCTCTGGTCTCACAGCTGAAACACGGCTGAAAGCCCTAGGTGCTCAGCAGGCAGACTACGCTAAGCTGTGGCCGTGGGCAGGCCTGCCCGCTCCTCTAGAAGAGCAAGTGTGTGTTGGCCACATCTCCTGTCTGCTAGGCTCAGCGCTGCTGTTAGGGCTTCCACTGAACATCCCCCCGAGCTTTTTGCATTCACAGGTGGGGCTCTGGGGAGGCAGCTGGATCCTGGGTGTGTGATGCTGGGATTAAGGGTACATGGCACTGGATTAGCCCAGTGTTTCAGTGCAGTTCTGGCTGAATGGGTTTAGTGAAGGCAGAAGCTCCACCCTAACCAAGGGAGGGGCCTACAGCCTATGATGCTGCTTCCTGTCTGCTATACCTCAGGCTGCCTCTCCCCTGCCAGCCCCGTTCCCAGGTCACACTGCTCTGGAACCTGCCAACTACAGACCAAAATCTTTACACAATGAGCCAAAACGAACCTTTCTTTCTTTTTTTCTTTTTGTCTTTTTCCTTTTTATCGGTACCGGGGATTGAACTCACAACTGCCTGCTTGCAAGGCAGGTGCCTATGCCGCTGAAAGCGAACCTTTCTTTTTTTTCTGATCTTTTTGAGACAGGGGGTCTCTGTGCAGTTCAGGCTGGCCTTGAGCTCACTTTGTAGCCCAGGCTGGTCTCCAACTCTCAATGATCCTCCTGCCTCAGCCTCCCAAGCGCTGGGAATGCAGGCGTGAGCCACCATGCACGGCTCGAACTTTTCCTCCTCTAACTTGTGGGCATTAAATATTTTGTCTCAGCAATGAGAAATGTCGCTAAGACATCTGATCTCCATACACTACCAGTGATGGATGCTGATTTAGCAATGACAAGACAGCAGTAGTGGCATGAAGATCGGGGCATTATGATCTTTCTGTTCTGTGCTCACTCCTATTGTATCTATCCCCTCTCTTTCTCTTTGCTACGTTTTAAATTGATTTTAATAAGTTGCTGTTGTGTGCTCATTCACTACAGACCTGGTACTTTAGTAAAACGGCAGCTGAGGAGATTTTGGTACTTGCCATGGCTGAGGAAAGTTCAAAGGAAGTGGTTGCTGGGAACAGTGATAGTAACTTGAAGGCGGCAGGGTGGGGCGGTTCTATGATGCAGTTTAAGATTAAGAAGCACACACAATTTGGTAAATGAATGAAGCCTACTGTGAATGTCAGGGTTTGTCAATGAGGCAGGTTAGATAAACGGGCAGCCAATCAGTGAAGCAGACACACGGGCACAGCTGGCTGTAAGCCTTCAGGTGCAACTGATGTGTTCCAGCTGCAGCCAGAAAGCATCTACTGAAAAGGGAGCCTGCGGCTTTATTTCAGGACGGTATTCCCAGACTGAGAAGACAGTGTCAGTGAGAAGACTACAACTGGGTTCCCCTGCTTCCTTCTATGATTTCATTGTCTCTTCCCCCAATGTTTATTGTACATAAGGTAAGTGATGTGTGCACATAAGCATACTACCTTATTTGTTTAACTAAATGGATGGGATGGGGTTAAACATTGCTTCTGTGAAACTATAACTTATTGGTGAGCATCATGCTCATTGAGCTCTTATCTTTATATTCTGGTGTTTTTACAAGAACTTGTAAAATTCCTGAATACTTTGTCTTTTTGAGACAGGGTCTCATTGTGTGGTTCAGGCTAGCCTTGAGTTCGCCCTGTAGCCTGGGCTGGTCTAGAATTTGCAGGATCCTCCCGCCTCAGCCTCCTGAGTGCTGGGATTACAGGCGTGCGCCACCTCCTCCGGCTACGTTTTTTTACTTTGTAATTACAACTTTTTTGTCTCCTTTGCGCTGCTTCTACCCTGAATTTAGGATTCTAGCCTGAATTTACGATTCCGCCGCCGGCTCAGCAGGATGATCCTGGTTACTGACCTGTGGCTCTGCTCCACAGAGCTCAGAGGCTCGCGAACACCCCGCAGGCGTCCACGCGGGCGGCGGGTGGCGCCACCCACCCCTTCCAGGGGCCGCCGAAACGGCCCGGGCTACACCGCACCTCCCGGTCTGCTCCTGCCCCGCGCTCCCGGAGCCCCGACACGCGTCTCCTCTCACTTCCGCAGCGCCGCTCCCGCGTTGAAGCCGGCCTGTGGCGCCCCAGGCCCCACGCGCCGGGAGCCCGCCTCCCACACAGAGCGCTGCAGCCTCACAGCGGGCCGCACTCTCGGGGACCCGCGCGGCCCGAGCCTCCCCAGGGCCAGCGGGCAGGCGGGCGAGAGGGCTCTTTAGGTCGGGCAGACCTGGGCGGGGCGAGCGTGGAGGCGGGGTCTGAGGAGCGCCCGACGTGCTCGGGGCGGGGCGAGCGTGGAGGCGGGGCTTGAGGAGCGCCCGACGTGCTCGGGGCGGGGCGAGCGTGGAGGCGGGGCCTGTGGAACGCCGAGCTCACTGGAGACTGTATGCAGCCTGGGGCAGCCGGGGGTGGGGCATGTTGGGGGCGGAGCCTGCAAAGCCAGTGAGCGGCGCGAGGCGTTGAGGTTGGGCGGGGTCGTCGGTGGACTGTCCTCCGTGGGCTGGCAGAGGCAGAGCCTGCCAAAAACCTGTGTGAAAGAGAAGCCCTCCAAACCGAGCGTGGTGGCTCACTCCTGCTATCTCAGCAATCGGGAAGCTGAGGCGGGACGATCGTTGCAAGTTCAAGACGAACATCGCTACAAAGTGAGCTCAAGGCCAGCCTGAACTGCATAGCCAGACCCTGTCTCAAAAAGACCAAAAAAACAAGCCCTCCCACTACGGAGGGTTAGGCCGATTCAGCGGAGAGGGCGTCCTAGGAAGGCGGTGCTTGAGGCGGGCCGGCTCTGTGGACCGGGGTGCGGCCTGGAGGTGGGCGTGGCCGGGCCGCCTGTGCGTCTCCGCAGAGCAGGCGCGGAAGAGGGTCTTGGAGCGCGCGCGGCGGCGGGACCGGAGGACCCTTGGGCTCCCCGGCTTCCGTCCTAGTCGGGCGGGGCCCGCGGCGCTCGGTTCCCGGCTCCCCGCGCTGCGCGGAGTCTGCGCGATGGGCGACCTGGCGCAGCCGGAAGCGGGCCAGCCCGGGCAAGTCGAGGTGAGCGTGGCTGTCGCCGTGTCCTGCGTCCGGCGGTGACGTCCGTCTCGGGTCGCGGTGCGGCAGGCACCTGCTCTTCAGAGCTCGGCTCGGCAGGAGTGGAGACGCGAGCTCGTGGGGGAGAGGAGGGCCGCAGGGGATCCCCGCGGGAGCGGGAAGCAGGTGTCCACTCTGCTCCCGCGCCCTCGTCTGCGCTGTCCGGCTCCTCGCTCTTGTTCCTCTGGCTGGGGAGGGTGAGGCAGGGAAGCCTGGGTGGCTCTGCTGCAGAGACGTCAGCAGGGGTACGGGGTAGACGCACATCAGCGACAGCGTTAGGTTAGGAGGGCAGTTTGGCGAAGACCGAGGTCGGTTTCCTCATTTAAACCGTGAAAGTGATACTTCCCTCGCGGAGAATGAAGGTGCTTTTATGCAAAGTGCCGTGAAAGTTGTACGGGCTTCACAGACCGAGCTTGTCTTCCGCTCTGCTTCTGGGGTAGAAGTACGCAGGAACAATAAACAAACCGGGACCTGCTGGATTGTAGGATTGCATGGAAGTTTAAATTGTTGCTGTGTTAGTTTTCATGCCCTGTCATTTTGCAGATATGTCTTAAATTCTTTGGAATAAGCGAAATAACTTTTTGTACTTGAACCCATTTCTGTGTGTGGTGTCTTGGCTTTGGGTGCATAAAAGTCAGCTTCTTGGTGTTCGTGCTTAGCTCTTCGTTTCTTTAGAAGGCTGTAGATCCGAGGTTTGAGATTTTTATGTCCTTTTTTGTTAGAAACTTTTTTTTCCAGACAGTGTCTGTCTCGCTATGTAGTGTGGCTGCCCTTGAACTTGTTCATGTAGCCCAGGCTGGCCTCGAACTCAGTGCTTCTCCTGCCTCAGCCTCCAAATGCTGAGATTACAGATATGAGCCACCACCTGGCTCATTTTTAAAAATTCTAATTAGTGACTAATTAACAAACGTGTAAATGTCTTTCAAGCTTTTTCCTCCTTTTTTTTTTTTGAAGACCGTCTCCATCTGCAGTACAGACTGGCCTCAACCTGGAGGGGTCCTCCCTGTTTCAGCCTCCCAAACGCTGGGATTACAGGCTTGAGCCATCAAGATGGGCAGCTTTTTCCTCCCCTTGAAACAAATACATTTAGTACCCATTTTTCCACCCAAGTAACTTCTGTTTCGCTAATGATTTCATGCTTAGCTCCAAAAGTTGACCTTTTGGTTACAGCTATCTCAATGTTCTGTACACAAAGACATGCAGAATTTTCAGATCTAGAAAGAATTTTAGCAAGCATTTGATGCAGACAGTTTAAACATGAGATCCAAGGCTAAGACTCTTTAGGTATAACCGTGCATCATGGCACCTGCGTCACCATCACCTCGAGTAGTCTGTAAAAACTAAATTCCCAGGCCCATCTAGCCATAGTGAATCAGAGGCTTTGGGGGTGGATCTGCATCTGCAGGTACAACAGACACTTGAGCCTACTATACTTACATTAGGATTTGTGGCTGTGTTTGAAAGGAGTTTGAGTTTCCTAAAGTTCTTTGCGGATTTTATGTATTCAGATTTTAATTCCCACAAAAAGATGGCCAACCCCTCCCTCAGACTGCTCTTTTGTACACCCACAGTGTTATTTTATTTTGCAAAAGGGCTATCCCTGTAAAAGCCAAACTGCTCTGGAGCTAAAGATCTTCCTGATTCAGCCTCTTGAGTTACCTGGACACTTCTGTTTTCCTTGGTTGTGTTAAGACCCCAGAACCAGGGGCTGGGGATTTAGCTCAGCGGTATAAGCACCTACTTTGCAAGCAGGCAGTCGTGAGTTCGATCCCTGGTACCTATAAAAAAGACAAAAAAAAAAAAAAAAGACCCCAGAACCAATTTTCTTTAATTTCAATCATGTGAATGCTAATTGTATTGAAATTTAGCTAAATACTTTATAAATATGAATATGAAAAGAAAGCTATTTCTATGAAAGCTTTAAAAACCTCCAAAACCTTAACAAAAGTAAGTTGTTAAAAACCAGTTCTCAAATGAGTTCTTAGCACAAGTCCACAGAGGGAAACCTGGAGGGCCCTGTGTAAACTTCCTAACATTACAGTAAAATATGCACAGTGAAATCAGTGCTGTGCCTCCGGGAGCCCAGTTCAGTGGAGTACACCAAGTGAACACCTTTCTTCACACCCTGCTAATCCAGGAGCCTCCTGTGTCAGCCTCCCAGAGTCCTGAGATTACAGATGTGTGCCACCTCGCCAGCCAGCTGCTGCTTTCAGCACACGTTTTATCAGGTGAAACAGGAAAATACCCATGCAGATGGCACTTTCTTTTTGGATGGTAGGGTGGATTTGAGACAGTCCTACTGTGTTGCCTAGGCTGGCCTTGAATTCATGGCAGTCCTCCTGAGAACTGGGACAGCCGGTGTCCACCACCACACGCCCCACCACGTCTGGCTGTAGGTGTCCCTTCCTGCTGATGTAAGGAGCCCAGCCTTCAGCAGTTTCCTAGGCCTCACCCTGATTGGCTTTGGTCAGTGGGGAACACTCCAGTCAGGACGAGGGTGCTGAGCCTGAGAGTCAGGGCTGTGCTCTCCTGCAGGAGTAACGCTGGGGTGTCTGGTCCGAGACACATGCCCGTGCCTTATGCTAAAATGCGTAACAGAAAGCACCAAAGTGCTTTCATGTGATGATAAAGCTTAATCTAGGGAAAATGGGAGGAGGAGCAGCCAGGCGTGGTGTGGTATACCTGTAGTTTCAGCGCTCAGGAGGCCGAGGCAGGAGGATCCCTGTGAATTTGAGGCCAGTCTAGACTGTAGAGCGAGACCTTGTCTCAAAAAAAAAAACAACAACAACAACAACAACAACAAAGCAATCTAAGTTAAGACAGGTGAGAAATCTGTGGGCTGTGACTCTGCCTTCACCAGGCCGCAGCTCCAGCCTCCATTGTGTTTAATGCTTCACCTGTTAAGCTCCTGCAGCTGTGCATAATTATTCCAGGAGTGGAGGGGATTCTGGCAGATGGTTAGAAATGGTGTTGATTGAATAACTGCTGTATTAATTCTTTGGACATAGGAACATCCTTTAAAAGGCCAACCAAGAACATTGTAGGACTCGATAATTTATCATTATTTTTAAAATGTGCGTACATTTTTTGAGACCCTGTTGCCCAAAACAAAACAAAATTTAAAAATGTGCAAAGTACTCATTTGTATGAGTTCCTCTGATTTTTTTGCTGACTCTTTGAAATAAGCATGGCAAGTATTGTCTTTCATTTACATGTAACAAGATTCAGAATCTTAAAAGAATCTTAGTGAATCCTCGTGCGCTCTTACAGGTGAAAACAGTTCCACACCCTGCAGTGCAGTCTGCAGATGTGCACAGGAAGGACGGATTGGTGCCTGGAAGGTGAAGACCATCGAGGGCAGATGACCTGTTGTAAGGAGTTATACGGAACTGGTGGCTTAATTTAACTGGAAGTTTAAAATAAAACGTAGTTTATGCCAGTGATCCATCCCTGTCAGCATTCTGTAGCAGAGTGGTATGGAAGGGACATTTCGTCCCCAGACGTAGACACATACCCATGTGACATTTGGGGGTCCGGAACTTATCCCCCGAGTAGCAAAAGCTCTCGCACCAGACTCTGTGGTCATCATGAGAAGAAGGCGGGTAGGTGGCGGTGGTCGTCGTGGTGGTCTTTCAGTTTTTAAGCCGGCTTGCTGTGTAGCCCAGGCTGGCCTTGAGCTTCCTGCACGCCTTCTGCCTCGGCCTCGCCAGTGTAGATGGGTGTTATTCTACAGCTGCCCAGAGAAGTTGAATGTTATCAGTTAAAAAATTGGTGATCAACTTAACACCAGGTGAACTGGATCATCAAGGTGCTGCGCACGGAAGGCCCCCTGAGGACTGCGTCAGCATGAAAGGAGACCTGGAGGAACACCAGTGCTGGGGGCTCTCCCCAGTGTGGGTCCTCCTGGAGGAGCTTGTCATGCTGGCTCCCCTGATAGGAGCTCAGCTGGTATCAGAGGAGCTCGGGACCTTGTTGCCGAGAGTGGCTGTGGTTCATACTTTGGGGAAGAGTGGGCTCTGGTCCTCCTGGCTCCAGAGGGGAGCTGTGTGCTGTTAGATCTCCAGGAATTTGTCACCTTGGCTTCCTGATACGAAGTCAGCTGTATTGAAGTCATTTTTAGGGGAGCTCAGGACCTCACTGTTGCTGAGATGGCTGTGGTGCTTTTCAGGGCAGCCCTGGTCCTTATTTTGAGTGTGGCTTTTTGGCTGCAGTGTAGAACCCTCAACCTGCTGGTCCTTCACTCTGCTGGCGCAGACTTTCTAGCTTCCACTGCGGAACTTTGGACCTTCCCAGCACAGATCCGTGAAGCAGACTTCCATGCGTCATTGTCATGGGCCCGAGGTCTTCAGCTACAGAACATTGCTGTGGGATTTAGACCCTTGGCTGGTCTTTAATGTTGTGGCAGATTCCTGCACTTTCCTGTGTTTAACTCTGGGTGACCATTATAAAATAGTATTATAAATCTGTGTCCTGTACGTAACTGTTCTCCTTGCCACTCCTGACTACAACATTAAGCACTGCTAAGCAGCTTCCCGCAGTCATGCGATGATCAGGCCCTCCTGGCCAGTGGGAGATGCGGCCCCAAGGCAGGGCCCTGGTGTCCCCTGCTGCAGGGGTCGGGAAAGGAGGCGTGAAGGAAGAGGTGGCCCGTCAGTAGACTGTCTGCTTTGCTTTTCAGAGACTTTCTCCAGATGCCTCCGAGAATGCGACGGATGCTACGGAAGAGCCACTGCTCAGAAAGAGCTCCCGCCGCTTCGTCATCTTCCCCATCCAGTACCCCGATATCTGGAAGATGTACAAGCAGGCGCAGGCGTCCTTCTGGACGGCAGAGGAGGTAGGTGGCAGGTTCTCCAGCACGGCGTGCACGTGCTGTGCCGGGAGGAGCTGGGAAGCTGTAGGGAGGACTCACTGGGTAAGATCAGTTCGAGGGGCCGGGTACAGCTCGGTGGCTGGGAAGGGTGAGGGCCTGAGTTTGAGTCCTGATGCCAAACAAAACAAAAGAAAACATCAGTTAGAAAACAGGGCTTGGAGTTACCAAGATGAAGTACAGTGTTCTCCAATCTCGTATATTGGACTGCTCTCTAGAAACCAGGTTTATACTGCAAAAAAGCACCTCACTCTGCCAGACTTTTACGGTTTATTTTTTGTTAATATACCCAGAGCATGGACACTGAACTACATCGCGGCCTTCTTCTTTTTTTTTTTGTTTAAGACAAGGTCTCTATGTAGTTCAGGCTGCCCTTGAAGTCACTATGTAGCCCAGCCTGGCCTTGAACTCGTGGTGATCCTCCTGCCTCAGCCTCCCAAGCTCTGGGATTATAGACATGTGCCACCTTGCTCACCACTTGGGAGGCTGAGACAGGAGGATTATTCTGAATCCCAGGCCAGCCTTTTTTTTGAGGTAGGATATCACTAAGTCAATAAATTGTCCAGGGTGAGCTTGGAACTCTCAGTGTTCCTGCCTCTGCCTCCCAGAATGCTGAGATCAAAGGCATGTGCCACTGAACCTAGCTGTGATTCAGATTTTTCCAGCTGGGTGGGGGTTGACATTGGGGACTGAACCTAGGGCCACTTGTGTTGAGCTATGTCCCCAGCTCTGTTCATACTTTATTCTGAGACAGAGTCTCAAAAAAAATCACTAAATTTCCCAAGCCAGGTTTGAATTTGTAACCCTCCTGCCTCAGCCTCCTAGAGTGCTGGGATGAGAGGTGTGGACCACCACGCCTGCCTGATTTTCCTGTTTTTAAGCGGAGTGTTGGGTGCCGTGGCTGAGGAAGACCGGATTCTACCTCAGGTCAGCAGAGCGAGCAAAGCCGTGGCTACACATAGCTGAGTCACAGGCGGGAGGCTGCAGGAGCCCTGCTGTCCTGCTGTGGCGGTGGCAGGCTCTGGGGGACATGGTGGCACCCTGCAGTGTGGCTGCAGGTTCCGGGTTGGGCACAGCCTGGTACCCCACACCCCCAGGCTGTGACGGTGAACCTTCTGCAGCTCTCAGTAGCTCGAGTTGCCCGTCCCAGCATGTGCGTCCTAGGTTCACCGACAGCAGATCCCTTTCTCCTGGGGGACATTTACCTCCCACTTACGAAATGAGTGGACTTCTGACCGCTGCCCCCTGACTAGGGACCTGGGTCACACCACAGTCATCCAGGGGCTCGTGGGCTTTTGTGGCACACAGAAGGTTCCGTCTGGCGTGCAGAGCAGTGCTCAGGATATGTGTGTACCCCGGACCCCGTGTGTGTGTGTGTGTGTGTGTGTGTATGTGCGTGCGCGTGCGCATGTGCAGCATCCTGTGGGTGTGAACACACCTGCTCCATGGTGCCTTGGCTCAGCCAGATGGCAGCCTCGGCCTCTCTGTGTCCTCCTTGGTCAGGTGGGCTTAGAATACCAGGCTGGTTGGGTCGTTAGGAGTGTTGAGATTTTTTGCTTCTTTGTTATTTGGTTTTCTGAGGGAGGGTCTTGCTCTGTAGTCCAGGCTGGCCTTGAGCTCTGTGTAGCCAGGCTAGCCTCCAGCTCGTGGCAGTCCTCCTGCCTCAGCCCCCTGAGTGCTGGGATGACAGGCCTGCGCCACCACATGGCTCAACAGAGATGTTTCGAAAGGTAATTGGCACTGAATAAAAGTAAACTACTGTATTATTCACACAAGGAGCGGGGCGGGCAGATTTAACCTGGAAGTCATTCGGGCACCAAGCTTATTGCTGAGGTCACCTTGTCAGACTGGTGATCTTTGCTGTGTTGTCGTTGAAACACTGTTAAAAAAAAACAAACCAAAGCAGACTCTCCCTGCCCCACCACACCTGCGTGTCCCCAGCTGCCTGTGGTTTTCAGTGTTTCGTAAGACATGGTCCAGGGGATGCACAGGTGGCTTCTTATTTGTCCTGTGGAAAGGTCTTTGAGACTTGGGATACTTGGGTCTCTTGGAATTCATTTGGAAATGCCATTTACTTTCCACAGTTGTCATAAATGTCCTGTTACAACTAAGAAACACTGATTTTACAAACTGAAATGCATAGGTTGGCACATACTTTGTAGGAAGATTGAATTATACGTTTTAAAGGGAAGTCAAATACTTTCTAGCTCACTGGTTTTACAGTCAGACAAATTATGTAAATTACCACGTTATCAGCTTTAGCCTTCTGTTTCCTGGTGCTGGAGATTGAAGCCAGGCATCTGAACACCTCGGTCCCCAGCCCTGTTTTTATTGGGGTCTCGCTAAGTTGCCCAGGGAGGGCTCAAACTTCTTGTCCTCCCGCCTCAGTGTTCTAGGTAGCCGAGGCAGGTGCCACCACACCCAGCCAGGGCTCCTTTGTGTAGTCGGCTGAACGTGAACCCGATGCAGAAGGCAAAGGCTGGGGCGGGGAGTGTTTTTAAAGCCACCTGGGCCGTTTTGATGATCCTCTAGTGTGTTAGGTTTCCAGTGCTGTGACAGAGTATCAGAGAAAAACAGCGTACAGAAGAGGGAGGGGCGGGACTGGCCCAGTATCCACCTCCTCGGGGCTCCCCTCCAAGGCCACACCGCCTCTGCACCTCTGAATAAGCTAGGTGCAGTGGGGCCAGCGCCGGGAGGCTGAGGCAGGAGGGTCACCTCAAGTTCAAGGGCAGCCTGGAATACACAGCGAAGACCCTGTCTCAAAAAAACAAAAAGTAATTTTAAGAGAAGATCCGAGTGAAGGCAGTTGGTTTGGAGTTGGTTTCCATGTCTGAATTCGGAATGTGCTCATTCGAGGTGAAGCCAGGGAGGGAAATTGCTGTCTCTGGAAGGCAGTAGGACAAATGCAGGGTAAATAAAATAGTGGCGGTATTTTGAAGCTGAGTGTTGAGAGAGAGGAGGTCAGAGTCACTGTCGGTGGTGTGTGCGGAAACCTCCTTCCACTCTGCCAGCCCTGAGCTTCCTGAGCTCCGCCTGCAGCGCCTGCTCACAGCCCCCTCCCTACCCGACCCAGCTCCAGCAAGCCCTCAGGCGACAGGGTGACACAGTGAGAGGAGGTGTGGAGGAGGGCAGGGACAGGGAGTGCGGGCCTTGGGGGGCCATGAAACCACCTTGTTGGAGGCTCTGTGAGGTCCCATCCCCGCCCCCTGCCAGTGCCACAGAACCCTGCCTGCTGGTGGGGCAGGGCCTGGGGCGAGGAGAGGGAGGACCCTGAATCCAGCCCCTCCCCACCGAACTGCTGTGCCCTGTGCAGGGGGACCCCTGCCCCCAGGACAGCACCCAGGCTGGTGCATCTAACCACCGGGTTACAGCCGTCAACTTGGCCAGATCCTAGAGTGCTTTGCTGCTGCCTCCAGGGACTAGTTCTGATAAGCATCTCCGGAGATAGCATCGGGGAAGCCCTACCTGCAGACCCTTTGGAACCGGCTGGGTGCCTGCCCGTGGTGGCTTTGGGGAGAGTAGATCAGTAAAGTGGCAGTCGCGCTAGGTTGAAGGCGCAGAGCTCTGTGGCTTGTGAGAAACAGAGCTGGCTCAGATACCCTGGCGGCGGCGGTGGCTGCAGCACTGCGTGGTTTATTTACCCTTGTGGAGCAGTGTGGGTTCTCTTCCTCCTCTGTCCCTCTCTTCCTTTGCTTCAGTGGCAATAGCTAATTTAATTGTATGTGCCAAGTCTGTGCTGGCCAGCCTCTCCGTTAGCCAGGCAGTCGGATTCTTTGTTTTTATTTTTGTCTTTTGAGACAGGGTCTCTCTAGCAGTTGAGGCTGGCCTTGAGCTCACTTGGTAGCCCAGGCTAGTCTCGAACTTGCAGTGATCCTCCTGCCTCAGCCTCCAAGTGCTGAGATTACAGGCATGAGCCACCACGCCTGGCTAGGCAGTCAGACTCTTTCAGGGTTCAATTTCCTTTCATACAAGCGTTACTGGGTGTGTTAAGGTCTGCAGCGTGGTGTGCAGTATTCACGTACAGTCAAGCACGGTGGCACATGCCTGTAACCCCAGCTGCCTGGGAGGTTGAGGCAGGAAGATCACAAATTCAAGGCCAGTTGGGGCAGCTTAGTGATTACCCTGCCTCAAACTAAAATGGAAAGAATAGTTCCACAGGGCTGGGGATTTAGCTCAGCGGCATAAGCGCCTGCCTTGCAAGTAGGCGGTCCTGAGTTCGATCCCTGGTACGATAAAAAGGAAAAAGAAAAAAAAAAAAAAAAAAAGAATAGTTGCACAGCTTGGTGGTACGGTGCTCGCAGAGTTGTGGCTTGCTGTCGTGCACGGCCCTATGCATCTTAGGTGGGCTCTCCAGAGGTGGCTGGTCCGGGTGTGGTGCCGGGGCTGACTGAAGGCAGTGCTGGCATTCAGGGCTGATGGGAAGGCAGGGCAGGTGCAGGCGGCAGGCGGGGTTATTTGCTTGCCTTCTGCTTGCCCTGCTCTGCCGTGAACTGAGGCAGGGGATCCCACCCTTCCCTGGAGCGGGCCAGACAGCAAGAGAGAGAGCAGGTGCACACCAGTGGGGTGTTTCCGTGCGTAAAATGTAAGTGTCCCGTCACATGCGACGAGCGTAACGAGTGAGTATGCCTGCCCCTCACAGCGGTAACCATTTCCTCTCCTGTGCTCAGCGTAGCTGTGTTCTCAGCTAACAAGCGCCCCACACACAATGCACTGTTTTTATATAATGTTTTGTTCCATTTTGCCTCTTTTCTACATGTTGAGGTTTTGGGGGGTAGGTTGTCTGGAGACAGGTTCTCACTATGGCTCAGGCTGGCCTCCAGCCTTCTTGTCTGGACAACCTTGACTTGGGATCCCCCCACCTCAGCCTCAGAGGGTTGAGTGCTGGGATTATGGGCATCCCTGTGCCACTAGCTGGCTGTTTGCTGTTTTTGTGATGTTAATATTTTTTTCCTGATGGAATATCGCTCCTTAACTTCTGGGTGTTTAGTTTTCCAGACACCGGCTCTTGGTTAATGTTTTGAAAAATCTCTTTGTCCCAGGTTGACCTGTCAAAGGACCTGCCCCACTGGAACAAGCTCAAACCAGAGGAGAAGTATTTTATTTCCCACATCTTAGCCTTTTTCGCAGCCAGTGATGGAATTGTAAATGAAAACTTGGTAAGATTTTTGTTATGTTGTACTGGTGTTCCATTCAGCAGCTTATTTATAATAATGTCGGTAAGCTCATTGGCCTAAGCCCGAGAAAAGAAGCCTAAATAATAGACAGAGTGAAGCAGCTCCTTCTGGAAAAGGTTTTTCTGCTGAAGCACCAGAGGAAAGGATAGATTTATGTCTTTGGACAAACAAAATATCGTACACTCAGGAGTGGATTGTATCAGTCAAACCAACATGTGACCTTTACACTTCTCACTGTGTGTGTGTATTTGGAGGCAGGCTCTCACGGTGTACCGCAAGTTGGCCTTGAACTTGTGGCAGTCCTCCTGCCTCAGCCTCCTTCCGAAGTGCAGGGCTTACAGGTGTGCATCCCCATGCCCACCTTTAGGGATTTTTTTATTCTCTGACAGTAAACCTAATAGAAACATGCCCCTTCGTAACCATCCTCAGCTCTGTATAGAGTGCTGGGTTCCGGCTTCCCCTGTAAAACCTGCGTTGAGCCAGGGTTGTAGCTCAGCAGCAGTGCAGTTGAGGCCCTGGGCTTGGTCTCCAGTGCCTGTAACCAATCACTGTGCAGGACTGGGACAGGAGGACCTGACATTAGAGCTTAGTTGGGGCAACTTACCGACTCAGTTCCTGCTGCAAAATTTAAAATTTTTGCAAAGGGCTGGAGATGTCGCTCTGTGTGAAAGCCCAGTGCCACTTAAGTACCAACTCGTGTTCTGGTTGTTCAGGAGGCGAACTTCTGATTAGAGGGAATAAAGATACGAGCTCCGGCATGGAGTAGGAGAAGATTTTCGTAGGTCTGTCTGCTGTCAGAAAGACTCTACGCAGCAGAGTCAGTTTTGGTGGATGTCTAAGATCTGAAGAGGCGGGAGACTCTCTGTGAGTTCAGAGCCAGCCTGGGCTCATAGTGAGACCCTTTCTCAAAAAAGTAAAAAATAAAATTTGGGCTATTTTTTTTTTTAATCGGTACCGGGGATCAAACTCGACTGCCTGCTTGCAAGGCAGGTGCTTATGCCGCTGAGCTAAATCCCCAGCCCCCAAAAATAAAATTTATTTGGCTTTTCGGGCAGCGTCTCCACGGACAGATAATTCACTCAGCAGACGCACTGGGGCTGGACAGCGCTGCCTGAGCCCTGCTTCTGCCGGCCCCCCGGGAGCTGGGAGAGCTGCGCACAGATGGTGTCCCTCTTTCCCCAGGTGGAGCGCTTCAGCCAGGAGGTGCAGGTCCCTGAGGCCCGCTGCTTCTACGGCTTCCAGATCCTCATCGAGAACGTCCACTCCGAGATGTACAGCCTGCTCATCGACACCTATATCAGAGAGCCCGAGCAGAGGTACCGATCCGGCCACACAGCCTCGGCCCGCTAGTCCCCAAACCATAAGTTCAGGAAAGGCGACCCAGACGTAGACGTTTGAGTGTTAGCTTTCTGTTGCTTGGGTGCACTGGGGAGCTGAGCATGGTGGTGCACAACCTCTCATCCCTGTAGCTCTGGAGGCTGAGGCAGGAGGATTGCAAGTTCACGGCCAAGCTGGGCCACTTAGTGAGACCCTGCCTAGGCCTGGGGAGTAGAGAGAGCCTGGGTTCAGTTCCCACCCCATCTCCCAAATAGTAATTGCTGGATGAAAGAAAACTTGCATAAACCAGTTAACCTGTAGCTACTGTGCAGTACATGAAAACCTGTTTATTAACACATTGCTTAAAACTTGAGTATCTGCCTTTAGTTGATTATGGGTCAAGTCCTGTATCCAGACCATTAATCTGAGTTGCTGTTTGCTTGTTTTTGAGATAGTGTCTCCATGCAGTTCAAGCTGACTTTGAACTCACTGTGTAACCCAGACTGGCTTCGGACTTGTGTCTATCCTCCTGCCTCATCCAAGTGCTGGGATTACAGGCGTATGCCACAACATCCAGCACAATTATGGTCTTTGATTAAACTATTAAAATGTTTTCCATTAAAAAAAGCAAATGACTTGAACAACTATTTGTAAAAGGACAGTATGTAAACATTAACTAGTGATTTCTTACTGTTTTTTTTTCTCTGAACGTACGTATTATTTCTAGCAATTTTCTGTTTTGTTTAGTCTTTCTTTAAATAAAATTAAAAAAAAAAAAAAGAAAAGAAAAGCAAATGAGGGCTGGGGATGTAGCTCAGTGGCGTAAGTGCCTGCCTGGCAAGTATGAGGTTGTGAGTTTGATTGCCCGTGCCACCAAAAAAAAAAAAAAAGAAAAGCAAATGAGCTGGGAAGGTGATGCAGGCCTGTAATCCAGGACCTGGAGGCTGAGGTGGAAGGATCACCACAAATTTGAGGCCAGCCTGGGCTACAGTGAGTTCAGGAACCAGCTGAACTATATGGTAAGACTCTGTCTCAAACAAACTGAGGAGAAAAAAACAAAACAAGTGAGTGGCTTTTTCATGAATTCTTGTGTCTTTACAGGGATTTTTTATTTAATGCAATTGAAACAATGCCGTTTGTTAAGAAAAAAGCGGACTGGGCCCTGCGGTGGATAGCGGACAGGAAGTCCACTTTCGGTTTGTCTCCTGCTTTCTGCCTCCTGGGATTTGCCTCGGGCTCGGAAGCTATTTTCTGTGGGGTCACTGTTTGGAAAAGGTTGCCATAGTTCTCTCCTTGGTCCTCTCCTAGAATCCTTTTAAGCTCTGATTAGAGACCAGTGGCAAGAAGGCTGCTTGCTGCCCTGCATTCGGAGGAGTATCTTGCTGTTACGAGACCCGGTCTCACTGGGTAGTCCAGGCGGGCTCGTGCTCCCCGCCTCCTGGGCGCGGGGTTCTGGTCTGTGTTGTGTGTTCTGTTTCGAGTTTGGAAGGTTAAGATGTCAGTGTAGGGGCTGGGGATTTAGCTCAGTGGCTTAAGTGCTTGCCTTGCAAGTGGGTGGTCATGAGTTCGATCCCTGGTACCGATTTAAAAAAAAAAAAAAAAGATGTCAGTGTAGCAGGTGAGTTCATGCCAGTGACAGAGCCGCTGGGAAGAGCATTGGCCTGATCTGCAGTTTGTAGTTGCTTTTAAGAATGTTTACTTTAGACCAGCCAGACCATACCTTTTTTTTTGTTTTTTTAATTTTATTTTGAAAGTAGTAAAAATGCAACAGCACAAGAAGACAGAACAAAGCCAGTCAAGACAATGCAGTGAAATTGGTGCAGGATTCACAGTAGGGTACTGGGATAGTAGTAATAGGTACTATGGTGTATCTCCTTAACTTCACAGTAGCTGTCCAGTCAATTAGGTATAGCAAAACCAAACCAAAATAGAACATTATAAAACCAATTGAGAACGCTGAATAGAGCAAAAGAAACACAACAAAACAGTGAAAACAAACTTTGCCTTCAAACAGAAGATAGAGGGAAATCCCCGTGTTTGCTATACTGCCTATGGTCATCCTCCCAAGAGACCCTGAAACATCTCTCCCCACTAGCTATGGGGGTGGGGCAGGGGACGGTGCTTGGTTTTCAGCCCGTGTGCAGTAGGCTCACAGGTAATGGTTCTCCTCCAGGCCCATGCTGCAGGCGCTTATCAAGAGGGCGGGTGAATAAGCTGCCTGAGTCCCACCATGGCCGGATCTGGGGAGTTCTGGTTCTCCTCCTGGCCCTCGCCACAGGCACTTAGCAAGAGGGCCCAGACCATGCCTCTTATCCCAGCACTGGGAGGCTGAGGCAGGAGGGTCACCTCAAGTTCGGGGCCAGCCTGGGCTACATAGAGTTCAGAGCAGCCAGACTACTACATAGCAAGACTGTCTGATAAAAAACAAAGCAAAATAAAACGAGTGTGGTAGAGGAGTGGAGTCCCTCAAAAGCAAAATAAAACGAGTGTGGTAGAGGAGTGGAGTCCCTCACATCCATCCCGTGAGCACAGAGGGCCGCCCGGGGCAGGCAGAGCTTCGTGGTCTGGGGCCAGAGTCGGAAAATTGGCAGCTGGTGTCTGCAGAGTTGCAGAGGTCGGAGGTCCTGTGCCACTCCGCAGGTGACCCGTTCTGTCTCGCAGGGGAGAGAGTGGTGGCCTTCGCGGCCGTGGAGGGCGTGTTCTTCTCGGGGTCCTTTGCGGCTATCTTCTGGCTGAAGAAGAGAGGCCTCCTGCCCGGCCTCACCTTCTCCAACGAGCTCATCAGCAGGGACGAGGTGAGCGCGGGCCGCCCTGGGCTCCGTGGGGTTGGGGTCAAGTGTGCGTCGCCTTCCTCCCGGGATGGCTGGCGAGGGTGGCATGGTGGCCTGGGACGTGGCGGCTCTCATCTGAGTGCGCAGGGCCTGACCTTGTCTGTGTGCTGGCAGTCTTTAAGTTATTTTGTACTTATTTATAATAAACCTTGATTTGTCTTTTTTCCCTGCCACCCCTCCTGGAAAGCCCTGCCCCGCTCTCTGCAAAGCTCTGTTTCCATTTTATCCTTTGCTCCTTTCCCCTTTTCCTTCCTTCCTTCCCCTCTTCGTTCCCCTTTCCTTTTGAACAGTTTCTTCTGGTTTCAACATATCTCTGGTGCAGTTTGGTTCTTGTTCACACTCAGTTTCTCACACCAGTGAGACAGTGTGGTGTTCACACGGGGGTCCTGGTTTCTTTCCCTTGAGTGTGGTCTCAGGGTCCATCCATTTGGCGGGAAGTGTGTAGGTTCACCCTCTCTGGCTGCGCAGGACTCCATGTATAAAGCTCCCCACATCTTCTTTCTCCATTCCTCGGCTGATGGGTGTTTGCACCGCTTCCAAGATTTCGCCCTCACCGGCTGTGCTGCTGCAGACCTGGTGTCTGCATCGCTGTGGGACGATGCTTTTAATTCTTTGGGGAAGATTCGAAGAAGGGGAACAGCAGGGTCACATGGGGCCTCCAGTCCCAGTCTTGGGGAATCTGCACACTGATTTCCACAGTGTCTGCACCAGTCTACACTACAAAGAATCAACAACTGAGATCTCATCTCATTAAAAAACTTTAGTACGGGAATGAGATCACCAGCAGAGCAAAAAGACGACCCATAGAGTGGGGGAAAGTTTTAACCAGTTGGTCCTCAGAACATATTAAGAACTGAAAAAAGTGAGATGCCCTAAGTTCAAAGACCTATCCAAAAGTGGTCCTTTGAGATGCAGAAGCAGAAATGGCAAATTAATATGTGAAAAAATGTTAAGCATCACTAGCCGTTTGAGAGATGCAAATTAATACAGTGCTGAGGTTCCACTTTCCCCAGAAAGAAATCAGCCAAAACAGACGCCAGACACGCGGCCGAGGCGAGGTCGAGCCTTTCCCTGCTGCAGGTCGGTGGGAGGTTGGTCGGGCATCCTCTGTACTCCGGAGCCGACCACTGCGCAGCCTGTTAGGCTCTGCTTCCCGAAGGCCCCCGGGGCTTATAGCCCCCCTTGGCCCCGTGCTCCTCCTCCCACCTCATGGCCCCAGTGAGGCTTGCGGCATCTGTGGGCAGTGTGGGGGCTGCTCCTGGCCGCCCCTGTCCAGGCCTGGCCACCCCTTCCCAGAAGCACTGAAAGGAACCCAGTGGACCTGCGTCCCACCCCAGGCGGGGCCTGGCAAGTGCCACCTCTGCAGGATGCTGGCACCCGCTGAACCTGCTCCTGCTTGTGTCCTGTGTGTCCTGGCCCTGCCCATCTGGCTCGCCACTACCTCTGGCGGCCTTGCTGAGGGCGCCTAATGGCTGCGTGCCTCGGGTTCTTCAGCGGGAGCCCTTAGCAGCCCCGCGGGAGGTGCGAAGGCAGGGTTGCCCTGCTTATTGGTGTGTTTCCAAGTGCCCTGACGGGTGGGGCTCGGTCAGTGAGTGTTTCCTGAATTTGTTAGGTGTATTTGCTGCACGAATATAACATAAAATAGGAATTTTGTTATTTAAACATTTTTCCAGTTTGTCCTCTGTTTTTCTTTTTTTTTTTGAGACAAGGTCTCGCTGTGTCACTCAGGCTGGCCTTGACTCTCTGGTTAGTCTAGGTTGGCCTTGAATTTGTGGCGATCCTGCCTCAGCCTCCCGAGTGCTGGGATGACAGGCCTGCTGCCACACCTGGCTTGCTTTTTAATTTTGTTAAGACACGACATTCTGTATTTTATGTGATCTACTTCTGTAGAGAAGTTAAATGGTCACACATTTTCTTGTCTTTTTAACATTTAGCTCCCTAAATGCAATTGGAACCTGTTTAGTTTAAGTACAGGATGTAGTGGTATAAAGTTAGAATTTTAACTTGATTTTGTTTATGTATTTTGGCTTTTGAGCCCTATTTTCAAACTTATTTTGAGCCGGTATGGTGATGCGTGCCTGTAATTCCAGCCCTTTGCTGCTGGGCAGGAAGAGCACGGGTTTGAGGTCACCAGGGCTACGTAGTGTGTTCAAAGCCAACGTACTTATGGAGTGAGACCTTTCCTAAAAAAACCAAAAAGACTTATTTTTCAGAAAGAGTCTCACAGTCTTGCCCAGACTGGCCTTGAGATTTTGAGTCTCCTTCCTTAGCCTCCAAGTAGCCTCCTGCCTCAGCCTGCAGAGTAGCTGGGATTGCAGGCGTGGACCCCCGCCCACCTCCAGCTGGTCTTATTTAATATAAATGTTCTTTTTGAAACCTCCAAGTGCGTTTCATCAGTTCTTTAAGTACTGCTCAGTATTTTTTTTTTTTTGTCTTTTTTGTTTTTTTTTGTTTTTTATCGGTACCAGGGATCGAACTCACGACTGCCTGCTTGCAAGGCAGGCGCTTATGCCGCTGAGCTAAATCCCCAGCCCCTGCTCAGTATTTTTTAAACATTCCTTAATTTGTTTGATATTTAAAAGTGAGTGAATTTCACTTTGGCCATTATGGTTTGTTTTCCTTCCCAAACTGCCTTTGGTTCCAGATGTGTGTGTAAATTAATTGTTGATGAGCCGTGTTTTGCTGGCATCAACAGTTTTGAGCCTCGAGCCACTGAGCTGGGGTTCAGTGAGGCCGGAAGGCCGCGCTGCCTCCTGGGCGCCCCCCTGGTCCCCAGCACCTGTGTCTTCAGGGCCGATGGCGAAGGCGTGACCTGGCCTTGTCCTGTGTTGCAGGGACTTCACTGCGACTTTGCCTGCCTGATGTTTCAGTACTTGGTGAATAAGCCTTCTGCAGCCAGGGTCAGGGAGATCATCGTGGACGCGGTCAGAATCGAGCAGGTAAGGAGGGACGCGTGTGGGTGGATACCCACAAGTGTCTCTCTTTCAGGTGATGGTACTGTTGTTAGAGTACTGTGTTTAATCTTTCATGTAGCTTTTTGTTGTTGTGGATTTTGAGATGGGGTCTCACTGTATTGCCCTGGCTGCCCTCAACCAGGCCCAACAGACCCACCCACCGCTGCTTCCCAAGTCTCTGGGCTGTGCCCTGTTTGTAGCTTTTGTTTTTACATTGGGGGGTTATTTTGAGATGTGGTTTCACTGTGTGGCCCAGGCTGGTCTCAAAGTCATGGTGACCCTCCTGCTTCGGCTCCCTTAGGGTTAGGACTGCAGGTGTGCACTGCCGTGCACAGCTGTATAGCAGTAGTATATTTGACTTATGAAATTGTCATTTTGCAAATCAAAACAAGTATCAGCAAGTTTGTGTAGTCAGATTGGCAGTGCTGACTCTTGATGTATTGCAATTTTTATATCATTTGTAGTTTGGTTTATAAGTCAGTCTTGGTTGTAAAGTTTTCTTTTGACTTTTTTTTTTTTTTTTTTTTTTTTTTTGCGGTACTGGGGATCGAACTCACCACCTTGCGCTTGCCAGGCAGGCGTTCACACCATTGAGCTAAATCCCCGGCCCCTATAAAGTTTTCTGTGTAGGTAAAATCTGTGACTTTTCAGTCCATTTTGACTTTTTCTGTCAGGTTTTGGGCCCTGACAGGCTGTGTTGATTATTATAGCTTCAGATTTCCAGATGATTAGCGGGGTCCCTGGTGGTTCCTCTCTTGCGCTCCCCGGCCCTGGCAGCCGCTGGGTGGGTGCTGTGGAGTTGGATGTGACAGCGGTCAGGGAGGAGTCGCTTCCCTTGGGCACAGAAAGGACCCCCAGTGCCTCGCTCGGGCTCTGCTTTATCTTGCAGGACAAGTTTGTTTTAAAATCTGCTTCACTGTGACCCTGTGGAGCCTGGCTTTCCTGCTGGAGGGAAAGGCTGTGTGTGTGTTTTCCCTGTTAATACCTGAGCGGGGTTCTGGTTGTGGCTGGAGTTTGCCTTCGTCCCAAGGCCTCACCCCAGTCCTTGTGAATCTGTCCCTCCTGTCCACGTGCTGCCACCGCGACACGGTCCTGGGGCCCTGCCTCTCCGTGTTCCGGCAGGAGGCCTGCCTCTGCCCTCCCGAGGGCTTCGTGTGGGGTCCATGTTAATTTTGCTCTCGGAGGGGTGCAGTAGTAAACGCCGCGCCCTCTGCGGCTGCCCAGCCCTGCCCGGCCTCTGCTTCACCCGCTTCTGTCCACCCAGGAGTTCCTCACTGAAGCCCTGCCCGTGGGCCTCATCGGGATGAACTGCGAGCTGATGAAGCAGTACATCGAGTTTGTGGCAGACCGGTTGCTTGTGGAGCTGGGCTTCTCCAAGGTAAGGGTGCAGTCAGAGGGTCCCTGGGACGTTGACTGAAGTCATGTGTAGTCCACAGTTCTCTACTTTTAAAATATCCACTATGGAGACTTGATTTGTATGAAAAACTTATTTTCGTAAAATCCTTTGAAACTTAAAACTTAGAAGTAAGAGGCACTGATTAATGTTAGAACTCATAAGCTCAATTAGTAATAATTACAGGTATATATTTAATAGTGTATTTTCAAATAATTGGATTTCAGATACACACGTCTACCTTCCTATAAATTCCCACGTACTTCTAATGTAACTTGGGGGGTGAGCACTTTTAAACAGGGCATATTTGTTAGAAAGACGTTAACAGCCAGTGTGGTAGCCCCTGTGAGCCCAGCGCTCGGTAAGCTGAGGCAGGAGGTCACTGTGAGTTCAAGGCCAGGTCAAGGGCCTGAGCTACGTAGACAGCGAAGCCCCATTTCAAAGACCAAACAAGCCAAACGAAATGCGAGGAAGACGTGAGCGGTCCTGGTTTGAGCCTTTTTCTGCCTGCCTGCCACAGTGCTGGCCTCAGCGCGGGGCATCAGGGAGCCTCCCGGCTGCTTGCCCTGGGCTGCGTCCCGACCCTCATTCAGCCATCTGGACTGAGTTGTCCTTTTCTGTGCTACTCTGCTCTGGGTCAGGGCCAGCCGGTTCCAAGCCGGGAGCACTTGGCAAGGGCTCAGCCACCACCTAGCGAGTGGCCAGAGGGCATCCAGGGATTTGCGACCTGGACCCTGGGCACTCCTAACCTGCAGCGAATGCCCATCGGCAGTCCCTGCAGGCTCGGAGACCTGCACCAGTCGTGGGCTCCCCTCTGCTCTGCTCCACTGTGGGGTGCAGGAGTTGCCGGATGAGGAGGCACAGGCCTGTGACCCCAGTCCGCAGGAGGCTGAAGCAGCAGGATCCCAAAAGACAGATGTAAAGAACACGGCACCCAGTTCACCCAGTTAAGGTCTTGGGGTACTCAGAGAATTGCGCAGCATCCTGTGTTAGAACATCTCTGTCGCCCAGCAGAAATTCTGTCCTGCCAGCCATCACCTGTGTCCCTGTTCCCCCTCGCCCTCCCCACCCCAAGTTAGGCCGCCTTTCCTGTCTGTCTGTCTAGCTCTGCCTGTTCTGTGTATTTTGGGTTTGAGGTTTGGAAACAAGGCTGGCCTTGAGTGCTCGGCCTGCCTGCCTCAGCCTCCCCATGGTAGGACTCTGGGTGATTGTGCTTGTGCGCACATCGGGCTGGCGTGGGGTGGCTCAGTGCCTGGCGGTGCTCGGCTCCGTGCTCCTCCTGGGGAGCTGTGTGTGAGTGCTCCCCATCCTCAGGGCCAATGAGGGCTCCATCCTGGGTAGTGGGTTTCACGCGCTGGCTGATCAGGTCACAAGCAGGCAAATGGTGTCTGCCTGGGGGCCGGGTGAGCAGTGCTGCGGCACCCATGTCCTGCGTCACTGTGCTGGGTGCGGACCAGGGTAGGGGGCAGCCTCTCGGCACCTGTGTGGGCTCCTTGCCCACTGCAGAGGGACCATGGCCTTCCCTCCTGGACAGGCGTCGTGGCCTGTGGCGTTGCAGTGTCCTGGGAGGGTGGTGGCGGTCGAGGTGACAGTCCCCAGCAGTGCGTGGGCCTCTCTCCCTGGGTCGTTGCCTTTGAGCGTCTTCCCCAAGGAACTCTGGGTGTCTACTCGGCTGCTCCCCTCTCCCGCAGCAAGCCGAGGAGTGAATCCTGGCGTCGTGAATCAGTCTGTGGGCTCCTCACGTGTGCAGTGGCCTCCGCCACACCGCGGACCATATGGACACTGCCTCTGCCACTGCCCCCAGCCCTGCTGCTTGAGTTCAGGTCCCTCCTGCTGGTGGTGACATCCAGGACTAGGGTGGCATTTGTCCTTCTGCCTGAGCAAAGTGTCTTGCAGCCAGTAGCTGATCATTCCCTTGTGACTGAGACACCTCCTCAGGGCCGAGGTGTCGCCAGCCGTTTGCCATCTGCCCATGGCACCTGGGGGCAGAGCCCCGAGAGGCACCACAGCTCTTCAGGCCTGAGCCCCTGGCTGTGGACTTCCTGTCTGGGTATTCGAGATTCTGTTTCCTGAAAGGCTCTTTGATCTGCAGCCTTCCCTAGCGTAGCAGGGCTGGCCGTGGGGCTTCTCCGGGTGGGCAGGCGACCTCAGCCCTCTGAGCTCTGACGGGGTCGCCTCAGGACTCGGGTGACGTGGCTGTGTGTGCCCGGGCTGGCGGCAGGAGACCGGGGCGGGCGGGTGGTTCAGCATCCTCTTTTTTGCCCTTCTTAGGAGATACAATTTGACTTCTTCAGAATATCTTACAACATTTCTTTTCATTCTCAGGTTTTTGAAGCGGAAAATCCCTTTGATTTTATGGAAAACATTTCTTTAGAAGGGAAAACAAATTTCTTTGAGAAGCGAGTTTCCGAGTATCAGCGTTTCGCGGTGATGGCAGAGACCACGGACAACATCTTCACTTTGGACGCAGACTTCTGAGGCTTGGCCTTTGGAAACGCGGAGCCCTCTCACTGGCAAACGACAGTCTGCTTTTCTCTGCTTAAAAAAACTTGAAAGTATTTCCCTCCAGGAGATGGATGATTGATTGAGAGGAAATCTACAATCAGGTTCCAACCAGATGGCTTGACACAGACACACGGTCCTCCGTACAAGGGTGTGTCCTCCCGCTGTGCAGCTCACCTTTCCCCCTGGCCCTGGGACATAGGGTGGCCCTGGTTGAGACCGTGTGGCGGAAGGTCAGCTAGGAGTGAGGTTCCAGCCGTCCACCTAGTGTGACCCGGCAAGCCCGCTCCTCGTCCTGTCACCTGCTTACTGCGGGGAGGTCGGCAGTGGCCCGCGTCCGCGTGGCGAGGGGCATCCAGACGAGCCCTCTGCTGGTTCCCCGCCAGCTCGGTTGGTGGCCGTGGTGTTGACAGAAGGACCCCTCGTCTCACCTGAGGCCTGGGGGAAGAGCTCAAGGAGCGGAATCTCAGCCCTCCTGCATGGCCCCGAGCAGGAGGAGGGAAGGGCAGCTCTCCTGGGTGTAGCCTGGCAGGAACTGGCTGCCTTGGCTTCGCCCATGGATGTGCTTAGAGCTGTGCAGCCCTGAGGATTTCGGTGACAGAGCTGACACACAGGGTTGTGCTGGCTCGGGGAGCTGGGCACTCGGAGAGGACAGCGGTGCTGTGGAGCCCCAGCCGCAGGGCGGGAGTGCCGCCTCCCCGGGCTCCCACAGTGCTGATTGGCACCCAGCCCCGCTCTCCCCAGAAAGCGCCCCTGTGACACCGGGATGCAGACGGCGGGGTGTCTGTGACTCCAGGATTGCCCCGCCCCCTTCACCTGGGGTGTCTGTGGATCCCCGTGTAAGCGCCCGCTCACCCTGTGGCCGCCTGGTCCACCTGGACGGGCCACTGGCCAGTGCAGAAGGAGCGGCTCACCCAAGGTGACAGCCAGTCTGGATGCCGCCCCTGCGGTGTACTGGGGCTTCTCTTGAGTCTGTCACGTGTGTTAAATTTAGGTTTTGCCCGTGTCCTTTGTTAACCCGCGTTACCACACAATGAACGCGTACGGCACTCTGAGGATGCCTCTGGCCCGTGGGCGGCGGTGTGTACAGAGGCCTTTCCCCGCTGCCGCCACCTGGAGCCCTGGCACTGCCCGCTGCATCCCCTCCATGTCCCCTCCGTGTCCCCTTGTCCTGGGGGTGACTGATGGCTTCACTCATTGCCTGCTCCCAGACGCCCCGACACGCAGGCTGCGTCCCGAGGCTCCGGGTTTTAATGCACGGCTTTTACTCAGTGATCTGTGCCTCCGTGTTGCACTTTTATTTTTCTTTTGGTCCTTTGGGTTTTAGATCTTAAAGAATCAAGAAATTGCAAAGTTTAATGTCTTACAGGTAAAGAAAACGAAGCGCCATTTGCTGCTTCCCCCTGCTCATACCGCCCGAGTCTTCAGCGCTGGCTGTTTCGGGTGTGGGACCCGGCAGCTCTGAGCAGGCGTGTGTGTTCAGAATGCTTCCTTGTGCCATGCAGAGCCATGGCCCGGTGGGCTGCCACTGCCCGCTGTCGGGGAGATGGCGCTAGCCTCTCTCCGCGTAGGGTGAGCCAGCCGTGTCTTGTGTGTGAAAGGCTTTTCAGCGGTCTCATCTTGGAATATCTAGATTGCAGTGTTTGCATTTGTGTGATCACTAAAAAATGCAGTGGTTTGCGTATTTAAAAAGCAATTTAACTCAGAGTTTTTCCTGTTCTGTTCCTACCATGAATGGTGTGAACATCTCGAGGGCCACCCCGGCTCCCTGAGTGATTCTGGGGCCAGCAGTGGCCTCTCCTGTAACCCTCTGCCCCTTGGCAGGGGTGAGCGGTGTTCCTGAGGCCTCCCAGAAAGAGTTAACCCTTTCAGTCTGGGGCCTCGTTCTCCTAGGTTTCTGACAGGGCCTGTAATGGTAGCCACTCGGAAGGCTGAGGCGAGAGGCTTGCCAGTTTGGGGTAATCTTGGGCAGTTCAGACCCTGCCTCAAAAGATAAAAGGGGCTGGTGGCGGAGCCAGGAATGAGGGTTAGCTTAACATACAGGCCCTGGGTTCGATTCTCGGTACAGGAAAATAAAAGTATGTAAAACTGGAAGGCTAGAATGATTCTTTTGTACAGTTAAGTAAATTCACAATATTCTTATATATTTAATTGTTTTACAGAATTGTTCTGATTTTTCCACGTCTGGTTGGTAAGATTGTTTAATGCCTACTGTGTATATAGAAAGCTTTATTAGATGTGGTCTACCTAAATTATTTTGCTAGAATGTGTGAGCCAGCTCCTCATGTACTGATCCTTGTTTTGCTGGGAGAGCCGTTATGAGTTACATGTTGGATGTGAGAGTTGAAATAAACGGTCCTGACAGTCACGCCACTTCACGTGTGTCATTGCTGGGGGGCCTCTGCCTGCCGCCTCCCTCTTCCGCCTCCTCCGTCTCGGGTGCTTGCTGTTCTTGGACTTGGGGACTCAGGCCATGTGCCTGCCTCGGCCTCCCAGGCAGTGAGGCTCGGGCACAGAGGTTGCCCTGGTGGCTTCCCTGGGCAGCCCACGGGACCTGGGAGAATGTGGCGTGGCGGGGAGGCGGCCGGCCTGTCACCTGCCGTGTAGTTGCCCCATCTTTGGGCAGCGTCCTGGACAGAGCGCTCCCCTGCGGGCTCCATGGGGCAGAGGGCAGCATCCTGAGCCTGGTCCTCCTCAGAGTCCACCGTCCTGTCCACAGAGAGTGCTGCTGAGGCAGGAGTGGGCACAGCCCGGCCCTCCCATGGCCCCAGGACGCGCAAGCCGAGGCCGAGTCCCTGGAGCAGCACCCAGCGTGTGTCAGGGGCCCCGAGGGTCCAGGTGGGGAGGCCCATCAGGGCATCATGGGGATGGGGGCGATGGTGAAGGGGCATGCAGGTGATCGGCACAAACGGGATGAAGCAGGTGGGGGACGGAGGAGCCCTCGTGCTGCTGTGAAACGGTGTCCTGGTGTCCCCTGACTTGGCCAGTGTGCTTGTGTAGGGCAGTTGAGTACTTGTGCATTGGGGCTGCTCACACCGGCTCTCACAACCACATCTGTCCTCCAGGTCTGTATTTACCCAGCCGACACCCGGGGGCAGGATGCCCACGGTGGCCTACTCAGTTGCCCTTGCTCCCACATTCCAGCCGTCGCGTCCAGGCTCTGTGCCTGGAGGGCTGAACTGCCGGTGAAGGGGGCCGTGTTAGTGTAAACGTGGAGTGGGCAGGTGATTTCACACCGGGCTGCGGCAGCACCTTATCGCCCACTGCCTTGGCGAGGAGTCCTCAGTGTCTTACAGGCGAGGGCCTGGGATCGCAAGCCAGGCCTTGCCCAGGGCACTGGCGGGCGTGGGGGCAGGAGCCCATCGAGGCACCCTGATCTGAATCCCATCATCTTTCTGTTTTTCTTTGCTGGCAGTGGTGCTCAGGGTTTGGGGGACCCCGACCTCCTTTGACCCCCCCCCCCCAGGATGACACAACCACGTGTAGTCCACTAGTGTCAGAGTGCTGCTCCACGGCATGCTGGGACGGGCTGGGGCGTCCCGTCCTGGGTGGGGGTGGGAGTGCGGGTGACCTGTGGGGGCCTGGCTGACTGAGCACATCGGAACTTGCTGGGCATTTTGGGGACTAAATCTTTGAAAAGTAAAGCGTGATTCAGTGTCAGAGAGTAAAGTGCAGCCTGGACAAATGGGCTGGGAAAGGCTGAGGGACAGAATGTAAAGGTGCTGACAGAAATCAGGGTGATGACAAAATTCCAGGCCGCAGGGCCAGGCCCCCTGCCCAGCACCTGGGTCTCTAGATGTGGAGCCGAAGACACCCAAGGACACTCACTGTCCTCCTGTCCTATGGGGGACCAGCCAGCCTCAGGTGACCTCTAAGGGCGTCAGCCTTTTCGTCTCTGAGTGAACAGACCAGGAGAAACCAACCGAAACATCTACGAACAGGAAAATTCATCAGCTGCTCATCCTGAGGACCCAGGCTCCTGTCTGCCACATCTTGGTGTCCCGCTGTCCCCTGTCCAGCTCTCAGCCGCTGCTCACTGTCCCCCTGCTGGCTCCTGTGGCCATCTTGGCACACGGTGGCTGAAGCTGTGATTGAGCACTGTACATTTGCACGGCCCCGTCCCATGTGGCAGGTGACCTGAAGAGTGAGCGGGCGACAGTCATGAGTTGCAGTGTGATGCCTGCAGTTGTGTCACCAGAGTGACCTAGTAGTGGCTCGAGTGATCCATGGAAACCCCCAGCAGGAAGGAACCAATTTTCTTCCATCTACAGGCATTTGCTCCTAACAGTGAGGCGCGATGCCAGTGCCGGAGGTGAACCACAAGTCCATCCTTGTGGTGAGGCGGACGCACAGCTGTCCATCCAGCCAGCTTTGTTTGCAGGCTGCGTTTCAGTCTGCTCAGCCAAGTTCCTGCTCTGATTCCTGCTGGCTCTTGCTGCAGGTCCTCTGCACAACCCTGGGGGTGGCCTGCATGGAGCCCAGGAGCCGAGGCCCCTGCCCTCACCCCCACCCTGTCTTCCTCGGTGAGGGCTCCCTCACTGCTGGCCTCATGGGGGAGCCCTGGAGCCGCTGGCTGGCTTCTCAGCTTCGCACCCGTGCTTTCCTCGGGAGAAGACAGGGAGGTCTTGAAGGAAGATCCTGCTCCCAACAGACAAATGCGGGAGACCCGACGGGCCCTGGCCTTGAGGGCGGCGAATTCCAGCAGGAGCCGTCGGGGTTGGTGCAGGGTCGACGGGGGAGCTGCACCAGGGTGTTTTCTTAGGAAAGGGGAAGAGTGTCTTTCTGCAAGCAGATCCTAGCGGTCCTGGACTCCTGATAGCACCTGCTTCTCTGGGACACAGGAGCTCAGAACTAGTCAGGGGTCATGGTGACCTTGGCATTTGCTTATCTGGCAGCTGAGTAGAGAGGAGAGGTCAGAAGAGGCACAAAGCACGCTAGCACCTTTTAGGGGCTTGGGGGTTCCCTGGGCCTTGTCTGTCATACCAGACAGGTCCAGTGAGGTCGTATGGCCCTGGGCACCTGAAGGTCACCACTGCAGACAGCTGAGACAGGAGCAGGCCCTTCCCCAGTCAGGTCTGGGGAGCAGTTCCAGGAGCTGGGGTCACGTACCCATGCCTGGCTGTGACACGTGGATGAGCCCCTGCACCTGGTGACTCTGAAAGTGCCTGGGCACAGAGAGGGAGAGTCACCCTGAAATGAACCGGAACTCTGTTGCTGGTGGCCCCGGACCTGGCAGGGACCTGCCTGCTTCCTGCCTGGAGTTCACTGCCTGTAGCCTGGGAAGAATAGCTCCAGATTCAGCCTGGCTCTGCATCCTGGTGAGGGGACAGGGTGGCCTCGTGTGCGTGGCTGTGCAGTCAGAGAAGTTCCAGGGTGCTGCCGCTGTCGGGCTGCCCTGCCTGCCATTACTGGAGGACCACCCTGGGCCTCCTTGCCGGGGAGGGGTCACTGGGGGTGGGACCTGCGTCCCACTTGCCTGTTAAGCAAGGCCGAGTCAGGAAGGTTAACGTTCACACGGGACCACGCCAGGCTGCTTGCCCTGGATGCAGGGAGTCCAAGGGGAGCGGAGCCGCTTTCCCTCCCGCCTCTGGTCTGCGTGGACCTGGACCAAGGTGACTGAGCTCCTCTGGAGACACAGCTGATGGCCACATTTCCTGCGGTTGGAAGTAAGCACAGCACCCCCACCCTGCCCCGCACCATTGAGGAAGCTTAACAGCCAGCCCAGGGGAAGCTGTGGTCTGTGCCCCTGTGGAGGCTGAGCAAAGGCTTGGGTGAGCAGCTCCAATTGCCCTGTGCCTCAGTTTCCCTGCTGTACAACAGGGTGCATGCAGCATGGAAGGGAGCCTGGGGCTGCGTTGGTAAGTGAAGCGAATCAGACACGGGGTTTAGGGAGCTCTCGGAGAATCGCAAAGTGTAACTAAGTTAAAGAGCAAATTAAAAGGGAGATGTATGTTCTGTAAATGGGCAGGGACGTGAGCAGGATGAAAGTGTGGGGTGCGATCGCTGCGTCCTAAAACACATGCTAATAAAAATAAAGCTTTAGATAGGGGGAGAGAGGGGGCAGGCAGTTTCTCTAATGCTATTTGATATCGTGCTGGAAATTCTAGCCAGAGCAGTTCGGCATGAAAGAGAACTACCAGGCGTCCAGGTTGGAAAGGAAGGAAAACTGCCCTGTGATGGCTGTAGTCTCCACGTGACCTGAAACTCGTCCAGGGCGACGTGTGCATGACTGCTAAGCCAGACGGGCGTTAGTTTCTCCCAGGTGTTTTTGCTTCCAAATCATTACCATGAATTCTCCAAGTGAAACTGATTCTGTCAATTGGCTGAGACAAACTTTCTTTTCCTTTCCTGTTTTTTTTTTTTTTTGGTCTTTTTGAGACAGGGTCTCGCTATGCAGTTCAGGCTGGCCTTGAGCTCACTTTGTAGCCCAGGCTGGTCTCGAACTCACAACGATCCTCCCATCTCAGCCTCCTGAGTGCTAGGATTACAGGCATGAGCCACCACACCTGGCTCTTTCTTTTCCTTTTTTAAAGTTAATTTTGCTGGGCCTGGTGGTGCATGCCTGTAATCCCAACACTCAGGAGGCTGAGACAGGACAATCACTGCAACTTCCAGACCAGCTGGGGCTAAAAAATGAACTGCATAGCGAGTCCTTGTCACAAAAAGACCAAAAAGAAAAAAAAAAAAAAAAAAAAAAAAACTTAGGTGTGTGTGGCCCTGACTGGATAGGACCTGTGCGCCACACCTGCCAGAGGGAGGGGGAACACTAGCTAAACATATCAGGGAGCCAGTCGGCAACGGACCAAACTGCTTAGCGAGCCACTGGCTCCTCGAGGGCTTCCACTTCTCCTGCAGCACCCTGCCCTCCCTGGTCCTTCCTGTCGTCTTTCCCAGGCGGAGTTGGGGACCAGGCAGCCCTGCTGCCCGTCACCCCCAGATCACCCTCTGCCTGGCTTTCTAGGCTCGGGGAGCTGCTCTGTGGCCTCTGATAAGCACATGAGACTCACTCCTGGAGATTCCCTTGGCAGGATGGTTCCTGTACGTGCCCCACTTTGGGCAACTGGGCCACAGCAACTGTTCTGACCCAGCCGGGTTGTGGAGGTGGAGAGGACCTGAGTGGGGCCCGGGAGGCCAGGGATGGAGCTGCTGGGGGTGAAGCAGGAGCCCACTGTGAGCCTCACTCCCCAGGGGGAGATAGTGACCAGTCTACCCGAGCTCCCCACAGAGAAAAGCTCTGTGTGGATCCAGCACACACTGAGTCGTAACCAAAGTCGTAAACAAACCGTACCCATGTCCTAGTGGGACTAAGCCAGACTGCAGGGCCCAGGGGCCAGTGAGAAAACCAGTTACTACCCAAGAGGGCTGGCACCCCG